TCTCTTTTTATTTCCCAGAGAGCAGCTTAGGGGGCCCATTGGTCGTAAAACAAATTGGGGAGTTGCCTTACACCACCACACCACCACACCTCACCTGAAAATAAATAAAGGCTACACAAGGTCCCACCCCCAAGGACTCTGAGGCGTTGAGCCTGAAGCTGAGCCGATTACCCTTATCAGCAGCAGCTGACCCAAGTCCAGTTGTACTGCAAATAGCACTCTGCAATTTTATTTGTGGCCAATAAATTGCACAACGGCATTCAGCTTTCGTATGCGACTTTACATATTTATCAGGAGCTGGAAATATGGCAGGAATGGCACGAGCTGCGGTGAGCCTGGCCACAGGATAACCCGCAACCGGACAGGTTTGACTTGCCTGTGTCAGCCAGTCAGTCAATCCTTGCTCTTGCCATCTCTCAATCGCCAGGACTTGGGGTAGTGTTATTGTTGCTGATGCCAACTGATGCGGCGGCTGTTGTTGGTTGTCAAATGCAAACTGTGCCGCCTCAGAATCTCGGTCTCTCTTTGCTGGATATCCTGTACTTTTTTGGTATAAAAAGGGGTATATAAGTTTATTAAACACTTAAAAAAAATGACAAGAGAAAATTACTTCAGTTTGGGGACTTATTCAGCTTTTAAATAACTATTTATCTTTCTCTTTCTCAAAGTGGACACTTAGTTAACGAAAAGATAAACCTAATCCCTGAAAATCCTCTCGAAAATACACACAAAACTTTCCTTAATAAAGGACCCCGCCTTAAGACCGCCCTTCAATTTGGAAAATTGCTTTTAGATTTGGGCCCAAATTTTCAGGCCATCAAAGGTAATTGTGTGGAAAGTCTTTAAGGCTGATTATATATACTTAAATATATATATTAAATCCTTGAATTACTGGGTATATAAAAGTCCTTTCTGTAAGGTTTTCCTTAGGCCCCACAGAGTTGTGGCTGTTGCAGATGTCTGTTGCAGTTGACACAAGCAATTTGGCGGCTCTGTTAATGAAAATTGAAAAGTGTTTCGCTGGCATTACGCATACGCCAAGGGGTCCCAGTCATGGTTGAGAGTCCTGGATCTATGATGCATTGTGAGAGCGATGTGGCTGCATAATCGCTGTTCCACATTCCTGCAAACAGGCAAACAACAAGCAAAGCCATTAGAAGTTGCAACACCCCCCTGTAATCCCCGTTTCCCTAGTTTTCCCTGGGTTTTTCCCCGTTTTTCCCTTCCATTTTCTCCTCCTGTTTTTGTGTCGAGTCATTTTTGCGCTCAAAAGCACTCACTAAAACAAATAAACACTTTGCGCATTGTTTCGTTTTGACAAATGCGTGTAATTTACGGAAATGTTGTGTTTGTCCATCCTCTTGCTCCTCGCCAAGTCTTGGGCGTATTTGCCGAGCTCTTGGACTCCTCTCTCAGCCAGACTGACAATTAGTTGGTGCTGCAAGCTGGTCCTCCTCCCTCTTGGCCAGTCTCCCTCGCAGTTACACTTACTCCAGATTACAAACTGGCTGCAACGGGCCGCTAGAAAAATATAGGTTAAAATGGATGCTGCCAGTATGGTAGCCTTCTCTCTGCTGCTCATCAAAGTGGCAATAAAATATGCTTTCATATTGCCAGCCGCTCGTCGAATGGCTCATCGTGGGCCAATTGAGGCGCTTATTACAAGGTGGCCCTGGGAGTGGTTATAAGGGGGCGGACGGTCGGTGGTGGGTGTGGCAGCTGCTATCGGCCTGTGGTTAAGCAGATCAAGCATGGAATCACAAAGGATCCGAGTCCTTTGTTGCCCCGGACGCTTTGTTGTGGCCTTAATGAGGAAATTTCCATTGGCCAGCTTGCGCTTGAGTTGGCAATTTACGATACCTTTGTGGTTTCAATCTAGCAATGGGCAACATAATTAAAAATTGTGACAGCCATAAATTTTGTTTTTGGGTTCCTCTGGAGACGCAGATAATTAAACTCGCCAGTCCAGTCTCTAGTTCCCTCTTCGGAGGGCCTAAAAAAAAATGGAGAGCAAAGCTCTAAACTGGCAGAAAGTAGCTTAAAAAGCCAACTGAAATCAATTAGGTCGCAATTTATGTCAGGAGAGTGGAAGCCATAGTTTCTGAGGGAGGTTGGGGTTGGTTTGTGAGCTCCACTTTAAGCCTTTTTGGGTCCCTGGCAACATTTGATTTCAGGCTAGCTGCAGCAGCAGCAGCTGCTCCTGATTGCACTGCCTGGCAGGAGGATGCCCACATCTCCCTGCTGTCCGCCCGAATATTCCCCAAGCTGCCCTCCTGCTCCTCCTCCTCCTCTGCCCATTTAGCAGCTGGCTGCGGGCTTTGACGTCGCCTTTTGGATGGGACTTGGCCTGTTGTAAAGTGTCAAAACGTGTACTTGTCGCTGGCAGGATGCTGCTGCTGCTGCTCCTGCTGCTGCAGCTCCTTTAATTTGAATTTTATGCACTGCATGCATAAATTTATGGCCCGGGACCCGCCTTCAAATGGCGACGACAATGACAAAGGCAACATGACAGGCACATGTCCATTATGGCCAGACGCCACTCAGGCGGGAATGTCTCCAGCGCTGCCGCCTTCTACTGCTCCTCCTTCGGCATTTAAATGTGCTGGTTTCCGCCAAAAGAGCACAGGCCGGGGGAGAGCTCAAGGTTCTCTCTGCTTATCTTTTGGCCACGTCTTGAACTCTTCTCTTGACCCAAGAAAGTCCCTGAGCCGTAAGGAATACGATTAAATCGCATAGGGGCTAGAGGGGAACGGGACAACAATATTTCCATTTCCGGAGGAATTTGTGTAAAAATTAATTACTCATTAAATATGGGCGCTTTTGTGCTGGGTGAAAAATTAATTTTTAATTGCCATTGTGTGTGCTTTTTCTCACTGAGTGAATTAATTTTTATCGGCAAATTCTTTGCAATCGCTAAATGGCATTCCAGTGAATTTCATTCTGGGATACATTGATTTTGATATCGCTGGGCGCGCCATATGGAAGCCGAGCTGCATGGCAGCCTTAATATCCTGCCTGCCTGTCAGTTGCTGCCCACCCACCCATTGCCGCCTCCCGTGTGACCTCGTCCCCCCCAGCTCCTGTCGGGCTGTCAAAGTGCTAAAAATAACATGTTGAAAATGGGGTTGGGGGAAAGCGAAAAATTGAAGGAGAACCGATACCGATACCGAAAACGAAACCGAAACCGAATCGGAAACCAAAATGGGGAATGCAGGCGAACGATGCACGGTGCGCGTTTCTGCTGCATTATAAATACCGCAATCGCATTGAGTGCCATGATTTTTAACTTGTTTTGACTGCTCCTCGTTTTCCCACACTCTCTGTCTCTCCACTGACATCATAAAATCACGCTCCACTTCTGTCTGCAAAGTGCGAAAATGCTTTCGAGATGATGCGATTGACGGGGCTAACACCGAAAAGTTAATGGAACTTGACAGGCAGTGAGCGAAATTATTGAAATTGAAACAATGTGGGGTCCTAGAGGGTATATAGGTTTACCAAAAAAATTCCTAAGTACTAAAAATCACATAAAAAGCATTCAAAAAGCATGCTTTCATATGATAACAGTGTATTTTATGAGCTTAATTTTATGTAAAATGTATTATTAGAAACATAATTAGTATCAACTTTCAGCTTTAACTATTCCATAATTTTTTACCACCAACAACAACCTGTTAATAGCCGCGATTCTAGTGGGTTTGTGGTGATAAAAAAAAACTACGAAACTAAAGCAAATTAAATGCATGGCCAAAGCTCATCTAATTATGCAACGCACTTGACAGATAGCAACCAAACCGAACTACTAACAACGCACGATAACAACGAGGATAGCAATGGCAAGGACAACTAGGCTTACTAAACTGTGACCCCATGTCACACGTGGTTTTAATTATTGTTACAGGATATGCTAGTGCGTTTGTGTTTGTGCTTGTGTGTCCTGTGTGCGCCTCTGTAAGTGTGTGTGCGTGTGTGCTTGGCATAATTACATTTTGTGGCATTCAGCAAAGTGTTGATTATTAATTAAAATGGCTTTATTTAACGGCTGGCGTTGGCCATCATTGTATCAGTTAAATATTTAGGCATTCCTTTGCCTAAACACTGTCCATGTAATCATGGCTCCATTATGGCATAACGAGCATTTTAAAGGTGCACAGGGGTAATTTTGGGGAGAATTTAATTATTAGTAAAATACTATTATTTTTTAAATGCAATATGGATAATAAGTATTCTTAAATAATAGTTTTTCACATTTTATAAAAGCTTTCATGTCCCTTTTACTCGTCGAATTTACTCGCCATCTTTACTCGTTATCTTTTCTCGTAGCCTTCACTAGCAGTCTTTTCCTTACTCGTCGACTTATATGAAGTTATCTTAGGCTTATCGTCTTATTTCGTTGTATTCTCCCGTAATCTGAATCCTCTTAGCTGTAGTCTTTAAGGTTACTTACTCGTCGTTGTTCTCTTTCGGCTTCTGAAATCGTATATTTTACTCGTCCTTATGCTGGTCGTCTTTGCTAGTCATTCCACTCTTCATAGTCAGGGTCTTTACTCGGTGTTCTGCTTGATCTGTTCGATGGTCAAAGTTTAGGGAAATCGCACTCGCTATATTATTTCGACATATTGTTCACTCACTTTAACTTTGTTTGGGTAATCAAATAACCTAACGAATAAAAGTTATCTAGCTTAGACACGCTAAGATTGCTTAAATATATATTTTTTATTTATAATTTACTTTTTGTTTACAAGCAAATCTATATTTAATTTTCCCCCAGTGCACGTTGTATTTAAGTGTCCTGTGTATGCATGTGGCTAAAACTGAAATCAAAATGGTTGGCAAATAGCTGCAGACAAAGTTGTGCTGCGAGTTGCGAGTGTTAATGGCTTGTAATTAAACTGCAACGTGAGACGTTTAAGTGGAAATTGCATTTTGGGCTAATGCACATCCTTTTTGTTTTCTCTTCCCCCCATCTCTCTTTTTCTCTTTCTCCACGTATTTTGCAGAAGGATCTGTTCGTGAGCAAAGTTGAGCCAACGTCGCCGCGAAACGAACGCAAATTCTCCGCTGCCACAGCGCCATCGATGAAAACAAAGTGGCTGAAAGCATTTAAGAGCCTAAAGCCCGCTGGTTCTGGTTCAGCACAACAAGCGGATAGGTGAGTACTGGTCTAGGCATTTTCCGTACGGTTTTTACCCACCCACCCACCTGCCATTTTCCTCGAGCACCACCCAACCACCCACCAAGTCCAACCTTGCCCGTTACACAACATTATCGGGCTTGAAGCAGGGCCCATTAAGTCGAATACAAGCCGCGGCAGCGAGTATCTAGTATCTACGTATTTATAGTGCTTATAGTGGAGCGGCAAGGGCGCAGGGCCGTCAGATACAAAATGAAATAGTGCGGAGGCGGCGCCACAAAAAAAAAAAAAAAGAACTAAGAGGGAAAAAAGGGAGAATTGGAAAATCGGAATAGTGGAAAGTAGCGGGGGTAAAGGGTCGGACCCGCACATTAATATGACTAAAAGCTTGCGGAAAACGCGAAAAATTATTCGGGCATTCAAGGAGAGAGGAGCAACCGCAGAATCCGCCGGAATCCCTATCGTGCTCACAAAGGCATTCCTCCTAATATTTGCACAATCCGCATTATGCAGGGGGGGTGGTGGTGGCAAATTGCACTTGCAATTTACCAGAGATAACCAGATAATAGTACCTAGGTTTAAGCTAAGCTAAGTCTCTACTCGCCATAATAATGATGATGATCTCTCCTCCACTTCTTCTCTATATAAATTTACGTATAAACCATCTCCATACAAACACTAAATGCATTCAAAAAAATATATAAATAAAATGCAATGCTTTGCCCAACTCATGTCTCGCGATAATCGCGATCTAAATCAGCCAACCAACACCCCGACAAAATCAAATGTACCACGCTGTATCGACCGTATTGACTTTGAGGTAACCGAAATTCACCAACAACCAGAACACCCTGCATATGCTATAGTTAACTATATATATATAGACCACATATCGTGTACAGAACATACATATATATGTATATATATATGCTAAACCCCCATTCGATACGCCGGGTTGCTGTAATGTTGCACGCAAATGTAGACCTTAGCTGAGCAACTATAGAACCCCGCTTGGCCCCCAGACTAATTGGTTTCGAATATCACACGACACTTTAGCATTATTATTATTTGTTATGTTATTTGGTAAATCGATTTAAATTTCAATTTCACACACACACACACACACTCTGTATATAGTATATAGTAATTTCATTTGGCCCGGGGCGCCATAAATTGCACCTGCTCCCAGCTTCCAGGCCCCAAAACCAGTACCAATGCGCCTCATCAATCACGTTCGGCGTGGCAATTAAAAGGTTGTTGCAACTAAATCCACACAGTAGAGACAATGCTTTCTCCGTCCGAGATCTGGGCCTGGGCCTGAATCTGGATCAGGTCCAAGTCCAGCTAGGAACAAAGTTTCTTTCCACTGCCTCTCGGTTCCGATAACTACGGCAAATGTGTCGCTGCTCCATATGTTCCGGCCAAGTTTCCGGCTGCTGCAGGGGGGCGGCAGCCATTGAGGCATTGAGAAATATGCGAAAAATTGCAAAACTATAAATTCTGCCATTCGCCTGAAGTCCACCCACTCGCATAGATAGAATGGACACACTTTTAACGCCATGTACACTGGGAGAGGAAATTACTGTGAATTTAAGGGAATTATTTTTGAAAATTGACAGAAATTCAGGTAATAGGATTTTAAAATTGAAAATCTCAGCTTAATGTAGGGAATACAGAAGCAAGTAATAAGTTCATTTAATAAACAAGAAACAGAATAATAAATATGTGCTAAAGCGATTAGAGCATTTGTCAATGAGATTAACAATGATGGTGAGAGTACACTGCAATTTTAAGTAGTACATATTTTAATACCTCTTCAGAGTATTCAAGTTTTATTCAGAAGCTTTCAAAGCAGTGAATTTCATATCTCCTCCAATTTAGAGTGTTTTCCAAGCTCAGTGTACAAACACGGCCTGCAATTGTTGGCATTGGCAGCCTTAAAAGTGCAAACTGCAAAACTGCAACTGCAGCTGCAGCATCCAGTGGCAACAATACTTAATTCCGTGCCGGCAGCTTGCCCTGCCAATGATGATAAATCGGGAAATCTTGCCGGCTTAGTGAATGGAAAACGAGGACTGGGGAATGAGAATGGCAAAGGGAAAACGGGAAAAGCGGTGGGGGGGCTAACTGGGAAACTGGGAATGGTGTGCTTAAGAGGGCTTTATCTCTTCAAACTCCATTGCGAAAATATTCCCCGAGTGCATGGCATAAATAGCACTCTCATACATATACTTTATATATATGTACAATACACAAACGTGACAAGAAAATCGCAGTTAAAAGTTCGTCTGTGTTATATTGCAAAAGTTTTGTGCCGAAACTAAACCACAGGCGCCCCTCTAAAAAGCGGGGCAGTTACTCATTTCGCCGTGGTCCCGGTTCCGGTCCTGTTTTTGGTCCTGCTTATTGTGGGCGGCTTTCTGTTTTTCCCTTATTTATTTGTGCATTTATTTTTAGCGTCTGAGTTGCGTACAAAATAATGAATTTGTTATGAGAATAATTATAATTAAAACCATTACTCATGCTGCCAAAAGTATGTATGAAAGCATTTCCCTTTTTTGGTTTTAGCATTTTGCAAATAGCTGCGCACCTACACAAAACAGCATCAAACTTTCAATATTGATATAAATACCCCCCAAACCTGCGACTAGTTAATCCCCCTAAGAACCCTCAAATCCTTCTAAAATCCCATTTAAAATCTCAATTAATCGTAATTAGCCCCGTAAAATCCCGACAAGTACTGTGTACATACCAAAAAGCAACAATAATAAATACCTGTAAATTGTACCTGACTTAGATTATAATCGGCCTCGGGCCTAATCTGTTAGCTACGTCTGACTGACTAGTTTGATCAATATTTAGTTTAAGAATATATATATAAACTCGTACTCAGTGTCATCGTGTCAATGTTCATTTGTAGTTGCCCATCACCGAGTTGCACTTTCTCCCGGAAAATAACCCATAAATCCGGAGTCTCTGTGTTTTTGTATATTTAACGCATTTGCAACAAACAGGGGAGAGAAAAAACAGCAAACAACTGAATGAATATTGTGCCAATGTGCTCGACTGAATTTATTTGCCAGTCGGTCTGGTCTGGCCTGTTCTGTTCTGTGTGCTCATCTGTGTGCATAAGCCACTTACAAACAATCAACGTCGAGTCCTGGCTCCTAGGCCTTCGAGCCAGCTCCTCCGCCTCAGCAATTGCCCCATTGTGGGCCTCCCTGGCTGCCTGCTTTTTTGGTTTTTGTAAATAAAACAAAGTGCCAAAGCGGGGTGAAGCGGTGGAAGCACTGCAAATTGGTTGTATCCTGCTCTCGCTCTTTGTTTAAATATGAAACATGGAATTGCTGAAAATGAATTCGATGTGTACACAATATAAATAACACAATAATTTGCATAAGCGCCGAGGATTGAGATATCCGAGATCACGAGCTTGTAAAGCACTCGGTGCCCAGTGATAAATCGACCAATTTTCCAGCAAATCCAATTAGGTTGAGTATTCAGCACAGAATATGGTGTACAGATATTTTTTTTTAAATACAATTCTTTTTAATGTGTTTCTTGTTCAAACATACACGCACCATTGCTCTGATTAATGTGCATTGTCCAGTGTCCAGTGTCCTGTGTCCGTTGTCCTCGTCCCACTGTCCATTGTTCACGCCCCATTGTTCATTGGCCTTTGTGTTTGTTTTGTCTTTGTCACTGTATGTGTGCATAGCCTATAGATATACAAAAACATAAAATCCCATAACAGCAGCAGCCTTCAAATGCAATGGCTCTCGTAACGATTTATGAACATATGTTTAGCCATTTTTGGCCAACTGGGTTTCCGCGAAAAAGTGCAACACATTTGCGACTCCATTAACGGGTTCCCGCACTAACCATTTTGTTGAATCCTCTCCTCACAGGCGCAATGGAGCCTCCAGCACAGCCTCAGAGCCCCTGCGCCCCAATTTGGATGGGAGCCATCACCTGCAGGAGTACACCTACAAGAAGATAACGGCCTGTGACGTCTGCTCCCAGATACTGAGAGGTAAGCATGCATTTAACAGGGAAAAGGTTTTACAAAAAAGTTTAAAATTCGAAGGGGCAATTAAAGAGAAACAGCAGGGAAAATATCACATACTTTCCTAGAGAAAATATTCTAACGAGAAAGCCTTAAAATATCTTCAATATTTTATGGCATTCAAAACATTTTATACTAACGGTTCCATATATTTTTTGTGATTTAAGATTATAAGCTTTGACTAGAAAATTACATTTTATATAATGCAGAGTATTAGATACTTTGAGTTTGGTTTTAATATCAGCCTAATGAACCCCTGATGAAAGTAGGCCATGTATAGCTTACCTTAATGTCTAGGGCATTATATTATGTTGGAATTTCCAACTCCTCTTTAAGAGTAAACATATTTTAACCCCCTTTTGGACCACTTTGCAGGCCACACGCGTCAGGGACTAAGGTGCCGCATCTGCAAGCTGAATGCCCATGGAGACTGCGCCCCAAACCTGCCACGATGCCAGCCCAAGCAGAAGCTGCTGCGGCGCCAGAAGAGCACCTCGGAGCTGGAGAATCGCGTTGATATCGAGGAAGAAAGTGAGTATTTGGCACGCACCAAGCATCGCAGAACCCACACCAGCTACAAGCTACAGAAAACAGAATACAGAATACATTAAACAGGATGCAGGAAAACAGAAAACACACAAACACTCTAACAACTAACCTTAGCTGGAGGCTGGCTAACGACTTGCTGGGGAGATGCCATCCCGAAAAAAAAAACAACTAGGCAGAGGCGCTTGAAATTCCCCAACAATTTGCTCCAATGGCCAGGCATTGGTGGCATTAGCATTGGACCCACCTTGCATCTCCAAGTCTAAGCGATTGCATTCCATTCCCCATGCATGTGAGCTCGGCTCCACTGCACTCCTCCTTGGCTCCTCCTATTGATTTGAGTTGGAGCCTGGCAGTGGGGTGGACCGATTGCCTTGGCATCAGTTGATTTCACAATGGATTTATGGCACTCGGGGGGCATACAGATTGCGGCACTTGTGATTTGTGTCGCAATTCTCCAAACCTCAGCGAGCAAGAAGAACTTTTGCAATTTCCTTGGCTTCTCCTCACACAAACACACACACACACGCGCACATAAATAACCAAATAGTGGCAAGTCCCAAGATGATGATGATGATGATGATTTCCCGCTCATTAAACTGTAAACAATTGTCAGGGGGAAATCTGTGGAATCTGTTGCATACCTTGCGGCCTGCAGTAGCTTATATCAAGTAACCATAACTCAACACAAATTCCAAATTTTCCAACTCTCGACATTTATTTGATTAAATCAATATGTGACTCCCCTCTTCCTCCCTTCCTAACTAAACCTGAAAACTGAATACATGTATGAATATAAACAAACACAAACACACTCAAACACAAAACCAGCCTCGCCACAGGAGTCGCTTGTTGCAGCTGCAGCAGATCAGGCGGATGATCCGAACCCAAATCCAAGTCTCAGCGCAAATCAGTTGAATGTGCCAAATGCGAAATTCCGTCAAAAGACGCCCTTCATGCATCGCATTGCGCAACTAGGTATCGTTATCCCAAATGAACAGATTAAATCAAATATTATAGTATGTGCCACAGCAAAAACGTACATCTAAGTAATCATATTCTATAATACTCGTGTAGCGCGATACTCGATTGAAATGCGCTTGAACCTTATGATTTTGTTCCGTACTTTGTGTTTGACCGTTGCGCTTTGATTCACCTAATTAGCGAGATAATCAGCGAATGACAACCAGCTCAAAAAACACACACCACAAAAACATATACAAACACCGAAACCAAACACACACTCACCCAGTTGTTTTGAATACCACAAAGGACACCGAGTACCTGGAAGGACCCGCAAATATTTATATAAAAAAAAGAGCTAGGGAGAAATCAGTTCAACGTAGTGGAGCATGTTATATAGCCGCCACCTTCAGTATTCAGTAAATCAGTTCACTAGAAATTAATGCCTTCACTTTCGTCTCATTTCGCATAAGTGTTGTTGTTAGCTACCGTTTTTTAAAGGGAATCCTTTTTGGGCGAAAACACAAATCACACCAAAGAGCTTGTAATAACAAGATGAGTAACACCCAAAGATTTTAAAGCTATATTTCATTTTTACATAAATTTTCAAGGGAGCTTAAGCCTTACTTAACTTGTTATTAAAAGATCTTTCCAAACACACACCTATTTTGGCGACCAGCTGGACTCTAGAGTAACCCTGGATCGGTTGAGCTTAGCTAAACGATCTCGTAGCTCCACACTCACACACACTCTACTCGTGTAGAATCATTCCGACAAGTAACTCTCCCTCCCCCAACTCATTCGAGCTCATTTCCAATTAAAAATCGAATCGCCCCAAAAAACCACTTGCAATCTCTCTGTACTAATGCACTTCAACGACGCATCCACCAAATGCCATCGAACAAAACCATCAAAAACGTAAATGAAAACGAAAACGATATCGAATCGAACCAATTTGAAAAACCGAATCTGAAAACCGGCCCCCTCTCTCATCCAAAACGAACCAACTTGTCAACCTACTTCGGCACCAATCCAAAAATTCAAAAAATCAAAAACTCAAAAAAAGAAATAACCGAAATCGATCAAATTTACCGCGTGCTGAAACAAGCCGGCGAACTCAAATCCGGCCATCTTGCAGCTGGCGCCGACAAATCCGTCCAGGGCAAGCCATTGGACGGCAGCATGGCCGGCGGAGCAGTGCTTCCCGTGCCAGTGCTCACCGAGCGGGAGCTGGGCCGGGCTCCGCCGCCGGATATACCCATTGTCAGTGTCTCGGAATTGGCCCTGCAGGAGCAACAGAATATACAGCAACAGCAGCAACAGCAGCAGCAGCAACAGCATCTCCAGCAGCAGCAGCAGCAGCAACAGCATCTCCAGCAGCAACATCAAAGGAGTCTGGCATCGGTGGCTCAGGCGGCGGCGGTTCGGGCCGGCCGAGGAGTCCGTCCGCCACCGGTGGCCATGCCCATACTGGGCGTCCAGCTGCAGCAGCAGGAGCTGCAGCAGCAGCGCGGCGGCCTGCCAGTGCCCAGCCAAGATATATCTAGTAGCTCAGGTCCGACCAAGTCGCCAAGCCAAGTAGTTTGTGTATCAATCTCTCTCTCTTTGACTATCTCTCTCTCTTAACTCTCATTTAAATCTCATTTCGCAATTATTTTGATCCTTGATCCTTGGTTGTAGTTTCGGTTTTGGTTTCGGTACTCGTATGACTCTCCTCCTAGTAACCCAATTACTATTCCCCGTCGAATCCCGTGTCAGTGCCTCAGCTTAACAACCAGTCACCAATCTCCTCACCAACCTCATCTAGAGTTGTGGGTCATCTCTATAAGCACTCTCGACTCCCTAGAGCAGACAGTAGTAGTTCATCCTTGTCCACGTCCACGTTCCACTTTTCCACATTAGTCACACACAATTGCATTCCCTTTTGCGAACATATTTAGATTTGGCAAAAACAATTTCAATTTCACTCGCATTGCGCTAACCAAATAATTGCTCATACGCCCCATTGCGTCCATTACTGCTTCGCTTTGGAGTTTCTAACAGCGCTTGCGATTTTGGATTTCGATTTTTTGGCCACACCCCCTACACCCCCTACACACACACACACACAACAAACACACCGAGTACACAACCGATATATCTCTCACACATATAAATATATGCATTTTGTCTATAAATAATTTATCCTAGAGTTGAATTTGAATTTGAATTTGAAACGCAGTTGCCGAAATATACTCAGTAGCTTAGCCAACATCAATTATAGACTACGCAAACACACACACGTAGCATCTACGTATCATATTTAGTTGAACGTAATTAATTTGTGTATGCCAAAGACTTTGTTTTCTTAAGTATTTTGATTTCCCCCGGCCTTGTATCTCTCTCTGTATCTCTGTCTCTGTGCAAACAATATAGCGAGTGAATGGGTTCGAATGGTTGTGAATCAAGTGTGTGGTGTGTGCATCCAGCAGCAGGCACTCCTCCTCTGACATTGCCTTTTTGTCGCCTACTTAGGGCCACAAACTACACCGCTCCCTTTGGGCCGCAAAGTGCCCTAAATCTTGGCACATAATTAGCGACTGCATTCTGGCAACTTGGCTAACAGCAGCAGTAGCAGCAGCAACCTGCAACCTGCGACGACAACTGACAAGTTGCAACTGCAACTGGCAAACGGCAACATTCCCTGCGGTTGTCTGCAGTTGCATTATTCCAATTAGGAAAGTGTAAATGCAGCACTGAAACTGATTGATTGGAGATTGCCCTTGCCGCAGTTGGAGTCGATTGCAGCAGCAGCCCTGACCCAAATTAGACTTAAGTACAGATCCGAATTCAGAACACAGAACTCACAGATTACATAAATAGAGCAGGGTTTGTAAGGGAAAATATTGAAAGCTTAAAAATTAAAGAAAGAGTAAATATGTTATGCTTTTTGGGTGATTAAATTACTAATAATTCTATACAAAAATAATTAAAATCAAATCAAGTTTAGCTTTTCTTTTACAAACCCTGTAAAAACACCAATCTATTACGCCTTAAATTGAGAAAAAAAACACATATATATCTATATATTCTTTCGTGTCCATATCTTTTTTGCCACTTTTCGTTTCGCTTGCCAAAAACTTAAAACTAATCAAAAATCTAAAAAACAAAAAACCGAAAACAACAAAAAAACCAAAAAACCCCATCACAAAAATCACACCAAGAACCTCGATACGGACAGTTCTTTGCCCCCGTATCGAGTATGTCCAGCTCGGCGTACATCAGCAATGGTATTGGCATCAACTACTACACCTACGCCTACATGCCACAGGTGGCGGTCACCAGCTCCTCCTCGGTTACAGCATCGCCGGCTCACCAGCAGCAACAACAAATACCCCTGGCCGGCGGAAGCAGCAACAGCGGAAGCGGAAGCAGCATTGGAGCAGTCGGAGGAGGAGGAGCAATAGGCGCCGGAGTGGGCTATCCGCCCAACGATCCTGGACTGCGGCGGCGGCTCTTTGCCGGCATCCGCCCACTGTCCGTTTTTGGACGCCTGCGACAGCAGCGATCGTCGCAGCACCGCTCCATTTCCTTGCCAGAAAGTAATAATTACGAGACACCAGAACACCACAGCAATTGCAGTGGAGACAGCCACAGTTACAGCCACAGAAACCACAGGGACAGATCGTTTGTGATCCATTCCAGAAGCACACATCGTTCCATCTCCCAGCCAGCACTAGCACCTAGCCCCTCATCCAACGAGGCAATGACTCGACTTTGGCGAGGAGTTGTCGTCGTTATGAGTTCCTTCCTTTACTCGTTTGATACCCACTCGACATCGATGTTTAGATTGTGTTCTGTTTCCGTGTTCTGTGTATCTTTTTTGAATTTCATTTACCGTTTTAGACATCTGTATCTATCGGATTGCGTGCGTGTGTTTGTTTTCTGAATGAGAGGAGATGCGTGTTTGTGGGCCACAAGATGGGCGGGACGCGTTTCAATTACTTTAATTCAAGTCACCAAATTGCAAATTGCAAGTGGCAAGACCAAGCCCGATTAAACAATGGCCGGATTAAATGCCAATTAGTCTTAACCCAGTTTACACTTCAGGCAAATGGCTCATTTCCGTTGCAACAGAAACAGAGGGAAAAGCAGAAGCAGCGACTGCAACGCCATCATTTGTATACATGGCCGAGTTCCTTTTCCCGCTGAAAGCAGCTTCGTCATGCTTCAGCTTGGGTTGAGTCGAAAGGAACTTGACTCCATGGCGGGCAATTCCCATCCTATCTAAGGCACTGGGAGAAATAATGGGAACTGAGGAGAACCTTGATTTCAGATAAATTAAGAAGTTTTTAAAAATATTATAAAATTTTTGAAGTTCCTAAAGTAAGAAGCTCAAGGAGCTAGTTAGTTATTTAGTTAGAAAAAATCTTTATATAAAATTATTTAAGCCGTATATACTCTTATAGTACGTAAATTGTAATATAATAATGAGTTCTTTAGCCAGAACCACTTGAGAATTGTAGTGTTTAAGGGTGTCGTTGGTGTTTTCTCAATGATTAAAGCGGCCTAATTACATAAACCCTATTATGATTTTTACTTTATCCAAATCACAAGCATGCCAATTATTTTTTAAAGCAGGGCTGCCCAGTCTGAGCACCTTTGCACGACTATGTACCTGCTGTCGCCTCTATCATTTCTTCGATTTTCTTTGGAATTAAAAACAAAACCAAGCCCAGAGCAGGATAGTTACGAAGAAGACAAGCTTCAGGATATTCTAGATTCAAAAAAGTTCCTATCTAGAAGCCAATTCTAGGAAGCAGTTCCAAAAAGCAAGTCTAGAAAGTAATTCTAGGAAGAAAATCTAAAAAGCAATAGTTAGAAGCAGTTCTTGAGGAAACAAATGAAAGAACACTCTTAAATCCAGAATTTGGAACCCTTGCAATTTTGTGCTCTGTATATATATATAGAAGGGATCCTCCTACTCCTGCTCCTCCTCCTCTTCCTCCTCCTCCCACTTCTCCTCCTACTCCCACACCACCCCAGCCTTTCCGGCTCTTGTTTATGCCGCAGTTTCAGGACTACTGTTGCTGTTGGTACTTCCGTGTAAATTACAAGCCATTGTCAACTTTTGTGCAAAAATTCAGCCGCACAAAACTCGCTGGCAGAGGGTGCTTTTTGGCTCTTTTCTGCTGGCTGCTGCATACAAATGTTGCAGACAGTAAACTTTTTCCGCGAGTTCATTTGTGCTTAATGTTTGCTGCATTTTTAATGCCACACACACACACACACCCAGCCAGAGAAAGTGACGCAGAAGCTGGCTTAAAGTCGCAGCCAACTTTGGGTTTTTTTTTTTTTTGTCTTAGGCAACGTAACTTCTTGTCGATGGAAGGGATCTGGAGACTGGGCTGGGTCGGTCCCAGGCCGAACATAATTATGCTAAAAATTGTTATGACACACAATCTTTTTTTGCGCTCCTTATTTTTCTTTCCTTTTCGGGTCTCTGCCTTTTCTTTTGGCTTTTCCTCCTCCTTCTCCTCCTCGTAGACCCCCGCATGCTGGCCTCGTAGTTGTTGCCATTCTCGACTTCCTTGCGGCAGAAGTTCTAGCCGAGGCTCTGCACTTATTTTTCCAGGATTATGTTTCTGCTCTATTACTTGGGCCCGGGATGTTGGTGTGCTCCTCCTCCTCGTTGGCTCCTCTCTCTCTCCCCTTTGGGCATCCTCCGGCTTGCTTTTGGTTTGCTTTATGCATGAACGCTGTCTTAATGTTTAATATTTTCTTTCGGGCTTCTTGCCTTCCATTTAACTTAATTAGTTTTAATTCACAATTCTCGGCCAGTCAGACCAGTCAGGCTTTGGGCTATTCCCGGAGGCAGTTAATCGATCGATACTAGCTACTAACGCCCTAACAAAATCATTGAAAAACCCAGACTTGGAACTTTATATATCCTGAATACATATTTAATACAGCTTCAGCGAGTCCAAAGTCAGAGACATCGCGACCCTTTGGCGAACCCCTGATGCTGACGCCCATCCTCAAGAGCCCGGAGACGTCTCCTCCAGAGGAGCCCAAGGGCTCCAAGCGGCGGATACGCTTGAATTGACCAAAACCCCGATGGAGTCCATCTTTAGTTTAACTCTGTCTTAGTTATGATCTATTTGTTTGATGTATTTTATGGTTTAAGTTTATGATTCTACCCTAGACACCTAGACACCAAAAAAGCCTTAAGGAATGTAGCCCAATTGATGTTTTTAAATGCAGCACAGTAATTATTATAAAATACTCAGCCTAGTTAATTTTACCCCTTAAATTATAAATTATAATTATGATTATCCTAGTTTATTTTCAATTCAGCTGGATGAGCCATGTTTTATGTACGATTATTACGATTAAAGTATTAAGTCACCTCCGATTACACACCACAATTATATATATTCTAAATGTTGTATGATTGTTGTAAATATTGCACCCACACACACACACATACATCTCCCACAAAAAACGAATAAAAAGCAAAACGATATTTGGCTAATTTACCTCGACTTTGAGGTTTGTTTTTTACTTTCTTTCACAATGCAATATCACAATCATCTGGCACCGGGCGATGGAAACGAGTTTACTTTATAGTTTTCTTCTACTGTGTTTACTTTATACGATTTTTCAAAATCCACATTGGCCAAAAGTACACACCACACACACACACGAAGGACTCTTAAGTTGGCTTTTGTTTTTTGCGGCAACTGAGACGGGAATGACTAGAGAATAAACACTGGACATGCCATTACAAAAATACACTCGCTGTCTCTTCCTGAACGTGTCGAATGTTGCTCTGTTGCAAAACAAAACAATATATATTTCATAATTAAAATAAGAACAAAAAAAAAGTATAAATATTATCATGCTTAAGTGCTATACAAAACTTTCTATGGATGTCCTTGCCAAAGGCCACTAAGTGTTTAACGTTTTATGTTGTTGCCTTTTCCTAGGTTCTTGATCTTTCAGATTTTATATTTATTTCTCTATTAATTTGTCTTTTGTTTAGACTTTTTTTAAATGTAGACGCCTAGTTTTTAAATGCTTAACAAATCGAAACGAAATTAAAATCAACAAATTGTTTATTCCACATCTTACTGCCATTGTTTTTGCGAACCAACCAAAAAACTCATGTGCTGTGATTTGTCCGAACACAACAATCAATCAAATCAAAAAAAATATATATAACCATGATCCGAAACGACACTAAATTCCAATAAAAAAAAAAAACAACAACAACCTACAACAGCACCGCACTCACCGCGCCGCCAAAAGTTGAACTTACGCATGAAATCCCTGAGCCTGGACTCGCCCGAATCCTCGGAGCTGCACGGCCAGTTCAGGCGAAGGGCCCAGCTGCCCGGGACAGGTGCCTCAACGTCGGCCGGTTCCGGTGCCGGTTACTACCACGGCGGCTCCGGAGGCCACCTGGAGCACAGCACTCCGCCGTCGAACAACAGCCGCCTGCACTGTAAGTAGCTACCAACCGATCCCGATATATCCCCGGACGCTCCAGCACCTAACAACTAACAAAAATCACCTTAAAAATAATACAAATAAACCCCACCAACGGGGTCACCTCTTTGGCCTCCTCTCGAACATCTGTCAGTTCCCTAAAAAAGTCTAATTTCCCAAACTGAATATGAATAGTATGTATAAAAAGAAAAACACCTACACCCAGCCAGCTAAACTCTTAACTCTAATTGCTTTCGTACTTAATTGCTATTTGTAAATGCGTCGAGTAAAGTAACCTTGCGTTGAGTAGTTCGATTTGTTTCACCTTTTATTAGTAGTAACAACTATGCTAAGTAAACTTCGCTAAGTAGACTAACTATAACTATAACTAACTATAACTTCATCTGCCGACACTCACATTTTCCACCTCTCTCTCTCTCTATCTCGATCGACTCTAACCCCCTTAGCAGTATCTAGTTTAATTTATCTGTGAAAATATCTATTATATATCTTCTTTTTCCATAAATATTCTTATTCTCTTATTCTGATTATTTCGTTCATCCACTTGCATAAAAAAAAAAACAAATCTAACCCATTGAGCCTGTCCTGGAGCAGGGACTAACGCATCCAAAACCATTACAGCCCCGTCGAGCCCCTCGCATCCGGGCCGTAAGCTGCTCTATGCCACCAGGGGCATGCGTGGCGGCAGCGTTGATCTGCCGGATGAAATGGAGAAGTCACAGTCCTCGGCCAGCACCTCGCCGTGCCTCTCACCCGTAAGACATCCCCAGGTAGTCCCCCGCACAGCCTCACTTCCTAACAAAGTTTTCACCTGATTTTATACTTTGATCTTGCCTGCTCCGTTCAATTGAGTTCCTGGCACCTTTTGGCAGCACCCCTATTAACCCGCAACCCCTTTGTCCTTTGGCATATTTTCTTAAAGAAAACCCATCGCCTGCTGCCCACGAACCTGTACGTCATCATCTACAACTTCAAGGCGCGGCATGCCGATGAGCTGGACCTCAAGGCGGGGTACAAGGTGAGTTCGTCCTCGTTGTTATTGGGTTCCCAACCACAAGCTCCATAAATTAATAAGCGTAAGTGCTTGAATAATAAACAAAGCGCTTTGTTTAATCCGCTAAGCGAGCGCTTAGCTGGGACAGGAAATTGGTATAACTAAATCAGAAACATGTACGCATATATGCATGTGTATTCGGGGGGTTCCCATACAATATTAAAAGCGAACAATGCCAAACAAAAACATGTTTATTTATCATCATGGAGGCAGCTCTCCAGCTCTCTCTCTCTCTCGTTTTTTTACCCACACACTGCGACTAAGAAGAAATAATAATAATAGTTACCGACTTTTTTGTGTGCATTCTCTGATTGCGAGCGCCGCCGGCAAAGTGTTCAATATTTACAGATTAGCTTTTGTTTTGGGCCCCAGCCATCGTCCTTGTTCGCAGCAAGGATAGAGTCAAACTTTTGCTTTATGGCAGGCTTCCAAGGGAATTTACTGCCGCCGGATCGATACTGGGTTTTTCCCGCGCGAAAATCGCGTACTTAATAACTGAATGTGGGGAAAAGTGGGAGAGCGCAAATAGAACGAGAGAGAAAAATAATAGCTACAAGTGCAAACAAGAGGGTAGAGAAAGCAAGCAAGTCCTATGTGATATATAGTACCATAATCCGCTTTCAAATGAGAATGTTGTGGGGATGGGTTGATATTTACTTAAAGAAAGGATTGTTTTAATGATTATGCTTTGCTTTTAGTGTTTGCTTTTATTAAGGGGATTATGTAACTTAGAACCAGGGATTAATTAATTAAAATTTATGAACTAAAAAACAAATCATGAAACCCCAGGTCACCGTCATCGATAACTCGGATCCGGACTGGTGGAAGGGCAAGGTCCTGGGCCGCGTTGGCTACTTCCCATCCAAGTATTGTGTGCGTCTAAATGCCAACGAGAAGCCCCTTCAGGTGACCCACAACCTCCAGGTCTCCGACAGCGAGCGTGGCGAGAATCTTACCCTGCTGCGTGATCAAATCGTCATCCAGGTAAAAGAGAGAGAAACCCATCCCCCATAACCAGACTTTTCATTCCCAAAAACACCCCACTTTCATCCCAAAAAGACCGGCGACGAGGTCAACGGCATGGTTATGATCCGCGCCGCGGAGCACGGGCAGGGCTACTGCCCGATCAAGTATCTGCAGGAGGTGTGACAGCCAGAAGAGGACGAGCCGCCCTCCGACGAGCGGGACAGACCGCACAAGTCATCCCTGCAGACGTCGTCGCGGACAGCGGACAAGACCAAGCGTAGGATTAGAATCGTAGTGTCCGAGAACCACAGTTTAGCTGGTAGTAGCGTTGCACCCGCATCTGCATCCGCACCAACCGTAACCACATCCGCCTCCATGCACCACCTGAGCCAGTACCATCATCATCATCATCAAGTTCCCCGCGAGTCCGACACGGAGACGAAGCGGCTGAACATCGACTACGGCGAGGAGTCGGGCAGCGCCGACTGGGACAAGGACAGGGAAGTCCTTATCCTCTCGGGAAGACGCAACAAGAACGACAAGAACTGGGAGAACTGGGAACGCATTCGCGAACAGAAACTGGAGAAGATGAAGGGCATCTGCTTCGAGAGCTACCGCCAGTCGAAAAGGGACAAGCTGCTGCAGGCCAAGCCACGGCCCAAGCAGCTGGATCCCACCTGGTACACGGACAACATTTACTCCAATCGCTCCGACGACATGGACGAGGACTATGTCCCGGATTGCCTCAAGTACGGACCCTTCCGCACGCTGCGCGATATCCACGAGCTGGACGAGAAGAGCGGTGTGTCAGGAACCACGGAGCAGGAGCGCCGGGGCGAGGGCGAGGGATCCCCCGGCTATGGGCTGCATCGTTCCAAGAGCTGTAAGGAGTTTCAGTACCCCAAGTCCCAGAGCTGGTGCTTCGAGGGCAATGTCTTCGAGGCGGGCGGCGGCGTGGCCAGTGGCAGTGGCAGCTCCGGAGGCCCTGGCACCACTGCCCCGCCTGCTGCCACCACCTCCATCCTGAAAAACCGGGCGGGTGTGCCCAAGTCGTACTCCTTTAGTGCCACCACCAAGACCATGCCCTTCGACATCATCGACTACGAGCTGCCCCCCGCCTCGAATACACGCCGTGAGAAGCGAGAGGCGTACCGCCGCAACATGAACCAGCTGTGCAGCAGCAGCCTGGACCGCTGTTGTGCCAGGGATCAGTGCACCAGCGCCCGCTGTCTGCTGGAGGATATCTATCCGGGTTCCAGGATGAGACCCAGGGCACCGGGAGCCGGAAGCAGCCGGAACCTGAGTGCCGCCGACTGGCTGTTTGAGGAAAGAGGTGGAGGGGCAAGGCTTCCCCCCAGGCTACCAACCACTGCACCCACGGTCATCTGCTGCTGCTCAGCGGCGGAGGACTGCTGCTGCCATCGCCAGCAACGCCAACAGGCACCGCCTCCCGCCCCGCTGCGTCCCCATGGCCGGCCGCATTGTCCTGGACATCATCCTGCTGCCGAGGAGGAGGAGCACATGCACTGCCGCTACGATACCGACCTGGAGCACTTTATACGCGCCGAAAGGGAACGTCTGCTGCTGCAGGACAAGTTCCTGGATGAGGACGAGCGGTATTTAAGTGCTGCTGCTCCCCGTAGTCCTGGAAGGCGATATGCCTCGGGAAACTATCAACGCCCCCCGCGCAGCAAATCGCTGCTGGAGATGCAGCCTCATCCGCCGGCCACTCTGTACGACGAGGACACCTGCTCGGACACCACTGAGATCGACTTGGAGGACTTTAACATCGATTTGGAAAAGTACTGGGAGCAGCTCGACAAGCCGCCCAGTCCCATCAACATGGACATGCGCCGCAATATGCACAGCAGCCTCAAGGTGAAGAACGTCAATGTGAGATGCTACAACAATGGCCAGCCGATTGATCTCCATGACCGGGAGCACGAGCGACTGATGATCAAGAAGTCACTCCTGGAGGGCATGCCCTCGCCCCCGCAGCTGGACTCCAGCGAGTCCTCGACCAACGTTGGTGGCTATCATCCATCTTTTTTTGACTCTGCGCCCGCGCCCGCTCCTGCCTTCCAGCACCGAACCTCCTACGGCCACAATCCGCTTAGCCAGGGCTATGGTCACAAGGTGTATCCCACGGTGGACACGCTGCCCTCGTATCAGTATAATAACTTTTATCCGGAGCACTCTGGACACTCGACGGTGGGCAGTGTGCTCACCCAACAACCGCCGGCGGGCATCCATCATCCGTCGGCCGGGGGTCACTCTGCCTTGAGCCTGATCAACAACATCTTTTCCATTTACAAGCCCAACAAGTATTCGCCGGAGAACTGCCAGATGAACTATGAGAGCAAGCCGGAGCCTTGCAAGAAGATGAATATGCCCAGCACTCGAAGACCCCTGGGAGCAGCCTCGATTCAGCAGCATCCCATGCAACATCCCCCGCATGATTATGTCCACTCCTCGATGAAGCGACCGCTGCTGGTGAGCGCCGATCAGCCGCACTTCAAGATTATACCAGAGAAGACGGGTCTGAAGATATCACCGCTGCTGAGCTACGAGGATTATGGCGGGGGAGAGAAGGCCAGCCACCACCACAGGCTGAGTAGTACGGCGCGGCCTCTGATGCTCCCGCACTGATGGTGCTGGACCTTTCCTTGGTATGGCAATGGCAATGGCAATGGCAACTACTGCTAGGTTGGGCAGTCCTAACTAACCCCAAACCCTTAAAAAAAAAGACTCGCGAATAGCAAACCCAAGCGCACAAACTGGGTCCAGCCAAAGAGGGTAGGAAGCTGGGCAGGATCTCCAGGCTCAACTTCCGCTTTCCCTTGACTCCAATCCACCAACTCGCCGTCTTCTTCGTCGTCGTCGTCGTCGTCTTCGTCCATCCGCACAATTTGCTTTTGGTTTAGCAGGGCAAGTGTTCCATCGATGCATCGATCCTTGAGAGGAGACAACAACAACAACAACAACAACAGCCATACCATTGGAAACAGCACTCAGACACCAACAACAACAACAAACAGCCGAAAGAAACAAGACCAACTTAGTCAAGGATATGTCAGGATATATGTCAAAAGTAAAAAAAAACAAGCGTAGGCTTAGTAGCAACGATTTGATCAGCGGATCGATTAGGATTAACCAGCAAAAACAGGATACCCAATCATACTCCTCACTCACACACACACACACGTATACAATCAATGTGCTTTTAATTCGCTTAAAATCGCTAGAGAAAAATCAAGTTCGCTAACAACAACAAAAAGGAAAATCCAACAACAGATACACTAATTTTCGAGCAACTTTTAAGCAATCAATACGCGATTCCAATAGAACGAAGCGTAGACCCAAGTCGGCTATATATATACATATATACAGATATGTGTATTAAGCCGTTCATATCGCGTTTCATATATTCCAATATGAACCTTAAACTCTGTAGCAAGCTAAAACGGATTTTATTCGGGAGTATATACATTTATATATGATATAGATCTCTACCGGGACTTATTTCGTCGGCTAAAAACGCGATAATTTTGAGGAGAAAGTAAAATACTAAAGAAGGAGAACCGTTTTTATTGTTACCAAAATTTTTTCTATTTTTTATACCAAACAACTTTGAATCAACTAAACGGAAAGGTATAGAGAGAGATCGGGAGAGTTCACCAAAATTGCAGCTAGGATCGTTAGGGCTAGAAGCTTACCCCATAAGTTGCGGCTACTAGAAGGGATTATTATACGAATACCAGCGCATGTGCTATATACTATAAATATATATATGCGGAGGACTCGATAGAAGCGCTTTTTGTAAACTAACTAGATTTGTATCGAAATGTGAAACATTGAATATGATAAAACATGAATTGTACTTTTATGATGTATGCGTATCCACTGGCCTTATTTATTGAAGAAGTAACCAAAAAATAAAAAATTAATATAAAAAAACAATGAGCTGAACCCTCACACACAAACATAACACTGACATCCAGAAAAACAACTTGAGAATTACAACAACAACAAACAAATTGAATTTTCACAAAGATTTTAGCTTAAGGCTTCGCGTCACTTTCGTTAATTGTTTTTTGGCGTCCAATTTTACATGATAACTAACGTAGGACTCTAGAAAGAACAACAAATCGAAACTATCGAGCATAGATTAACAACTATCGAGTATTTTGTAGTGCGTAAGCTAAACTAAAACCCAAGAACTACAAAAACCAAACCAAAATGAGAAAAGCGATGAAGATTTTGAATTTGAATTTATTTTTAACGACTTTTTGAATACAATGAGATCGTTTTTTATCTATTTAACATTTTCTTGAACCACATACAACAACAACAACTATTTGCTAAGTGTACCCTATGGCCTATGAGTTAGTTAGTAAGAGTAACGAGTTTTTCCAAGCCCTAAAAACCCCGCTTTGACCACTGGACAGATACAGATACAAATGAAGAGAGAGATACAGATACAGGACAGACGGACAGTATGACAGGGGGTATTCTGCACAAAACCCAATCTAGGAAATATCCATATACTGCACCCAATTAATTGTACGATATATATCGAGTAACGATTAACGAGTATTTACGATCACATCTAGCGAGTAAGCAGGAATGAAGAATTGTATTGTAAAATGAATGGAATCGACAAACACGAAAACGCCCAAATCTTATGAGTATGTAAGCAAAGCCGAGAATATAAATTCAAACAGGATAACCGCTGGCCACTGGCCGCCGGACGTCTAACTGCTGAAATTGGCAATTAAGTATATAGGTATACACCCCAAAAACACAAACACATACACACTCACCACACACCATATGTATGTACAATGTAGTAGAATTTTCAACTAAACTAGACCGAAACTTGGCAAAAGTAGCGCCACATCCGTGCAAGTCCAAGGTTCCCGAGAGTCCTTCGATTTTAGAGATTCTAAATCGATTGGTACTCGCCCGTTTTTCCGGGGTCCTGTGTCTCACTTCACGGAGCAGCTTCTCGTTTTTTAGTGTAAATTTTTTGGTTTTACATAAGCGTAAGGAGCAGCAGCAGGATTAGATTGATGCAGCTTCCGGATGAGGAGGTCACTAGCAACTAGCTAGCAGAAAAATACTTGTAAACAGTAACTAGAAAATGGAACAATATAATATCAGAGCAACGTAATATATCAGTTGAAGAGAAAAACAACAACTCATTTAGCACTACCTGCAATTTGAATGTGAAAAGCAAGACACACTCCCCCAGCCCCATGGCCCCCGCTTCTCCGATGCGACCCCATTAATTTACCTGAATTGCAAATAAAAAAAAAAGAAATGTTCGATTCGATGTGAAAAAAAAACAAACAAGCGAAGCTGTGTTTTTTCTGCTTTATGTGGGGGGTTAGTTTATTTTATTGTATTTTTATTTTATTTTATTTTATTTATTCAGCGACGCCTGAAAGTAGGCTGCAAATTGGTAGAGTTGTCAATGGCAGATGCCACGTTTCCACTGCACAATGGATTAAACGGCTAAGTTAAATGAAATGGAAAAGTGCTGAGAGATTATGTTTATCTTTAAAATTCAGTTAAATTTAATGGGAAGAGAGATAATATTTTTGATGTTTCATTTACTTTATTTTTGTTGTATTTTTCCTTGTTAAGTAATCCTCAGTGCTAACAAGGCATTTCAATGTTGGTGGTAATTTAAGGTAAGCAAGAAGGATCTTTAGCTCATTTTCCCTGAATTGATTTCTACAAAAATAATTAAATTATTAAGAAGCATAAATAATATTTCCATAAAATGATTTTATTTACAATAACAAGAATTATATCCCCCACTAAAATTCACACTAAATACTTAAACACTTTGCATTTTATTCAGTTTAAATTTATATCACATTAAATTTTAAATTAACAGAATTACAAAAGTTAGTTGATTCGTCAGTTGATGCTGCTGCAGCTGCAGTTCTTTACAATCTTTACAATCATCTTTACAATCATCATCATCATTATCATAACATTCTCAATTATCGGAAGCTAAGGGGGTCTGCCGTTGACACGCGGCGTTGACAGGACGGTTGTTTGGATTATTTGTTATACATTAATTTGTTACATTATCTTGTTATTCATTCTGTTATTCGTTATTAGTTAGCATACAGATATAGTCAATCATTTAACATAGAGTCACACTTAGGGCTATCACTAAATTGGTTTAAGCTAATTGCATCAGAGTCAGTCGAAGAGATGTTGGGACCTTAAAAGCTACGTTCTCCAGGTGTGTGTGTGTGCGACAGGTGTCTTGTCAGGCTTAGGGGCTAGTTCGTTGTCTGTTCCTGCTGCTGTTGCGGCTGGGGAGGATGTGGTACATCGCCTGGCACTGCTCCTGAGAGAGCTGCTGCTGCCACTGCTGCCGCTGCTGCTGCTGCTGCCGCTGTCGTCGTACTGGCTGCCGCCGCATCCAGATTCAGCGTGTTGCTGCTGGCCGCCTTCTGGTTGGGAAAGAGCACCGAGTAGGCCGGCGGTGGATCCAGTTCCTCATAGTTGGGCGGCGAGGTGGCACCCAGGTGGTCTTGGCCACCGTTGCCGCCTCCACCACCATTGGCAGCGGCCAGCGCCGCCTCCCGCTCGTTGTTGACCGCATGCTGCGATGCAGAGGCTGCAAGGGAACGGATGGATTCAATGTGAGAGCTCAAGCGACAACAGATAACTGTCGAAGGGGGATTAAGGCGTTTAGGATTAGTGGGGGGGTAACGATTGGCGAACAGGTTAGGCACGGTCATAGCACAGCACATGAGTCGCAGGCGGGGGTTTTGTGTGATGTGCAGGGAGAGAAACGATAAACGGGAAAACACGCATGAGTACAATGCCAGATGACAGTGCCTTACTTGGTTGGACTAGACTATGGTGCAGTTTAACGTACCCCAGAGGCCGCAGATGAGCAGGGCTCCGCCGCACAGGAGCATGCCGAGCATCAGATAGCCCCACGGTCCGTACTTGGACAGATCCGAGTGCAGGCCCGATCGCGTAGAGTTGCGCCGGGTGAAACCACTTCCGGATCCCGTTCCCATTCCTCCTCCCATCCCATCGGCCGTGTCATTGTCCGCCTTGTGCTCGGCGCCATCCGTGGCCAGGCTGGGTCCTATGGAGTTGGGTGAACCATCGCCGGGCTTTTTCATGTCTTTGGTGTGCACCTTCCGAAGAGTGGTGGTTGTGGTGGTAGAGTTATCTCCATCGGCTCCTTCACTTCCATTTCTAGGCACTACCTCTGCCGGCCCTGTGGGTGCATCATTGGCAAACAGATTGCGAAACACTTCCAGGGCAAATTGCTCAAAGAGATCCGACTCCAGGCCGGCGGGCAGGTGACCCGCGCCCGGGCGACGCTTCTTCGAGCACAGCTCGTAGTCCTCGTCGCTGTCGTACTCGTTGCTATAAGGACAGTGGCGAATGCCATCGCAGGCCAGCTCCTTGGAGATGCACAGAATGGGTTCATCCCTAAAGGAAGATATTATTATTAATATTATTTTGTACATATATAGTTTTTATTATATTTTATGGACTTACCCTATCCTCAGGCACTGATGTTTGCTTTCATCCTTGCACTGCTCTCCCTTACCCAAAACCGTGACCATCAGCTTGGAGCGCAGCGTGTTCATGCCATGTTCCCACACGATCTTCACGCGGCCATGGAACAGTCTTACAGGATCCTCCATTTCCGAGGCCGTGTCCTCCAGCTGGCAGGGATCCACTCGCCACTGGGCCGTGTGCGGGTCCAGCGAGCTAAACTGTGGGGTGAAGGTAAAGTTAGATAGAGATATGTAAATAGGATTTAGCAATTAAAGCCAGTTGGCTAAAAGCGTGTCCTAAGTGCGTACCGCGAAACGTGCGAGCAAACAGTTTACACGATCGAAATGCTAATCGCTAAAATTCTCGCCTTTTAGTCGCCTCAAGCCACGCCCACTGCTTCTGCCTGCTGACGTGACACGAATGGTTAAGTTCAACAGAACGATCAAAAATCAACGATCAACGATCAAGCCCCGCGAATGCAAACACACATAATGCAAAATTAAATATTTACGCTGGAAAAATACAAAAAGAAACCAGCGGGAGGAACTACGACTTGTGTATACATATATAAAAATAAATCCATTAATATATTGTATCTGCGCTGTTACTGTTTCACGTGCCATGGATGATAAGCTTGATATATACAATGGAAACGGGGTTCAGAGAGCTTTGTGTGTTGGTGTTCCCAGGTTCAATAACTGGAGACTACGCTTTGTAAGCGTAGTAAACAACAATCAACAGAGAAAAACGGTTAAACCCGTTTTAAAAATATTATTAAAAACAATAAACAAGAGTGATTGACGACGACTGCATCGTGATATTTACAAGCCTAGACTTGGCTAGATTCTGTAGATCTCCAGCTCATTAGGGAAGACGTCAACGATTCCTCGTCGCAATTATGGGGACACATCAATTTGCATCGCTGACAGAACAAAGCAGGCTTCATGCAAATCATGGATATGAGCCCACTCCCTCGATCCCAGTTCCCAGTAGCATAGTTTTGCCTTTATGGCGTCGCCAACTGTCAGTCAGTCGTCAGTCCAAGTCGACGGATTTATGGCGACGCGACGAGCAAGTTGCCGAAAGTGTAGCTTTTTTTTCGCTTTTTGCTGCTGCGTGTGTCGCTGCTGCGTTTCGCTTCCCTGGCCAAATGATTCAAACGTGTTTCAAATACAAACAAAAAAAATAGAAGAAGGAACAACGCTTGAGTTCCTCGACTTTGATGTACCCGGTTATATGGAAATTCCTGGCTAACATGTCGTAAAAGGTAACTGATAAAACTGGGCGAAATTTATTCAAAAGTAATTGGTTTTAGAAGCTCATGAGTTGGGACTGACTTTTAGAATTCTTTAGGTAAAGGCATGATTATATTATTTACTCCCTCATCACTTATATTCCCCCCAAGTACCCTGTACAATAACGCCCAAGCAAAATGGTTGAAATCGGCGCGCTTATGCAAATACGACGACGCTTTTTCTGGCTTTGACTGGCCAAAAGAGAACTCTAACGTGGAGTTTTTTGGCTTCGCAGAAAGTGAAACATTCCTCTCCCCGCCCCAGATGGGTTCAATGTCAAGTTGGCGAACTTTAAATGGAAAGTTTCTTATTTAATCGAGAACACCTTGGCAATGTCAATGATCAGCTGACGAATTACGTCGCACTCACCTCGTTCCCCCCGGTAATTGGAGACAATTTCAGATGTCAAACTGTCTCATCGGAAAGCCACAAAAAAGTAACAATGTCAATTGCAAGTACTTATACTTTATATAATCGATAGTTACTATATGAAATTGTGTTGACCATGGCAAACTTTGCTGTAATTTGAGGCATAATTTCTATGTGTTGAGGTAAGATTTCTGTTGAAGTGATTCAAAATTCAGAATTCGGTTTGATCTAAAGCGAATCCTGAACTGTGGAAATTTACTGGCTTGTTTCATGATGAACTCAGCTTTTTGACCTTTTTTTTTATTTTGGAATCCGATTCTCACACTTGAGCGCTGCGCATGCGCAGTGGAGTGGTGTTTTTTCCAAAGCTGAATGAATGGGATCAAAGAAACTGGCAAATAATTCAAGCGGAAGGTGCAGAAAATGGCAACCTCGCACTAATCAGCAAACTACAGCTACACTCTGAGAAAAAGAGGGGGTTTTTTAAAAGAGATTTCAAGTATTTACAAATTTTATCATCATGATATTCAAGAAATTCTATAGTTTTATAATATTCCTTTTAATTTTCAAGCTTTTTTCTACCTTTAACTTTAAATTAAATATTTGTTCTTTAAACAACCTTGAAAATAAATTTAATTTTACTTACGATATTCAGCGGGCAACTGCGTCCAACCACCCGGGAAGCCGCCGTTGAGTTGGTCTGACCCATGGCCATGGCAACTTCCGACTTGGCCGTCCTCCTTAGCTTAGATGAGTTGGTGCTTCCACCTCCGGCAGAGGTGGCAGCCATTATATTTGTGGCCGGACTCGTACTTTCCGGATCCGGCTGAGGCTGACTGTGCCTTAGCTTGGGCAGGATGAGGCGCACAATGAACCCATAGCTTTGTGGAGCACTTAAAATGCGGGCACAAGAAGGATTCTCCTCGCCATAAGAGCCCGGCTTGAGCTCAATGATAAGACTGGACTCCTTGCCATCGCTCTCGATGAAGTGCTCATGCTGGACACTGCACAGAGGCTTGAAAGTTGGGTGTGAACGGCGATCACCTGAAATGGAGAGTTTTAAGAGATTTTTTATAGTACATATATATCAGATCAGTTAATGGAGCAAATGCCTTGGTTTCAAATTCACAGACGAACGCTAATTTGAAAGCAAAGAGTGGATAGGTTTGAAATGACCAGCCATCTGTATGCGGAATAAATCACCCAAACTAACCGCAATGCATGCAGACGACATCCGCGAGTTGTCAATCAATAAATAAACCTAAAATAAAGCCAGTGTGACAAGTCTAAAAATATGATATTCGGTGTGAATTGGTATGGAAATGGATGGATTGGTGGATTGATGGATGGCTGGAAAGGTGCTTATCACGCTCTCTTTTTTTTTTTTTTTTTGTCAGTGATGAAACCAAGCGCTAAAGCAAACACAATACCGAAATTTCCAATTCCAAAATTCAATTAATAGATATAGATTCTACAATAATTGAATGACTGCAGTAGTCGCGAGTGTGTGCTCGTCTTTGTTCAATTATTTTGCACTCGATCTCGAACTTTGCGCCTGGCAAAGGTTAAAGATTCGCACAGCCACTATTAAGTACTTCAATTAATAAAATACAAACACCAGCACACCAGAGCGCGCACACACATTGTTGTCCGTGTAGGAAAACTACTTTTGCACTGTGAACACTTATATATATTGTATATGGTATATGTATATTCATGTATCCATATATCCATATTCTGGGTCAGTGACTGCACCACATATACGTACACTATTATTATATTATTACCCCGAGATGTGGCTGTTGCAGCAACAGCCATATTGTGTGTGTTCATATTTCACATTTGCAGCTTTTCAGCCGCCCTCGCTCTTTTTTATATACCCTTGCGGGGGGTTAAAAAATATTTTGTATATTTTGTAGAGCCATAAAAAGTATTTTTTTAAATCTTTAAAATGTATGTGCGGGTAACGAGTGCTGGAGAAACCTCTTGTGCCTGGAAATCTCTTAAAAATTAAGACTTAAAATATAAAATATGCAAGAATAAATTTAGTTTATGAGAATTAAGGGAAAGGGGCTTTATTTTTAGGTACTTTCTAAATTGATTTAGGATTACGACGTATTTTTAGATTTTTTTAAATATTTTTAAACGTCTCTTACTAATTTTATCTTTATATTTCAAGATTTCAAAAGATTTTAGTGGTAAGTATAATAAATTTTATATATGAAAATATTGTAAGAAGCTTTAGAAATCATTTAAAGCTTCAAATCCCTTTAAATGATGGCCCAAATTACACTATAGAACTGCCAAATTTCTTATATAATTTTTAAATAAAAATAGGGATTAAAAAAGTGAAGAATCTTCATGCTTTTATTACATTTTATCATTATTAATACAATTTTCTATTACATTTTCCTTTAATTTAAGAGCATTTAAATTTCGTTTATCAAAAGTTCAACTTCCCTTCTCAATTGTTTCTTTTTCTGTCGAGCAATTGCCACACAACATTTGCGTACACTATTAAACATTTTTATTCGCTGCCCATGTAAAAACAATTTGCATTTCCATCTCGCGCCCAAGTCGCAATAATCGTGTGTGCGAGAGTGCAATTTAGCAGCTAATTCCCATTTCGAACTTGACATTAATAGCCAAGTTGGTTCGTTTCGTTTATTCGTTTATTCGTTTTGGAGCTGTCTCCACGTGCCGGGCTGGATGGAGTTGCTTTCAATCATCGTTTCGCCAAATGCACTCAATTACAAGCGGGTTAATGGCAGACATTTGGACAGTTTATATGGGTTATTTAAGTAATCGGTTGAGTTGTTCTAGAGAAAGTTAAACAAATAACACCCATTCAGCGCCCATGCGGCATCTTCAATTAGTAGCAATTGTTACAGAATGAAAAGCCATTAGCACTGTAATACAATGAATTCCATACAGTTAAGTAATGATTAAGGCTTATATTCCGAGGGCCAGGCCAGTCGGAGCGTCATTGCTAATTGGGTTAAAAGCACACACAGCATACACACACAGCACTCACATTCAAACACACAACAAATGCTTTACATATACAGCTTAAATTAATGCTCAACCTGGGTTTGTTTTTGGGGAGCCCTAGTGTCGATCTGGTGGTGGAGTTCATATGGAAATGGGTTTACGATTTACGGAAAGCCAGCGAAGCGGGCCCAAAAGAAAGGGCCCACCAATGTTCCACCCAATTTTTTCCCCTAAATATGCCGTTAATAATTTGTCTTATTTTTCAGAGCAGAACCGCTCAGCGTATTACCTTTTTTTTGGGGAAAGCAGAACGCTTTCCCGGGGAAAGTCGCCAAGTGAAGCTTAGGCTCTGCCCAAAAAAATACTTCAAACTTGTACCTGAAACCCAAGAGAGCTACGTCATTTTCGTTTTTGGGCAAGGTCAGGTTAACACAGTCCCCGATTATACAGATAAACATCAACAAAGGCAAACAGCAAACAAAACAAACGAACTGGCAGACAAACATAAAAAACAAAACAAATTACAACAAGCTCTTGAACACCGAAAAAAAATGTTTATTAAAGTGTTTAAGTTTTAATTTGATCAAATTATAAACGTATCAATCAAATAAATATGCTTTAGGTTAATAAAATTATTTTAAATTGATTTTTTCTAGCTGAGAAATAATGAATCTCTTTTCAGGCGGCAATCATTACTTGCTGAATGTTATTTATTGTTCAATTTTGATTAATTATTTCGCTGAATTAATCAAAACTAAATTGATTTGTGACTTTCTTTTGTATAATTATGACACAAAAATCTTAACAGGAAGACATCATATCAAGCATTTGAACGCTTTAAAAACTAAAGAGAAATTTTAATAATAAATTTATTAAGGTTTTTCATAAAGATATTATTTTTAGTAAACGAAAACATACTCCCATAATTTTTATATTTAAATTTTAATTAAAAAACACAACAGAATCGCTATACTTTTCCCCCAGTTTACTTCTATTTATCGGCTGATAACTCGCGAGATATAACTCTGGCCGGATGGGTGGTGGGTGTGTGTGCGTGCGTGTGTATCGGTGTGTAGGTCAAGCAGCAGCAGCAGCAGCAGCCACTTCAATTTGAAAAGGGCACATTAAAATGCGTAGTCAATGCCGATCCACAAGTTATAGTGCCTATATACAGTCCCCAACGAGTGGGCCAGTTGTGAGTTGCTGTTGTTGGCTTGGACTTGGATTTAGATTTAGACAAAAACGGAACTTGGCCAAGAGCAAACTGCAACTGCTCGTGCAGAGATTGTCAAGCAGTTAAGAGGGCCTGCCTGAATGTTGGTTTCTGCTTCTGTTTCTTTCTTTTTTTTTTTTTTTTTCTCTCGAGTGGCGACTGGGCATAATAAATTCTGTGGCTGCCACGCGATGCGGACGCGTGTTGCATGCTGGATGGCTGGATGGATGGATGGCTGAATGTTTGGATGCTGGGGATTCTGCTCACTCGTCATAATTACGCCCGGCTGCCTGCGGCAAGGGGGCGTGGCTCGGGACGCGGCTTAAAGCAAACCTGGGAGCCAGAACAGCAGGGAATAGCGGAAGAAGAACAGTAAAAGCGCACGATGGAGAGAGACACTTGAAAAAAAGTTGTTGTTAAAAATTACACAACACTCACGCACACAAACACACACACACATATAGCATACCCCGAGTGAGCGCCACTTGACGCACAAACAGAAACAAACAAAAACAGTCTACAAGTGCAGTTTGTTATACTCTTCTCTTCCGCTTAAATCGGGGGTTTTCCATAAACCCGTTGAGCCCGCCAAGCCATGAACCCTTCAACAAGCTCGAAAGTTTCACAATCGAATTAGGGAATCGATATTTATCTGCACGTCGACAAGAGGAAGCAATTGATTTTGTTTTGAGTGTGTGTGTGTTGCCTTTTGACTTAGAAATTTGTTAAACCCTCTCAGAGAGCTTAGTATCTTATTTTGGCAAGTGGGTTTAATAAAGTCTCTAAGTCTATCAATAATTTATTAGTTGTTCATTAGATTGAACAGATTGAGTCAGTTCTACCATTAGGAAAAACGAGTTTAAGAAGCACCATTATCGAGTTTTAAATATTTTTAAATTTAATATAAGGTAATGGTACTAATTTTTGTAATAGGCACAAATTATTTAATACAAAAATCTTAATAAATAAAATATAAATACATATGTATATTGAAAGCAGTAAAAAATATGAAGTATTAAAAACTAGTCTCTAAAATTGTATTTTACTTTAAAGCTAAAAAATATAAATGGGACAGTTTGTATTTATTTTGATATTTCTAATTCTTGTAACATCTTGACTCCCCCTTAAAATCGTTCCCTTTAGAGCATCTGATTTTCTACTATTCCCGCTCATCATTCCATTTGCTTTATTTTTATTTGTGAAACTACAGAAATTAGGTCAACTATCAAAGTCAGAATGGCAAGGGTTAAGTGCTTGTCCCTCTTCCCTGCTCTCTGTCGCTGTCGCTGTCTCTATCTCTCTGTCTGTGCCTCCTCTGCCTCTGGCCTCGCACCTTTCCCCCTTTTCCCCAGTCAGTCCCATCTCTCCCACTTTTCCACAGCACACGAACGTGCGGCTGGCTTTGGACAGCGCGCTACATTTCCCGTTGGCCAATTTTCCTAATAGGTCAAGCGAATGTGTCATCATGTTGCTGCTGCCTCGGTTCCTGCTGCCTCGACTCCTCCTGTTGGCCACTGTCGTTGGGTTGTCTTTTTGTCCCGACTAAAGAACGACAAAATAAATAAATTGTACAATAAACAAGAAATCAGGCAAGTTTACCAGCCAGCAACTGGGCAATTGTTGCACTAGAAGTTGCTGCTGCTGCTGCTGCTGCTACTTGCAACTTGCTGCTGTTGCGTGCAACACATTGCCAGACCTAACGGCAACTGTTGCTGCTTAACTGGCCAGCCAGTCAGCGGAAAGCCAGTTGAACATGACTCCTAATGGCCGCATACATAAATCAAAGACCCATTTTCAGCACTTGGCAGCAAAAAGCAGTATCGAGGGAGGAGAAGAGAAGCTTTAAAGAATTGGAAGCCCCCGAAAATTGCTTCAACTACTAGGGGCCAAATGGCAGCTTTTCTATTCGTATTTTTTGTTTTTCTTATGGACAATTTGCATTTTAATTAAGAGCTGCTTGTGCAAAAAAAAAAAAAGAAAAAGTTTCAGTTTTGAATTGAAAAACGCGGCAAGTCCAGGGTGGGTGTGTAAACTAATTGAACCTAGATGACATCGCGCTGCCCAGCTAGCTGCTACGATATGCTATATTCATAGTAAGATCCCAATACTTGGAGGAACTTCTCCGCAATCCCATCCAATCCGATCCAATCCACATATGGCTGCTGGCAACATATGTTAATTCCATTTTATATTCACAACAGCGCAACGGCAAAACAGAGCTGGAAACCAGTTTGCAAACATGTACATGGATAAATATACATATGAATGTTTATGGCTGGATAAATAACTCTGGTGGCCGCGGTCTCGCCGCTTTGTTGTGTCAGCCAAAAAACTTCGGATAGAGTAAACACTATTCCAGATCAAGATTCGCTGCGTTCGATTTAGATTTCATTTTGGGGGGAAAAACTTAAAGCTGCGCACTTACTTTCGCGCGGATTATTATAGTTGTAACTTTGTTTTGATAAAAATATATTTGTGAAAATATATATCTGTCTAGATTGGTTTTAATTTTATTTAAGTCTATTAATTGTATAAAGAAGCTTTGAAAGCAGCATTCCATTTACTGATTATCATATTAAACTCATTTTGTTTATCTTTTTTTATGCCACAATAGAAATTCCATTAATATCAAGTTAAAAATATGGCAGGTACAGTTTGATAACACTTGTTAAAATAAATATCATTCCCATTCATGATTTATTTATTAGATTATCACTCATATATCATTTTTCTTGATATAAAATATTCCATTAAAATCAACTAGAACACGATCTAATTTCTCTTTGGATTCCCCACTTATTCCGTACTGTTTATGGCGTTCTCAAAAGCCTATGGATCACTGGGCCTCGGTGGGTTCACTTTGATGTGTTACCATTAACGTTAACCCCTGGCTGCAACGGCGGAGATCCAGCCGCGTAGTTTGCCAATCTGGCTCTTTGTTCGGGCCATAACTGTATTCAATGAGGTCGTCTGGCGGTTGGGTTGCGTTTTCTGTTTTTTGTTGTTGCCTTTCTGTTCTCCGCTTTGTGTTGTTTCTTTTTTTTTTTAGTTTTTTGTTTCTGTTTCAAGTTTCACAGAAAAAAAGTATTTTCTTTTATTTGCATTACATTGTTTTTTGAAATTTCTTGCCGCAAAACTTCCGCGTGATGTATTTACGGCTTCACGCCGATTTTTACTTTTATTTGTTTTATTTTTTATGGCCAGAGCTAGAGAGTCAAATGATTCACGAAGCCTCGCGCTTATCAGCGGCCCAAGGTGGGCTGTTGGTAGTAATCTAAGCTTTTTTTTTTGGCCAAAATCGTTGGCAAGACCATGTGCACGAGGCTCGGCGGGATCGGGTCGGTCAAACGCGGTTAAGATCGAGTGTGTGGGGGAACCGACAACCGGTTTCTCAAACAGAAAACAGCACAAATAATCGGTGATAAAATTAAAAGCACACACAACAAATGACAGTGGTTCATAATGCGCGTATTCTATACCCACGGCTATATGGGATGGGTGACTAAAAAAAGAGCCCATAATAGCAGAGATTAGAAAGGCAAGTTGGTAACTACAGTCAATACCACACAACTAACGACCTTTGGAGGTCTTTACAACAGAAGGAGCTTCTATAATATTATTAATGACAGTAAAATAGGTTGGATTTTCTTTTGAAAACACTTTAAAGACTTTTAAATATTACTTATTTCAGTAATCTATAATTTAAGTAAGATAAATGATTTAACTCGAATTTGTAGGTTAAGAGAAATTTAGTAAAGAATTTCCAGAAAAAGCTGTTTGAATTTTAAATAATAAAAGCTAAATTGTATTCAATTAAAGCAGACAACTAAAGGCCGGTTTCTACTTTTAATTAAGTACCTATTATAATTAATTGGGGGAAACCTGAGTGTGTAAATTGAGTTCAAAAGGTAAGGCTAATATGAATATTAATTTATAAAAGAATGTTACTACAAATTGGCAAGGGAAGTAATTAAACCTCTCAGAAAAACGTAAATCTTATAAATGTATAATTTATATAATGTAGGAAGTTCGTTTTTTAAAAGGTCAGAGAAATCTTATTAAAATTAGGGTAGAAAGTAAATATCTAATTATTTTTTTTAGCCAACTCAAGTGACCCGGACACCTTGAATGCATTTATCTTTTGCAGACAAACTTTCTTCGATTTACAGCAATCCAAGATTGCGGAAGTTCAATCTTTGGAAGATCAACTGTAAAACGAGAAGTGAAATCGAAGTTTTGAACTCGAGTGTGTGTGTGCGGGGGAAGTACCTCCTTTTCTGGTCAGATCATGTGACCCGTTGCTTCACACACCAGTTCCTCGAAAGATGGCAATTATAGAAGCACTTGAGGCGCCACAATTACCAATTCTTCCCAGCAATGCCCACCCTTTCGCCATTTCACCACCTTAGGCTGCAGAGGCAAACCTTCTTCTCACAAACTTTTTACACACAATGAGGAGTTTGGTTGATTAAAAAAAAATATATTTAAAATGAGACAGATTTTCCCAGGCACATTTTCATTAGGGTCTTCCCAGGGATTGCAGGGGATTTTCATGAAATTTTATACGATTTTCATTAGTTTTTTGAATGAGCACTAACCGAAGGAGGAGACTGCTGCACTTTGGACGATGGCGGCGCTGGCGGCCAGGAGTGTGATCAACGCCCACGCGCCGTAAATTTGCAGAAACCGATGGCTGCCGCTGTTGCGTCGCTGTTGCTGCTGCGCCTGCGCCTGTTTTTGCTGTGTTTGTTGCCTTTGTTGTTGTTGCTGGGCGCAGCGAACGCAGGCGGCGGTCGCCATGTTGTTTGTCTGTCAGTCGGTTTTATTTATTGTTGTTGTTGTATATTTTTTTAGTTAGTTTTTTGTTTTAAAACAGCTTTGCAGTGCCGTTGATCGTCGTCGTTTGTCGTTTGGCTTTGCCTCTCCTATCGAATTTCACTCAGCGCCTCAGACACAAAAGCCGTTGCCTATTTGGCGATTCACTCGGTTAATTGCGCAATCTGGTTTGCCGCCTTAAAGCCAGTTATACGCCGCGGAGGATCCCCGTTCCGGGATCCGTTACTCGCGCAGCTCCACGCGCGCGCCCTTCCTCGAAAAGGAGCCGAAAACGTAGCCGAAGCCGTGTTGCTGCTCTCCACTTTAATACCTGTGCGCCGCTGTTCGAACTCGCGAACTCGCTGCGACGACCGATCGGATGGAACTGAGCGCGCAGGTCTGGCTTGGGGCCCAAGCAGAGCTCCAGCGATCTTTGTCGGGCTGAGTGAGTAAGAGAGGCGGAAGCTTGAGCCAGCTGCGGCATGCTCTCTTTAAGCTTGGCGAGAGACGGAGTGCAGAAAAGCAATGCAAGATGCACAGTGAAAAAATACTATGGGTAATTCAATACAATTAAATAAAACATTCGGAAATTTAGCAAAATAAATAAATATTTTATACGTTACAATATATAATACCAAAAATTATATTCATTAAATTCATTTCATATTTATTATGCATTAAATAAATTTATTGAATTTAAATAACAACTTATTTTAGACTTCACATAATATCAGAATTTTCGAAAAATTGCGTATACGTAAGGTGGGACAAATAAAATTTCGTTTATAAAATATTTGACTTACTTTAAAGCAGTTTAAATTCGTTATTTCTAGTTAAAAAAGTCAATTAATTCTAACCCATCGGAAATAAGATAAAATATTTTTGTTCTTAAAGCCACAGTACGTATGAGTGATAAAAAGTTTTTGAAAAAAACAAGACTAGACAAACAAATTATGACTAATTGTTCTCAAAACAAAAAATATAACTAAATATATATTAATTTTTGTTAGTTAAGAAACACAAAATTATAAATTTAATTTATCTATTTGTAAAAAGCGTAAATTACGTTTTGAATTATATGGAACCCAATAGATTGATCTACGATCTTATACCTTTCCTTCTTAATTTATTTTTGCAAAAAACCTTAACTTTGTGATTTGTATTTGAAACCCTATTGATTGATCTATGATCTTGTTTTTTGCCGTGCAAGGCTCGTAAACAACTGTAACGCTGCAAATCAACTAACAAAGCGGAGGCAAAGACACGAGCCAAGGAAGCGGGTCGAAAAGAGAAATCGCAATCGAGCAGGAGCTCAGAAGATTGAAGGAGAAGAAGGATGCGGGGAAGGGCGAGGTTCTCTCCTTCATCTACCACTAACAAAATAAGAAGAAGAAAAACAACAACAGGCATCAGCAATCAGTGCAACCGTTTGTACTCTCTGCGGCGCTCTCCTCTGACTCACGGAGCTTACGGCGTCAAACGGATTTTTGCATTCGCTTGTTTTGTGCATTTGTCGTTGTTAGCGTTGTTGTTGTTTTTGTTGTTGTTGCTGGCCGTGTGCTATATTTTTTTGCAGGCCCTCTTGTTGGTTTTTTTTCCCCCCGTATTTTTTCTTGGTTTATTTTTTTTTTTTGCTGGAGCCGAGGGAGTTGCGGGTCTGTAACCCAATTTTCAAACGAGTCAAGTCGATATGCGAACGAAAGAAGCAGAACAAAGTGTGCAAAAAATCAAAAATCAGCTGGAAAAGGCGAACATAAAAAAAAGAACTCAAGGCGACGAACGCATTGGATGTGGGAAGACAGAGAATACGAAAATTACAGCAAAAGACGCTCTGTAAAAAAAAATGGAAAAAATCGAAAGCAGTTCAAACAACATGTGTCAAAAGGGATGAGCACGAAACACATCTCAGCGGATGAGAGATGAATGCACACCACATGTTCCCCAGTTCCTGCATCCCACACATATCCCACATCCCAATTCTCTGGTGGATGTGGGGCAAATTGGGAGTTTACCTTAAGCCCGGCCAGATGACAGGACCCGCTCGCCTCCAAGGCCAACAACGGATTGGGAAAGTGGGTTAAAGCCCCGTTGATCCCCATAAATTTTAAAGTCAGCGAAGAGAGACGACGGACAAGCGAGTTTAGGTCACAGGAATACGCGATAAAAATCGTTGATTCTTTGGACAGAAAAATTGATTTATTCAGAATAATTTAAATGTAAAAGAAAAACATATTAACCATGATTATAAACTATGTTTATTATAGTTCTTTAATTTTCTTTTCTTAAAACCCTAAAAGGTATCCTTCGCTGCTGTTTACTGTCTTATTTGTTTTTAAAATTTCAGATAAAATCAAGTAACTTATTACTTGTAACCAAATTCCGTAATGCATTACCTTGTATTCTCTCGAAAGATTTAACAACTTTCGCGTCGCTTCCAAAGTCTTGGGCTTTGTTTGTCTGGCTGCAAAAATAAATATTGAAAAACTCTCGTACATTGCATAAGTCAAATAAACATTCAAAATGGATTGCCTGCCCCTCGAACTCCCTGCTTAGCCCCATCTGTGACTGGCTCACTCTTGGCAACAGCAGCGTCGATTCAGCCGGTATATACATAAGTAGCATAGTTTGGGCAACGTGAAAAACCAGGCTTCATTTATACCCTTTTGAAGAGGGTACCATAATTTGCTTAATAGCTATAAATATTTATCTAATAACTTGGCACACAGTTACAAATAAATTAAGTAATAAGTTTATTTCACAATAAGGATTTAACGTATTTTCCACTCCATCCTTCTTAAATTCCAAGGGTCAATCATTCACGGGTTAAGGTCACAGTAGCCACTGCTATGACAAGCAGGATAAGCATCACGATCAGCACGTAAAAACAAGGGCACATCGTTCTTAGGATACTCCCAGCACACTGTTTTTTATTAATAAATATTTTGAGTGAAACTGCAGAGAAGGCTAAAAATTGTTATAAATCAGATTCAAGAATTAGTTTGTTTAACGAAAACTGTCAAATCGGAAGCCTGAAACCAGCCTGCTCCATAGTTTTCCGGAAGCAAGGAATCGAAACAAGTGAGCAGCCCAACCGTCATAAAGGTTTCATAGAGAGAGTCTTCGTTAATTTAGTTTCCTATTAATTATAATTTATATTAAATTCAATTTTTCTATTTATTTGTTTTAATTTTATTTATCCTAGAGTATTCCTGCTTCGTCTTCATTAGTTAAGTCTTTAATGTTTTCATTTTACAAGTATGTGCTGCAGTTTTTGTGCTCTTATCGCTGCATTTGGCTGTTTGCCAGTCTACGCGGGCTGCGAGTTGCTAGCTGGTAGTTGCTAGTTGCAAGTTGCTGCCGGGGCAGGCTGCCGTGCGTAGTGGCGAAGCTAAAAATAAACTGCATGTAATTATAGTCGCAGCAACTTGTTGCACTTACCGAGACAAAAAAGCGGTTAAAGCCATGTCCAAAACACACAAAAAACGGGCAACTAACCGGCCAAGCAACTGAGAGAGCGGCCTAAGAGAAGCAGCGTCTCTGAGTTCTCTTTTGGGCCAACTCTTGCGGCTCTTTGGACCGCTTCTAGTCACGTCGACCGCCGTGGACCACAGCCCCGATATATCTGTATATAATAATATCGTATATTAGCTGGGTCACGTATGCGTGTGATTTGTGGGCGCTGCAAAATTTTGTCCTGCTATCGAGACACGTTTAACTTCTTGGCTACAGACGCTCGAAGACGGAGACTGCGGTGGCCACCGGCTAACCTTGGCCTAAATTAAGGGGTCCGTTCAATCGATGTCGATCTGAGCCAAGTGGTAAACAACATAAAGCAGGTCAGGTGGCTAGCTTAGAATTACCTGGAAATTAAAGTAAACAACAGTGGGATTTGTTAAAGTTCTAGAATGAGTTTTTTTCTAATAAATGTCTAGAAATTTAACGAATATTCTACTTATTTTATGTAAGATTTTTATAAAACTAAAAAGTAACATTTTTAAACATTTTTACATAATTTTTTACATAAACAGTGGCGCCGTCAATAGTATTGGTTGAATTTCGGAACTAAGTTTTGTAAGTTACTTACTTTTTACAGCATTATTTCCTGTAATTTTGATTTTTCATTTAAATATATATTATTTACTTTTAAAGTACACTAAATTTTGAATAAAAATCTATCTTAGATATAGACAAGGTATTTAATGATATAAAAAATCCCCTACTAATGTTGAAAAGTTTATTAAAATAAATCAAAATTATGAGTAAACTACGTGTAAAATTATTTAAAAGGCAAATAGCTCGAACACTCCTATGATAAAGCTCAAAAAGTCTATAAAAAGTTCGATTATAATATATTACTTATTTAAGAAATTTTAAAATGAATTCAAAGACTTACAGAATTCTCTACGAAATACATACAATTATATCAAAAGTTATCCCCAAATGAAGAAAACCCCATAAAAGTTTAATTTATTTTTCATTTTTATTTTAATATTTGTACGTAAATTAACTTAAATTATGATAATTTTAACATCAGCATAGAATATTTACAAAATGGAAATACTACGAGAGGATTGGATGCAATGCCGTGATCAATGGAACGTGATAATCTTTTCTTTTCTTTTTTTTTTTTTTTTTGTTCGTTTTGTTTTTGTGCAGAAAATGTGCAACCTGAGGACAGAGTTAGGAAAATTGAAGAAAAAAACTAAGGGAGGAGTAAAACAATAGGGGAAGGGGGCTTTCAGGGGCGCACGATGATCATGTCTAGTTGAGTAGCTAAAAATGGCATTTGTATTTGTGGACTGCGGCGGCGGCTGGACTCGACTGCATGCTTATCTATCTGCGACGCAGATGCATCATGGACTCCAGAGAGCTCTGGTCCAGGGTGGCAGCATGCTCCAGATCCTCACTGCTGGCATTCTCCTCGGCCACGTTGACGAACGTGCTCGAGAGCTCGCCATTCAGACGGTTAATGCTGCCGGTTCCTATGTCGTACATGAAGATTTCCTGCTCCGCAGAGGCGTCAGAGGATCTGGAATGGATTATAAATATTATTTGTATTAAAAGTAATTTTATTATTCTTTAAATCCACTCACTTGGCCACTAGAAGAACCACGGACTGCAAATCCAGATCCGTGCGCGCCTCCTTCTCCAGCCAGCGCTTGAAGTTGTCCCTGGTGGGCTTCTTCACCAGCGTCTTGATGAGCTCGCCGCCCAGGAACTTGACCTCCTTGCCATCGGCACTGCGTGCCTCGCTGCTGCCAGATTGGCTGGGATTTTGAGCCTCCACTGGGGCCAGGACCACCACACTCACTATCCGCTTGCCCTGCAGCTCCTCGCTGTCTGGAATGGGGAACTGGGCTCCGTTGATTTTCAGGGGAAGATAGCGATTGTATTGCTGACGCTCGGCCAGATCCACGGGAGTCACCACTGTGGCATCCGTTCTCACATATTTCTCGCTAACACTCTGACCCTGCTCGGCATCATACCGCACGACCTTTACGTCCAGGTTCTGCTTCTGGGGCAGGGAGTTGGTCTGCTTGACACGATCCAGTTGCTTCTCGCTGAGAGCCACCTTGTCGCCGTTGGGCTTGACCACGGTCAATACCTTATTGGTCTCGGCAATCTGGGCGCCACCACCGGCTCCGTAGAAGTGCTGCAGATGCTCAGCGGGCAGGTTCTCCAAAGCAATGTCTCCCTGCTTATCATAGTCCAGGATGGAGATGTCAGCATTGTTCAGAATGCCGGAGGAGAAAAGCTGCTGGCGGAGATCCTCGGGCACTTCGTCGGGCAGCTGAAGCAAGGTCTGGGAGGCCTTGCCATTGGGTGAAGAGGCAGGCGAGGCTGCAGGAGCAGCAGGAGCCGGAGCGGAAGCGGGGGCGGCAACTGTAACTGGAGTAGCTACCTTGACAGTCTGCTGATGATCCTTCTGGTTACGCTGCTCCAGCTCCTTGAACACATCCGAATGGAAAGTGGACACACTGAAGGGTGAGTTATCCCCAGATTGGGAAGTGATCTGGGAGACGGCTGGCTGCCTGGGCTGCTGGGCAAAGTTGGTGCTGGCCTGAGCTTGCAAAGCGGCAGACTGGGCATTGACATGGACCACTGGCTCATTGGTGGCCTGTGGGTACTGGCTGTAGGTCACATAGTTCGAGGAAGGAGGCACTGGAGTCACAACCATGACCTTTTGGCCATGCGTCGACTCGGCATAGATGGGAAGCTGTGGAGGAGCTTCGCTGGGGAAGCTGGAGAAGTGAGATTGCTGATGCTGCTGTTGCTGTTGCTGGAGATTGGATGAGCTGGCTGTAATATAGTGACCGCTAACGGGCTGCTGCACTGTGGGTCCCAGGTTGGGAGCAGGCACATCATGGATCACCTCGTTGCGGGTGTAAGCAAACTGTTGCTGCGACTGATGTTGCTGCTGCTGCTGCTGATACTGTGGCTGCTGCGAGGAGTGGGCAATGGGATTCTGTACCGTCTCTGTGATGTGCTGCTCGAACTTGGGTATGGACTTGAGCAGCTCCGTCTCCTTGGAGGGCTTGATGTCAAAGTAGTTGAGGCTGCTCTGGTGATGCTGCTGCTGCTGATGCACTTGATGCGACTGCTGCTGCGACTGTTGCTTCTGCTGGCTGTAGTACTCCGGCGGAGGAGTGGGTGACCTCACCGTGAACTGTGGCTGCTGCACGAACTGCGGCTGTCGCACAAACTGATAGGATTGCTGCTGATGTGGCAACTTCTGTTGTTGCTGCGGCTGATAGTGTTGCTGCGTTTGGTAGTTGGTATTATCCAGCTTGACAGGCAGTGGCAGAGGCTTCACTTGGGCAGCGGGTGCCGGAGTGGGACGGAACTTGATGGGCTGATATGGCGCCGGAGTCACGCTCTTTGGCGGAATTGTGGGGAAGAATGGCACCTGGACCTGCTTGTGGGGCGGCTTCTGGTACTGCTGTTGCTGCGGTTCCTGTTGGTGGTGTTGCTGGGTGGCATGTTGCTGTGGCTGATGCTGTTGCTGATGTTGCTGCTGCTGCTGATGCGGCTGGTACTGCTGGTTGTGGTTAATGTAGTACTGCGACTGTTGCACTAGCTTGTTGAAGATGCTCTGCGAGGAGGTTGAAGGCAGTTGCTGTTGGGTGATGCTGCCATGATGTGGTGCCTGCACCTGTTGCTGCTGGGTTGGCTTCGGATAACTGGGAGGTGGACCCACCAGAGCAGCCGGTGGCCTAAAGTAGTTGTTTCCATGCTGCGTGGGTAGCTGCTGCTGATGCTGCTGCTGGTAATTAAGACCCTGCGATTGGTAGTTGCTGCCAAAGAGCAGGTTGGAAATAGGTCCAGGACTCCTTCCAAAGTTGTTCTCCCTGCCATAATCAGCCCGGGTATTGCTAATATAACCACTCTCCGATTTGGCCGCCACCGAAGGAGGCAGAGCCACCACTTGACGCTGAATGCTCTCGGCATCGTGCTCTTCAAGAATGTGTCCAGTTTGGTGCTTGTTCTCTGCTCCAAAGGACACATGGATGCCAGAGTTGCTGTGGAACTTCTCCGAGTCTGGGTGGATGATGGTGCGCAGCGTGGTGGACTTAAGAGGTGGCAGGGGTGTCACCGGGTATTGGATTACCTCCTCCTCCTCTTCCTCCTCCTCGTTGTCATCGTTGTTAAGCGAGGCTATGGGTGACTCCAAGTGCAGCTTGTTGTTCTGATCCTTTTTGTAGTTCACATAGAACACATGCACCTTCTCCTTCTTCTTCTTTTTCTTAGTCACAATGGGCTGGGCGGGCTCCTCGGCTATGGTCTCATTGGCATCCTTGATAATGATTTCGATAATGGGTTCGGGAGCCTCCAGATACTGGGGATACTGAGGATAGGGTCCAAAGTTGCTGCTGGGATATTGAGCTGGAATTGGAACAGAAGAGTTTGGTAGATACGTATCCATTAAAGTAAACCCTCTATTCTTACCTATGGCATTTTGGCCATTATAGTAACCCGTCTGGGGATAATAGCTGGCCGTGTTGTCCACATAACCCGCTCTCCTACTGGCTATCTCGGGATACAAGTAGCCGGGATTTCCAAAGTCATAGAGAGTCCTCTTGCCGCGATTGTCGCCAGGCCTCAGAGCCTTCGATTGGCGCGTGGTGGAGCCAGAGCTGGAAGACTTGGTAGTTGTGGCCTTCGACGAAGGCGCCGATGATGGCAAAGTCTGCTTGGTGGCTGTGGGCTTCTCTGGCTCAGCCTTCAGTGGCTTGGTCTCGGTCTTTGGCTTGGCTGTGGTGCTGGAGGATGAGGCAGTCGCTGTGGCTCCAATGACCAACAGCGTCAGCGCCAACTGCAAATTGAATAGAAAGTTTAAGATTAGTACCCGCTGATGCTGATGCCAAAAAAAATATATATTTTAATTAAATATTCGTGGAACTTAAATTTAGTGGGATTAGGCCATAGCCAAAGCTGGCGAGATACCAATCAGCTTACAAGGCGCCAAATCACTGGGGGGAAATTGTCGAAAGAGCGGCATGCCATAAATCTTGGAGATAAACATATGGCTCCTGAAAACAAATATTTTAATTGATATTTCCGTGGACAAGGTCGAGACCCCGACAAAAGGCAAAGCCAAAAACCAAATAAAACAAACTTTTACCGGCCGAAATAGAAGAAGATGGCCAAACAAATTGGTGAATGCCAAAAAAGGCGAATTAAAAACGCAATAAACTCGAACATTGCCTGCGTTAACGAAGCCACAACAAATTAGCCCAACAAATTGTGGACGTGCTTGTCTATTTTTCACTTTTTGCATTGGGTCAATGTCAAGTTGAGGCCTGAGTTGGAGATGGAAATGGAGTGGCTGGGATTGAGTTGTTGACCACAGAATTGACGGGTTAAAGGCAAGGCTCGGCCTCAAGCTTCATTTTTCGGCCTTTTTTAATTCGGCGAATCGCCGGATTGCGATACGCTTAATCAGCGACGCTCTTTTGGCTTTTTGGCTGGGAGCCATTGAGTCATCCAGCCCGGAATTTCTGTCGACTCAGGCCGTGAAAGTTGCCATGAAGTGCGGCGACGAATTTCAATTGACCGCGAGAGCTGCTTTCTGGCCACGCCCACGCCAAAATGCCAAGCTGACAAAAGGAAAACTCAATTCTGTGTCGCGTTCGGTCTTGAATTTTTCACCAAAAAAGAAACTTTCCAAAAAACTGCACTTGGACTGCAAATGTCAGCCGATCCAGCGGCTGAGTGTGTGTGGGCGCTTTACATTTGTTTTGTATCTAAGTACAGTGGGGATTCTATAAGAAACACTGAAAATATTACATGACATACATTTTCTTCTGTCTTCCCTATGTTGATTTCTTAATTTTTTAGAAATTTATTTATTTTTAAAATTTTTCTTAATTTTGTAACTAATAATTCGAGTTAGCGAGTCTCTACTGTAATCAAGTACGAGTCGCACTCGCGACTATAACACATTTTGATGGCTGGGCCGTAAGTGAAGTGAAAATAATACACACTCGACCCACTCCTACGGAGTTGGCCCAGTTGATCTCCGTCAATCGGTGGCGTATGCGCGATCTCACGGCAGTCGTCGCTGCTGATTATGGCATCTGTCGCATTGTCTTTCTGGGGAGGAGGAGCGTCCGAAGTGTCATGTCAAAACGGAAGCTGTGTGAGATTGTGTTTTGACAGCCCTCCAGACAGCCTGTGTGTTAGCCTTTGTCTTGGCTCGTTTTTAACACGCATTTTGACAGCTTAATGATGCTATCTTAATTGCAATTATTACGGGGGGACGACGACGAGTGCAGTCAGCCGATGCAGTGATGTCACTGTCCTACACTCACTTTTTGGCCACTTGAATATGATGCTGGACAGGGGGTTATGGCATAACCTTTGTCTGTGACATATATGCTAATATTTTGGGCCCACACAAACAAAGCGATTATCCAACTTCCCCTTAAAAGAAACTGTCACATATACAATATATATATTTACCTTACACTGACCTACACCCAACTCGGTAGTCAAAGAAAGCCAGCGGCTCGCACACTCCGCTGACCACATACAATGAGCAAATGTCAAAGATTTGCCAAAACAAAGCCAAATACGAACAACAAAAAAATGAAAAATAATAAAAAACACACACAAAAATACAAAACACAGCTGCAAGAAAAAATAAAGAAATAATCAAATCAACATCAGCATCGACAGCGCGAACAGGCAAAAGCAGTTCATGAAAAGAAAGATGCTAACAATGGGAGAAAGTTACACACAGCGGAGCCAAAAAGCCATCAAAATTCATCTCCAGGCTGAGAGCCAAAACCCAAAATACTCGACAGCTGCTGAACTCGCACATTAACATAACGAAAATCTTTTACAAGCCAATAAATCTGAGTTGTCAGCCGGTGTGTGGAGTTTTCCTCCCCTCAAAGAATTACGCAATCCGGGGCCAAGACAAAAATTTATTAATGAAAAAAAGGCAGAAGACAGGAGGCAAACGCCATTTAGTGAGCAAGTGTAAATCAGAGCCAGACTTGGCACATCTCTAACCGCTGTTGTGCAACCGATTATGGCCGAAAAAGAAGCTCTAAACCAGTTGACCGACCGCAGGACTAACAACTTGTGGCATGTGGCTAAGTGCGCCAAGAGTGGCAGCAGCAAACAACTGATTGCCGACTGTTGTTAACAAGCGGCACGTTTTTGCCTGGTTTTTTGCTATGTCTCTTTTGGACTCAGTGAAATCTGGCAACGGAAAATTGCAACTGACAAATTGCCAGCCAAGTTCTCATATAAATAGTGTTTACTTTGTTGTCTCAAGTCTCCCCTAGACTCGTTGCATACATCAAACTCCTACTTCGCTCTTGATGATGAGCAGTTATGATATGTGCCAGTTGATCTGCCATTGTTAGTTGCCTGTGAATTAATGGCGGATTGCGGACACACTCCGCCGAATAGACAATCAGCCTGTGACACGGCATTTTATTATTCTGAAAGTCATCGCGGTGTGAACCACCTTTTGCGGGCCGGCCAAGAATCGCAACTTGTCTGCGGGCCAATTAGCCAAACGTCAGACTCGCAGTGATGCAAAAATTGCACAAAAGAAAAGTTTAATGTCCCCAGAAATGAGATGCCAATAATAAATGCCTGAGAACATTAGAGGCGAGACACCAGACACCATAAAACCGTAACTGACATCATTTCCCATTACCAAAAAAAAATTAAAATGGAGGTAACAAAAAACGAGAAAAGAAACCCGTAGCGGATGTAAATAATGCGTCACTTTCGCGTTCGTTTTCGCGCGAAATTGCCAACAATCGGGTAAATCCTTATAATTAAATCCCAGGCCCAGGTTGCATAAGTCAGACAGCTGTCCAAATCGAATAACTGTAGCGCGACCGCCTGGCAGGAACGAGGAAAGGAAGTGAGCTCTGTAGAAAATGTGAGACTCGCGACTTGCGAAAACAAACGCTGAATCCGCCTGCGAAAACGAAAGACTCAAGCGACAAACTTGGCGTGCGAGCCCGAACTAAATGGCGTAAAAAAAAGCGCCATGTACGAAAATCAAACATTTAGCCGGCGCCTTCATTGTGTCTTTAGAAGTGGCATATGGCTAGCACCACCAAGCGCCACCAACGAAACCCAAACGGAAGTAAGCGACACGCCGCCAGAAAAAAAATATATAGACCAGGCTATAAACAATTTCGAGGAGGATGGAAGGGGGGGGTAGGCCAAAACGATGACGGCGCGGAGAAACAAAAGGTGAAAAATATGATGAATTATTAAATGAGATGAAAAATGAAAGTGTTTTTATGCCTTCTTCTGCTGCTGCTGTGGCGGGTTAAATGTACACCGGGGAAAAATTCCCTGATTTATGAAGACATAATTTTCAAAAGGTTTTTAATAATTAACTTAAGGTTTTTAATGTTTTATTAAATTTCTGCTTAAATATATATTTCATTAAATTAAAAAATAATTTATTTATTTATTTATATTTTGTTCTTTGCTAAACAAAGACAAAAGAGTGGTTTAAAACAATCAATTAAATGTTTATAATTAAAAAAATATATTATAAAAAGAATTCCATTTTCCATTTATCCAAAAAATATATAGGAAAAATGATATTATCATATTAAAAATTTATATATTTTATTTTATATTTTATATATACTTATTAATATTTTATATATAATTTACTTTCGTATTTTTATCATTTTATTATCATAGTTTATTTCAATAAATTCTAAAATAAAACCTATTGTAGTCCTCAACCTGAATTTAATTTATTTATAAATTAAATCTCTTGTTATCGCCCACCTATCTTTTATCTAAATTCATCTTTTAAACCAAAATTACATCTATTTTGCTTCGAATTTAAATTCAAAATACATTTATCAACGACATCTACAAGACGCAAGAGAAAATAGCATTCGAATAATGGGGAATAATTCAATTTATAAATGCCATGTTGATATGCCAAAAAGATAAAACCGATTTTGGTGTGAAAAAATGCCGAACTAACGACCAATTTGGTTGCTATTTTTCCGTGTAGATAGAGACCCCGGCGTGACATGGATTGGCCCCGTGAAAGCGGGCAGCTGAAGAAGGTCCACCTGCCCGACGACAAGTGGCAACATTTCGTGTGCGTGCCGGTGTCCCTCCTCTCAGCGGGTGTAGGAAGTGGGGCTTGGACTTGGACCTAGGGCCGCTGTGCGTGAGCTGATCTGCATAATGATGGGAGGCTTGGGATGATGATGATGATGCCGATGCTGCTGCTGCATGCCACACAAATGTAAAAGTTGTCCAACCACTCCAAAAATAAAGAGAGGGCTCTGTGCAGCAGCTCTCGAGTTGATTGCAGGCTTTTCCTCATTCAAATGAGGGCGCAAAATCAATTGTGACAGAGACACAGCTCAATTGCAATCTGACCAGCATTTCATATCTATATACATCTATATTTTTTGCAATCTTTGCAATGTGTCAATTGCAAACTACCGAGTAATGAGTGAATTGAAATGCAATCGAACAAATATTGCGTATGACGGGGCAGTGACAGCGGGTTATGCAAACGACGACAAACCAGGCAAATTAGCACTGGCAAGACACGAGTGACCAGGCACGGCCCCAGGTATATGTGTGTTTACCATCGACACCTGTTGCAAACAATTGGCCACTGTGCGGGGTAATAGTGGATACTTTTGCCACCGAAAGGAGGCATCGAAACGAAAGACTTAGGCAACGAACGCTATGCGGCAGCAGCGAAAGGCAAATCCTAATTCAGCAGCAAAAACCAATCAAATGATACAATCCCCCGCCATTAACTAACCAATTCCATTTCCACTTCCAAAAACCATTTCAGCTGCTGTTGAGGGCGGTTAGTCTGTCGCTGTTTTATGTCCCACTTTTAATTACTTAACCTGCTGCGCGTTGACGACCTAAGCGATGAGCAAGGTCGTTGCATAAAATAAATAAAAATCAAATAAACAAAATCGGTAACCCTCGAAGAAAAAGCCCGCATAAATTAAACAAACTTGGCCAGGCAGCCGGAACCAAGTTGAACTCTCTGTCCACCTCTCAGTTCAAATGTTGCGTAATGCTTCTGCTCTTCGACGGGAGAAAAGTCAAATAATTAAGAGGAAAAAAAGAAACAAAAACATGTTAACACCGCAAATTAGTAGGCAGCCCCCCGAGTCTACCTAATCGACATCCGAGCAATTTCGGTTCATCATTAATATTCATGGGGAATGCGTGCAGTTCAAAATAGTGGCCGGTCGGCCACTTGGGCAAGTTTTAATTAAATAAATACAAGAGATGACCACGAGTAAAGTAAGCTTGTAATTGCGCGCCAAACAGAAAATTGTCTGCGGTTGAAAACCGCATTCCCAGATATGAATTCGTGTGTCGCCGCCGCAAGTCTCGTCCGCCGGTACATTCACATCTCTGCGGCGTGCCGAAAAACTGGCCGGCCACTGGCAACTCGTCTTCAATTGCAAAAGTTTTCCTTTTTTGAGTTCCCGCTGCATCAGCAAGGAAACAATTGAACTCAAAGTGAAAGGTGCATTCCTTGTCAACAAAAAAAAAAGGTACGAATAAAAACAGGGCTGCTGTTTGGAACTTATAAAAAAATATATCAAGTCAAAATTTGAACCAAAATGGGTATGAAAATGTGAATCAAAAATTGAAATAAAAATCGAAATCCAAAGCCAAATCCAAATCAAAAGTCAACTTTCTACACTCCCAGCAAATGAACAGTTTGCATGCGTGCAGCATATTAAAATATGCTCAGCCTCGGCCTATTTGGGGGGAAGCACATCACCTCAACAGGTGGCCAGCGAGTGTCGTGAATAGCCGCGAGCCAAAAAAGCAGCCATTCTTCTGGGCTCAAAAAACATGAGCAATGACAATCAGTATTTTCCATTAGCCATGAAAGAGTTGCTTAGTTTTCTTTACAATCGAAACAAATAATAATGATTTTCTGGGCCAATTCCACTTTGGCATTTTAGTTGGAAAAAAGAAGTTCAATAAACGAAGTCACTTGTCTGCAAAATATCTTTTGCTAAAGGTTACACATACACAACAAACGTCATGATCCAAATAGCAACTAATGATCATCAGGGGGATTTTCGAGGCAAAAGTTTAGAGTCATCTCTGGTGGCCGCTTTTGCAAAAGCCAGCCGAAAAACTGATGGCCATTTGGCGCCTCGATTTTGAAAGGCAGACGAACACACAAAAGATTCAGACGGAGACGGGTGACTGAGAGATTGAAAGGAGGACAGTTTCGAGAAGCTGTGTGTTGATTTTACTGATGATGCAGATGAAGACGTTAAATGAGCGCAGAGATTGCTTCCCCCCCCTGAGTTCGGTTCTTCAGCAGGTGGCTGATTGCAGGTGATTCCATGGATTGCACAAGGAAGATATGATTGGAAGGGTAATGAGTTTTACAGAGGGGAAAAATCAGCGAACTGTGGGTAGTTTAAGAGGTAGAAATTCAGGTAAGGAAATACATTTATATATAAATACAAATTTTACAGAATATTTTCCTCTAAATCATAGAAAAATATATTCCAAGGAAGCCTAGCCATCTTTTAATTTAAACTTCTTCAAAAATCTACATTTTATTAACCGCAACACCTCTTCTTTTATTTATTTATGGTTCAATGAAAAATCTTTATAAGATATTTCCTAAACCCAAAGTGGTAATATATATATTTGCATATTTTATGGGCATGAATATTTATCAACCCAAATTAGTCAATCAATCTTGTGTCTTCTGTTTGAGGCGAATTCTCCCCAATCAAATTTGAGGGCAAGCAATTTGTTGAAGACGAATAACTTGGGCAAAACCTGGTGGCTTACCAGGGAAATGTGCAAATCAGGGCTAACAAGAGTCTGAATAAAACAATGGGACAATTGGCAGAGCACACATATGTGCGGATCGCATGGATATCCATGGAGATCTGGCATTTCTTCGCGTAACAAGTGCCAAGTTGAAGACTGCAGCCACCAGCCGGAAGGCGTTTTACACTTGGCTTACTTCGCTCCCGAGGCGGGAGTTGCTTTTTGTTTGGGCCCATAATGAAGTGACACGATTTGTCAATGTCAACGATGGGTGGTAAATGGGTATGGGCATGGGATAATGGGGAAGAGGTCGCAGTTCGCAGGTCAAGCCAGCGATGACACCTCTGGAAATTACATAACTAAACACTTACCATTAATGGCAGACTTCTCATGGCTAAGTTTAATCCCGAGTCCTGCGGCAGCTGTAAAACCAAAAACTATATTTAATAAGCACTCGCGTCAGGTTTGGGTTTTGAATTCAAAATAAATAAATATATATAGACGATCTTGCACTGCACCCACTCTTTGAGAGATTATCCTTGGACGCGGTTCAGGATGCACTCGGGCTTGGGGTAAGTGACACGCGCGCGGAGCAACTATGGAAATTGCAACCTGGTCGAGTCGCTGCCGTATTGTAACTGAAACTTGTCAGACGAAGTTGGCCAGCAAGCAGCTTGGCCCAAACGAAGACGAAGCCAAGGAGAAAGAGCGCAACGCAAAAGAGAGTCTGCGTGCGAGCTGAAGAAGACCTGCTGCTGGCTCTCACTCTCACCTCGTGGTGAATTCGGTTTGAGGCTCAACTTGAGGATTTCCATACCCAGATACTACAGATACAGATACAGATACTCAAGCATTCTCAATCAAAGCATCGAAAGTGAATCTGGATGCCAGCTACAGCTACAGCGGCAGCAAAAGATTTTACTTTCAATGGCAGAGAGCAACTGAAGCTGAAGCCGAAATTGTGCCGCCAGCCACAACAAGTAGTGTCTGGTTCGAATCGGTCTCAAATGTGTGTTAAAATCGCCGGCAAACTGCCCGACAAAACAGACCCCAAACCAAAAGTGGGCACATTAAGAGAGCCACGCCAAAAGTATCCATAATGCTCGTGCAGCAGCCACAAAAGTGGCCCCAAAACAAAAACACAATCGAAGGCCTAATGAACGAGCAGCTTCAGGCTCTTGTTTTATGGCTCCTTCGATTACCAGAAAGACAAAAGATTGAAGAGTGAAGGGAAGCAGTTTTAGGGGGTTTAATATTCATATTAATGGTTCTCAGGGGAATATGATTTCTTTTTGGGTTAATAGAGCGTAAGAAATGGGTTAAAGATCTTATTATTTTGATTTGAAATTTGTGAGTTAGTTACGGGTTTATTTTAACACAGATTCAGTGATTTGTTTCAGTTTGTTTTATTATATTGAAATGCAAATTTAAAGTCTTATAAAATAACTAAGAAATCTCTGTTTAATTTAGTAACTAAGCTGTATAAATGACTGACCCAAGTTGTTATATTTGTCAATAAAATAATACGCCTAATAATTAGTTAATAATAGACATAAACCAATCAGGAACTATAAATGCTAAGTACTGAAAAACAAACACATCCAACTTGCATTCGTTTATATTCGTGTCATTAAATAACACTCAAGTTTTCAAGCAATTAAATCCCCAAACCCGATCGGTTTCCTTTGAAGTATGTTTATTAACCAAATATTTTCTGGGGAAAAATATTGAACTAACATAAGAGCGGGACCTGGCACTGCAACTGGTTAGCTGAATAAACGTTTTGTTGGCCATAAGCCGACCGCTACACGCACACGAGTCACTGAGGCCAAATCAAGCATACGCAGTGTGGAGCGGGACAAGTGACAACAAAACAAAATAGTTTTTTGCAGCCAAAGTTGCAGCAGCAGCAGCAGCAACACATCGGAGATGAGTTGTGCTCCACAGCTGGTCATGGCCAGACAATTTGCAGTAACCAAAAATCAATGACCGACCGGTTTTGCATAGGCTTTAAGCTTGTCGATGGTAACGTAACAACTTTCGCTGAAACGTCATTCAAAAAAGCAACAACGACAACAGCAGCAGCAGCAACCACCACCAAACATCTCGTCACAAAATGGCAAAAGGCAGGCCCAGAGATAAAGCCACGATATCAACGCAGAAGCAGAAGAAATTCAGTCGAAAATCACCCCGTATTTCGGCCATTAACGCATGGCTCTTAGACCAGTTTACAGCATATGTATGGATGGACTTTCGGAAGTGTGGTGCAGCTGCATGCAAGCCAGGGAAGCGACTCATTTGAATAATTGAAATCCACTTGCACTGCAATTAAGAGCATAAAATGAAATGTTTGCGTTTCTACACTTTCCATGTCCAAGTCCCAAGACCAAGTCACAAAATCGTATGCAATGTGCCTGAGCTTGGCTCAAATTGCCGGAAAATTGTCTGCCTCGGAAGAGTTCAATCGCTTTCAAGACTCACTCACACTCCGAACATGCCATTGGAGGTCCAAGATCGAGTTCGAGTTCGATTTTCGATTTGGAATCTCTGAAGCAGCGGAAGTTGTTAAAGGCCTTTCGGGAAATTCAAATGGGGCAATCTCACGCACAAGGCCAGCAGACATTGGCTTTTGGTTTTTGCCCCTCAGGTGGACAAGGAGGAGGTGGAGTCCCGCATAAATGTCAGCGAAACACTTACGAGTGCAGCCGCTAATTGCCCTGCATGTGGGGTTAAACAGAAAAACATTAAGCACGGAAATTGCATGTGAAATCAGAGTACAAATGCTTTCTGAATACCATTTAAATATATAAATAACAAAAGCCAATAAAAGGGCTTGTTATATGTGCTACAGTCAACAGTTGCGACATGGTTTCAGGATGGCTGGTGTTTATCCTGGGCTGCCTGGGCCAGCTGAGTGCCTTGAATGTCTCGATTACAGCTGAGGAACTAAAACTGGAGGAGAGATTGCTGCGTATGCTGGCCAGACTTCGTTTACAGGAGGAGTTTAATACCCTGCTAATCTATGGAGATGAGTGTGTTTTCCATTCTCTACTAAGACACCTGGTTACACCCACAGTTGTGGTATCTTCAGGCAGCACTGACTTTGACTGGAATTTCAGTAGCTCCACTCTGATTCTGACCTGCTCTCCAGAAGCGGATAGAGAGGAGAATCCTGTAACCCTCATGAAGCTCCAAAGAACCCGACGTCTCATCTGTTTAAAGGACAAAATCCCTATGGAGACCATTTGCTACCAGTATTCCCTCAAGGAGCAGCATAATGTGGCCATTATTCAGACCAACTTTGATCAGTCGGACATCATCTATTCATGTCGCTTCTTTCAGTCTCCCAACCACGAAGAAGTTCACTTTTTCTCGGATAATCCCATATACATAGAGAACTTCCGGAATATGCATGGAGCTGAAATAAGGACAGTCCCAGATTTGCTGACACCCCGAACCATGATGTATCGGGACCAGAAAACCGGCGAGGCTCGGATAATGGGTTACTTGGCCAATGTGCTCACTACCTACGCCGAGAAAGTCAATGCAAAAGTGCTTATTGAAAACGCCACCAAAATAGGCGTTAAGAAGGCCAGCGTGGCGGACATCCTACGCGGGACTCGAGAGGAACTCCTGGACATAGGCACTGCCCTGGCCAGTTCCCTGCAGGTTAAGAATATGGATTTCATCAGCTATCCCTACCTGCTCACCGGCTACTGCCTGATGATTCCAGTGCCGGCCAAGCTGCCTTACAACCAGGTGTACTCCATGATTGTGGATCCATTGGTGCTGAGCATTATCTTTGTCCTGTTTTGTGTGTTCTCCATATTGATTGTGTACACGCAGAACCTCTCTTGGCGGAATTTGACACTGGCCAATGTCCTGCTGAACGACAAAAGTCTGCGTGGCCTTCTGGGACAGTCGTTTCCCTTTCCGTCCAACCCCAGCAAGCACCTCAAGTTGATCATCTTCGTTTTGTGCTTTGCCAGCGTCATGATCACCACCATGTACGAGTCCTACTTGCAGTCTTACTTTACCCAGCCGCCGTCGGAGCCGTACATACGCTCCTTTCGGGATATTGCCAACTTTTCGATCAAAGTGGCCCTCAGCCGGATGGAGGCTAATGTCTTGACCTCTGTAAACAGCACCCATTTCCAAGAGATAAGCAAGGATCACCTCTTGATATACGAGAATTGGGCTGAGTACCTCATCCTGCGCGACTCCTTCAACACGAGCTTTATTTTCCCGGTGTCTGTGGACCGCTGGCGCTGCTATGAGGCTCAGCAGGAGCTCTTTACGGAGCCCGCCTTCTACCTCTCGGATCTGTGCTTTAACGAGCTGATGTTTTTTAGTCTACCAGTGAGACAGTACCTGCCCTATCGCCACCTCTTCGAGGATCACATGATGCGGCAGCATGAGTTTGGCTTGGTGGTATTCTGGAAGAGCCGTAGCTTCTATGACATGGTCCAACTGGGCCTGGCTTCTATAAAGGATTACAGTCAGAAGCGCAAGTCAGATGGAAGTCTTTTGCTGGACGATATTTCCTGGATACTTAAAATATATTCGGTGGCGATAGGACTAAGCATTCTCTGCTTTATCCTGGAGGTCACTGGTTGCATGAAGCTATGGGAACGACTGTGGAGGTGTCGAAGGTGAAGAAGATCTCAATAAAGTCCCTGTGTCTGCTAAGCAAGTTTATTATTTTCATGTAAGATTTTTGTTGTTTTTTAATTTACATAAAGAGTTTGCTAATTGAAGAAATAATTACCTTTCTTCTTATTTAAAGGGCTCCTCAAATTAGAGGTGGAGAACTATCGATGGCACTATCGACACTATCGATGGTTTGGCGCTATCGCAGCGCCATCGATTGTAGCCCTGCACTATCGATAGTATTTAATATTTTAAATTAAAAATTTTTTTTTTTTTTTTTTTTATTTTAAAAGCTCAATAACTTAAGAATAATGTGTCCAAGTTTTACATCGATCCAAGGAAAATTGACGAAGTTATGCAGAGTTGAACGAAGGTCGGTTAGCGTTCAGTGCATGAGAATCGCAAAGTTTAAAGCGCTCTCCTGAAAAATGCCATTTTGAAAATCGGTGTACACGATAACTCAAAATCTACTGAACCAATCGGTTTGAAATTTGAAACGTAGCTTCTTTAGGTAATTCTTCAGGTACTCACGTCGAGCTTTTTTTAATTTTTAATTTTATTATATTTTTTATTTAACTAATTAACTTAATTATTTAGTCAAAAATCGGGGTTTTGACTTCTAATTTTTATAAAAAATCTGAAAAAAATTTTAAAAATAAAAACGCTTCGTGAATACCTCGAGACACTTATCCTTTACCGAATGAGGTATAATTTTTTCAGATCGGATGATTCTGTGAACAGTTAGGATGTACACCGCTAACCAACTTTTTTGGAGGCGACTCGTGAGATTCCCTATAACTCCTCTACCTCTTAATATTTTTTTATTCAATACAAAATTTATCAAATACTGTCCAAATGTTGTGTTATTATATGGTATTTCATTTATTAAGCTAACTTTAGCCGTTATGCCACAATTATTTTTTGGAAAAGTCGCCCGTTTTGCACCGAATTAACCTTTTACATTTAACAATTCAAAAGCATCACACTACCGATAGTACTATCGACACTATCGATGGTTTGAGAAAAATAATCGCTCACTATCGATGGCGCCGACTATCGATAGTTCTCCACCTCTACTACAAATAGGGGTTCTCTGATGATTGGTTAAAAAAGTTATCCCGAAACACTGATAGTTTATTAAAAGACCTTGACATTAGTACAAGTCGAGGATTTCTGTGGAAGTTTTCCTGAAACTTTGCACTGCTAGTTTATTACAAGACCTTGACTTTGATAGGACTCTACTCCTTCATTTAATAATTTGTGAGGAACATGAAAATTGCATGCCATAAATCCTACCCAAATTAAAATGTTTAGCACAAATGACACGACATATATACTTCCACTTTTTAAACGTTGACTAAACATGTAAACTTTTTTAATTACAGAAGCTTGGTACAAAAGCAAAGGACACACAGCCGGCTCAACAGTTCAAAGGAGACCATGGCCTGGTTGATCATCCTACTTCTCCTCAGTCTTCGACTGACAAGAGCCGAGTTTCCAGAAATATCCAATAAAAGCAAACCAGACCTGGAAGAAGGCCTGCTACATCTTCTTCTGAGACTGCGACAAGAAGAGTTCTTTGACACCCTGCTCATTTATGGAAAGGATTGTGTTTTTCATCAACTAACAAAAAGCTTGGAGTTATCCACAGTTCTGGTATCATCGGGTAGCACCAACTTTGATTGGAACTTTAGCAGCCTGACACTAATACTCAGCTGTAGACTCGAAGCGGAAAAAGAAATGACCTATCGCACTCTGATGAAGCTACAAAGAAACAGGCATTTGATTTATATAAATAAGGATATTCAAGCCAAATCTGTGTGTGATCTTTATGCCAAAAAAGAGCAACATAATATAGCTTTTGTTAAGAAAGACTTTATTCAGTCCAAAATCATCACGGCCTGTCGCTGCTTTCAAGAACCCAACTTTCAGGAAGTAAGTTTACAAGAAAGTTATCCAATTTATATAGAAAACTTTCATGATATACACAGACAACCTTTAAGAATAATGACAGACCTAGTGGCTCCCAGATCCATGGTGTATCAGGATCCAAAAACCGGTCAAACCAAGATGATTGGCTATGTGGCCAATCTGATCAACAACTTTGCTCACAAGATAAATGCCAGTTTGGAGGTAAAAAGCCTGAGCAGTAATGAAAGCTTTAGAAATATCATAAAGTGGATAAAGGCAGATCAAATTGACATGGCCATGACTCTGGAAGCCTCTGTGCATGCCACAAACTTTGATACGGCCAGCTATCCCTATGTTTTGACTTCCTACTGCCTGATGCTGCCAGTTCCAGCCAAGGTGCCTTACAATTTGGTTTATGCGGTTATAGTGGATCATCTGGTACTTGGCATACTCGTCCTTTTGTTCGTGGTACTATCGCTGCTACTGATATACAGCAAGAATATGTCCTGGCAGGGCCTGAGCCTGGCCGATGTCCTGCTGAATGATGTTAGTCTACGTGGAATCTTGGGACAATCGTTTCCTTTTCCCTCCAACCCGAGCAAACAGTTGAGGTTGATCTTCATTATTTTATGCTTCGCCAGCGTCATGCTGACCACCATGTATGAGGCCTATTTGCAGTCCTTCTTCACGCATCCCCCATCTGAAGCCTATATACGCTCTTTTGAGGACATAAACGAGTTCCACCAAATGATTGCCATCACTACATTTAAGATGAATGAACTCAACAATATCAATAATAGACACTTTAAAACAATAAGCAAAGACAACCTTAAGATCTTTGAAAACTGGCATGATTATCTAGATCTGCGCAATGCCTTCAACCGAAGCTATGGTTATTTGGTGACGGAAGATAGATGGAACACATATGCAGAACAGCAAAAGAACTTCAAGGACACACTCTTCTACTTCTCCAAGGACCTGTGCTTCTCCCGCCTGCTTTTTCTAAACATTCCTCTACGCCGACACCTGCCCTATCGTCACCTCTTCGAGGAGCACATGCTGCGCCAGCACGAGGTGGGCTTGGTGAGTTTCTGGAAGAGCCGGAGTTTCTTCGACATGGTGCGACTGGACATAACGACTTTGGAGGATCTAAGTCGGCCAAAACCATATGAGCCGAGTCTTCTTTTGCTGGATGTCTCCTGGATAATGAAACTCTATTTGGCGGCGATGGTAGTCAGCATTGTGTGCTTTATTTTAGAAATTTTAAGTAAGGGTAGAGAGTGGGGATTTTGGAAGTATATAAAAGATTTTGTTGGGAATTAATAAAGTGCAGAAACCTTTAATAAAATATCTACTTTATACATATAAACCAGGGACCGTATTTCTTTTAAGTGAAAAAATAAAAATCAATGTTTAATGCTTATCAACTGATTATAATATATTTTGTTTACTATAAATAATTATAGTTGTATAACTATTTAATCTCTTAAAGAATAATTATTATTATAATATACTACTAAAAAATTAATAATTAAAATTTTTTTTGTTCAATGAAAGCATTGATTATAATCAATATTTACGGTTCCTGATATAAACACTTGTTTACAGTTTTTATATATGCTTTATTTATATATACCCTAATTAGCAGACTTTTCTGACTGAAGAAGTAAAAAAATAACATGAAAACTGCATGTCCAGCGATTTTAATTGTGAAAGGAACAGAACGGCGCAGCTATAATTATTTAAGCTGTTTTTCAAAGACAAAACAACCTGAAATTTGTTGGAATTACATGGGTTTTTAACCTGGAATTTTTAGATACAAATAATAACGTACACCCAGGTCCTTCTTTAGTGCGATTAAGACCATGACTCCGCTGGTCATCCTGCTACTCTGTCTTGGACAAGCTGGCGCTCAGTTTCCAGAAATCTCCGCTGAAAGTGATTCAGATCTAGAAGAGGCTTTGCTCAGCCTTATTCTAAAACTGCGCCAAGATGAGTTTTTCGACAACCTGCTTATCTACGGAAGAGATTGCATTTTCCATCAATTAACGAAAAGCTTGGGGGTGTCCACAGTGCTGGTTACCCTGGGCAGCACTAATTTTGACTGGGCTTTTAGCAGCCTGACCTTGATCCTTTGCTGCGACGATGAAGCCGAAGATGGAGAAAACCAACGTACCTTTATGAAAACGCAAAGAAATAGAAGATTAATTTACATAGAAGAAAATATGGAACCAGAGAAAGTGTGCAATGGGTATTTCGAAGATGAGGCATATAACGTAGCCATCGTGAAAGAAGACTTTGGAAGGTCAAATATCATTTACACCTGTCGCCTCTTTCAAAAGCCTAACTTCGAGCAAGTGAGTCTGCGAGAAGCTAAACCGATTTATATAGAAAACTTTAGAAACATGCAAGGAAGTCACATAAGAGCCATGAGAGAATTAATGCCGCCTAGAACTATGGCTTATGAGGACAAAAAGACGGGTAAGAAAAAGCTAATAGGCTATGTGGCCAACTTGTTCACGAACTTTGCCCAGAGGCTGAACGCCACCTTGGAATTGTATATAATACAGGAAAATTCTAATGGTAGAGAAATTCTGTTGAACGTGAGAGCTGGTATTCTTGACATGGGTATGATGTTGGAGACATATGTACATCCTAAGTCTCTTGACACAGCCAGCTATCCCTACATCCATGCACCCTACTGTGTGATGCTTCAAGTTCCAGCCAAGTTACCTTACAATCTGGTGTATGGGAAGATATTGGATCCCCCTGTGCTCGGTATACTCTTTGTGCTTTTCTGCATTCTGTCTGTGCTGCTGATTTACAGTCGCAAAAAGTCCTGGCAGGATCTCAGCCTGGCCAATGTCCTGCTGAATGATGTGAGTCTACGTGGCCTATTGGGACAATCGTTTCCCTTCCCCTCCAATGCAAGCAAGCACCTGAGGTTGATCTTTATTATTTTATGCTTCGCCAGCGTCATGCTTACCACCATGTATGCTGCCTACCTGCAGTCCTACTTCACTAATCCCCCCTCGGAGCCTACCATTCGCTCCTTTCAGGATTTTACAAAGTTCAACAAGAAACTGGCCATCAGCAGATTTGAGTTGGATGAATTGCGGATGACCAACAACTCAAGATTTAAGGATATTAATGAGAAGGACTTGGTAGTCATAGAGGATTCGAATGAATTTATCAGGATTCGGGACTCTTTAAATCAAAGCTATAGCTATTTAGTCACCGGAGACCACTGGAGCACATGCGAGGAGCAGCAGAAGATGTTCAAGGAACCGGTATTCTACTTATCCAATGATCTCTGCCTCTCCCACCTTATACCCATTGCCATTCCTGTGCGAAGATTCCTTCCCTATCGTCACCTCTTCGATGAGCATATTATGAGTCAGAATGAGTTTGGTTTGGTGGGTTACTGGAGAGCCCACAGCTTCTTAGACATGGTGAGACTGGGCATAAGGCCACTGGTTTCCGAAGATCTGAGGCAAACAAAGACTAACGACAAGAGCCTAATTCTGAAGGATGTCTCCTGGGTCTTGGAACTCTACTTGGCGGCCATGGTTTTTAGTATTTGCTGTTTCATATTGGAGGTTCTAAGCGCGAGGGAACGCTTCAGTCGCTAGAGGAGGAGAGTGGACAGGAGTTATAAGAGAAGAGTTCCAAAAATGTAAAGGAAAACCAAGACAAATTTGTGGATTCTATTTGTATAAACTTAAAAATTGTACTTCAAATAAAAATTGTACTTAAGATAAAAATAGTTTTTTTAATGTATAATAAAGTGTTGGTCCTTATGTATTTTATTTTTTGATGAGTTTCAATTTTTCCCAACTCACAAAATCAATATAGCTCCTTTAGGCAATCCACCAAAGAGATATAATTATTACCCAAACCTCCAGCTTTATCCCCAACCATCATTATTAAAAATGATGTTTGTACTAAAAACTAACATGAAAAGCGCATGCCAGCGCTTCGAAGGTCATGCAAATAGCTTAAAAATATTTTTCTCTGAACATTTTTCATGGAACATGTTCCACAAAACCGAAACAAGCTGTAAATGATCATTTTTACCATTATATCGGTTTTTGAACATGTGAGCTTTTCATTTTAGAAAATACAAAAACACAAAACCAAGTGAAAAGGCCGGCTAACAAACAGTGTAATGGAAACCATGACTTGGTTGGTCATCCTACTCCTCTGCCTCGGACGGACGAGAGCCCAGTTCCCAGGTATATCCAATCAAAGTGAATCCAAGCTAGAAGAGGTTTTGCTAAAGCTTCTTTTAAGTCTCCAAGAAGATGACTACTTTGACACCCTGCTTATTTACGGAAGAGATTGCATTTTTCATTCTGTAACCAAATATTTGGAGGTATCTACAGTGCTAGTCTCAAATGGCAGCACCATCTACGATTGGGACTTTGGCAGCCTTACCATGATCCTAAGCTGTGACCCTGAAGCTGATCAAGAATACACACCTCGTACACTCATGAAACTGCAAAGGAACAGGAGACTAATCTACATAACAAAGGATAACCAACCAAAATCCGTGTGCTCTAGCTATTTCCAAAGGGAACAATATAATATAGCCCTGGTGAGGGAGGATTTTCAAAATTCACAAGTCATCTACGCTTGTCGCTTTTTTCAAGACCCCAACTTCGCAAGAATAAACTCATCAAAAAGTCACCCAATCTATATAGAAATCTTTCAAAATATGAACAAAAGACCTATAAAAACCATGGCAGATCTATTGGCGCCTCGATCTATGCTCTATGTGGACAAAAACACCGGTGAGTCAAAGTTGATGGGTTATGTGGCCAACTTGATTAGCAATTTTGCCCAAAGACTAAACGCCACCTTGCAGTTGGAAGTCTTAAAAAACGAGACCAACTTTCACCGCATACTGGAGAAGGTTCTCTCAGATCAGCTAGACTTGGGCATCACCATGCATACATCCTTGCACAAGACACCCCTTGACACGGCCAGCTACCCATTCATGGTGACAACTTACTGCCTGATGCTACAGATTCCAGCCAAGTTGCCCTTCAATGAGGTATATGAGATGATAGTGGATCCTCTGGTCCTGACCATTATCCTGTTACTGTTCTGCATCTTGTCGGTGCTTTTGATATATGGTAGGAACAGGTCCTGGCAGGACCTTAGCCTGGCCAATGTTTTGCTGAATGATGTGAGCCTACGCGGCCTCTTGGGACAATCGTTTCCGTTTCCCCTCAACTCCAACAGACACCTGAAGCTGGTCTTTATTATACTGTGCTTTGCCAGCGTATTGATGACCACCATGTACGATGCCTATCTGCAGTCCTTCTTCACGAATCCTCCTTCTGGACCGCATGTACACACCTACAAGGATTTAGGAAGGTTTAATCAGAAGCTTGCCATCACCGCCATTGAAGTGCAAATACTAAAAAATCTAAATAATTCTCATTTTAATGAGGTGAAACAAGATGACTTGGCTGTCTTTGATGATTGGCAGGAATTCATCAGACTGCGAAACAACTTTAATCTTAATTATAGCTTCATAGTGACCGGGGATCGATGGACTTCCTATGCGGAGCAGCAAAAGATCTTCAAGAAGCCGCTGTTTTACTTGTCCAATGACCTTTGCTTCACTCGCATGCTCTTTTTGTCCATACCCGTGCGGCGATACCTGCCCTATCGCCATCTCTTCGAGGATCACATCCTGCGTCAGAACGAGTTTGGTTTGGTTCGCTATTGGCGGGCCCACAGCTTCTTCGATATGGTGAGACTGGGCATAACGCCCCTGGAGGATCTGAGTCACCCAAAACCCTCCGAGAAGAGCATAATTATGGAGGATGTCTCAAGGATACTGCTGTTTTACTTGGCTGGTATGGTCATGAGCATTTTCTGCTTTCTGCTGGAACTGGCAGTGGCCAAGTGGAGTAGGGAAAAGGGAATGTAAATAGAAAGTAATATCTATGAATATTTAATAAAGCCATTAAATGCTAAATCATGGGTTCTGGCCGTGTTAACACAAAGCGGGTAACATGGAAAGTGCATGTCTGACCCACATAGCTAACCTGACCTTAAAAGGAACAAAATGTGTGGCATTTACACAGTAACAGTTAGTGATGGCTATGGTCTGGAGGATAATCCTACTCCTGCACCTGGGCTACTCAGGAGCAGAGCTATACCAGCGTGGAATTAACGAAAGCTATACGGAGCAGGAGGAGAGGCTCCTAAGCCTGCTTTTGAGGTTGCAGCAGGAGGAGTACTACGACACCTTGTTGGTGTATGGAGAGGAGTGTCCCTTCCACTCCCTGTCTAGAAGCTTGGAGATTCCTGCTGTGATGGTGTCCTTGGGTGGCACTAACTACGACTGGAATTTTGGTAGCCTTACGCTGATTCTAAGCTGTGGGTTTTCAGCCGAGCGAGAGGAAAACCATCGCACTTTGATGAAACTCCAGCTAAACAGAAGAATAATCCATCTCCAGAAGGATATCAATGTGGAATCCGTGTGCAATTACTATGCAAAAAAGGAACAATATAATATAGCTGTGGTGAGGGAGGATTTTAAAAATTCCCAAGTCATCTACGCTTGTCGCTTTTTTCAAGACCCCAACTTCGCAGAAATAAGCTCATCAAAAAGGCACCCAATCTATATAGAAAACTTTCAAAATATGAACAAAAGACCCATAAAAACCATGGCAGATGTATTGGCGCCTCGATCTATGCCTTATGTGGACAAAAACACCGGTGAGTTAAAGTTGATGGGTTATGTGGCCAACTTGATTAGCAATTTTGCCCAAAGACTAAACGCCACCTTACAATTCGAAGTCTTAAAAAACGAGACCAACTTTCAACACATACTGGAGAAGGTTCGCTCAGATCAGCTTGACTTGGGCATCACCATGCATGCAGCCTTGCAGAAGACACCCCTTGACACGGCAAGCTACCCATTCATGGTGACAACTTATTGCCTGATGCTACAGATTCCAGCCAAGTTGCCATACAATAAGGTATATGAGATGATAGTGGATCCTCTGGTCCTGGGCATTATCCTGTTACTGTTCTGCATCTTGTCAGTGCTTTTGATATATGGTAGGAACAGGTCCTGGCAGGACCTTAGCCTGGCCAATGTTTTGCTGAATGATGTGAGCCTACGCGGCCTCTTGGGACAATCGTTTCCGTTTCCCCTCAACTCCAACAGACACCTTAAGCTGGTATTTATCATACTGTGCTTTGCCAGCGTATTGATGACCACCATGTACGATGCCTATCTGCAGTCGTTCTTTACGAATCCTCCTTCTGGACCGCATGTACACACCTACAAGGATTTAGGAAGGTTTAATCAGAAGCTGGCCATCACCGCCATCGAAGTGAAAACTCTTAAAAATATAAATAATTCTCATTTTCATGAGGTGAAACAAGATGACATTGTTGTCTTTGATGATTGGCAGGAATTAATAAGACTGCGAGACAACTTTAATCTGAATTATAGCTTCATAGTGACCGGGGATCGATGGAGTTCCTATGCGGAGCAGCAAAAGATCTTCCAGAAGCCGCTGTTTTACCTATCGAATGACCTTTGCTTCACCCGCATGGCCTTCTTTTCCATACCCTTACGGCGATACCTGCCCTATCGCCATCTCTTCGAGGATCACATTCTGCGTCAGAACGAGTTTGGTTTGGTTGGCTATTGGCAGGCCCACAGCTTCTTCGATATGGTGAGACTGGGCATAACGCCCCTGGAGGATCTGAGTCACCCAAAACCCTTCGAGAAGAGCATAATTATGGAGGATGTCTCAAGGATACTGCAGTTTTACTTGGCTGGTATGGTCATGAGCATTTTGTGCTTTCTGCTGGAACTAGCAGTGGCCAAGTGGAGTAGCTGGCGGGGAAAGAGAATGTAAATAGAAAGTAATACCTATGAATATTTAATAAAGTCATTAATTGCTAAATCATGGGTTCTGGCCGTGTTAACACAAAGCGGGTAACATGGAAAGTGCATGTCTGACCCACATAGCTAACCTGACCTTAAAAGGAACAAAATGTGTGGCATTTACACAGTAACAGTTAGTGATGGCTATGGTCTGGAGGATAATCCTACTCCTGCACCTGGGCTACTCAGGAGCAGAGCTATACCTGCGTGGAATTAACGAAAGCTATACGGAGCAGGAGGAGAGGCTCCTAAGCCTGCTTTTGAGGTTGCAGCAGGAGGAGTACTACGACACCTTGATGGTGTATGGAGAGGAGTGTCCCTTCCACTCCCTGTCTAGAAGCTTGGAGGTTCCTGCTGTGATGGTGCCCTTGGGTGGCACTAACTACGACTGGAATTTTGGTAGCCTTACGCTGATTCTAAGCTGTGGCTTTCCAGCCGAGCGAGAGGAAAACCACCGCACTTTGATGAAACTCCAGCTAAACAGAAGAATAATCCATCTCCAGAAGGATATCAATGTGGAATCCGTGTGCAATTACTATGCAAAAAACGAACAATATAATATAGCTGTGGTGAGGGAGGACTTTGGTCGTTCAGGCAACATCTACGTTTGTCGCTGCTTCCAAAAAACCAAGTACATAGAGGTGAATCTCTTTAGTGGCAGACCCATTTTCTTTGAACAATTTCGCAATATGCAAGGAGCAGCCATCAAAAGCCTCACTGATAACTTGGCACCCCGTTCCATGGCTTATCGGGACCCAAAAACTGACCAGAAGAAGTTTAAAGGCTATGTGGCCAATGCCCTAAACAGCTTTGTGGAGAAGGTTAATGCCACTCTCGCCTGGCAATTGGATGTGGCTCCTCCCGGCAAAAGAATATTCTTTACAAATATTACAAAATGGACTGCCGAGGACCTCTTGGATATAGGCATGTCCGTGGACTCCACCTGGGATAAATGGAACTTGGATACCCAAACGTATCCCTACTTGATGTGCTCCTACTGCTTCATGGTCCCTCTGCCGGACTTGCTTCCTTACTATGAGATTTACACATACATTGTGGATTTGGATGTCCTGGCCGTGATCTTTGTGCTGTTTTGCATTTTCTCGCTGCTGCTTATCTATGGCCAGCAGATGTCCTGGCAAGGGCTGAGCCTATCACGAGTCCTGCTGAATGATAGGTGCTTTAGGGGACTGCTGGGTCAGCCCTTTCCCTTTCCACTGCATTCCACCAAGAAGCTGAAGTTGATCTGCTTCCTGCTGTGCTTTGCCAGCCTGTTGACCACCACCATGTATGTGGCTTACCTGCAGGCTTTTTTGGCCACCCCACCACCCATGCCGAGATTGAGATCTTTTAAGGACTTACACAACTCCAGGTATACAGTGGCCATTAGCCTGGGTGAAATGGATGTACTGGGTTTTGCGGATAATAGAAGGCTGCAGAACGTGGACCCGGAAAAGCTTGAAGTCTTTGAGGATTATGTCAAATTTTTTCACCTGCGAGAGACTTTTAATAACAATTACCTCTTCCCAGTCACTGATTTACGCTGGAGCACCTACAAAGAGCAGCAGAAGATATTTGCCAGTCCCGTTTTTTACTACACCGATGCCTTTTGCCTGAGCCGCTTTAATTTCCTGAGCTTTCCTGTTAGACGCCACCTGCCCTATCGTCATCTCTTCGAGGAGCACCTGCAGCGACTGAAGGAGTTTGGTCTCCTCAAGCACTGGCAGGATCGTAGCTTCTTTGACATGGTGATGCTGGGACTCACACCTTTGGAGGACTTCAGTCCTCTCCCCGAGACAGATTCCATAGACCTGTATGATTTATCCTGGATTTTTGGCATGTATTTCGCTGCCTTGGGACTCTGTTGCTGCTGCTTTTTTGTGGAACTCTGGGGCTCCCTAAACTGGTGGAGACGCTTCAAGAGATGGACCACAAATTAATATATTTTGTAAAACTTTGCATAAGCTGTATAAAATTAATAACGAAAAGCTTTTCGCTAGCTTGGCCAAATTTATTCTGCTCAGCCTTCGACAAAGCCATAAAGCAAACAAAGAAATGTTGAATTGGGATTAGCCACCTCCGCACAATAAAATGATAGCGGATATGGACAGGCAGTGCTTATTGTTGGGTTCGCCATTCAAAAAACCGAAACCGAATCATCACACACCGGAGGTTGCAAACAAGTTGAGACAATGCTCAATTTTGGATGTTGATCGATACGCGATATTGATTTTGATGTGGTTTTAACAGACAATCGGATGGGTATCTCTCTGGTTGTGAAAATCTCATATCTAAGACGTGCATTCCAGGGGACGATGATGAGTCGACCTGGGCAAATATTCAATCGATGACATCTCGCATGATTGGCTCTTACATAAATATGCCCATAAACGGGCCACAATGCGGGTGTTTCACTTGGAACTTGGATCTGGGGGGGATTATGCAAAACTCTGACTTGGCTACCGCCATAAAGCGGTCATAATTCGAGCTCTTTTGCCCAGAGCTGTCTGCATATAGATATGTATTATTCGTTTTTTATACAAATCATAATTTGGTTCGTCACTTTGGCGCCACTTTTGACGCGTGCTGATTGGAGAAGCCCTGGACCTGGGGCAAGGGAATTGGAATTGTGACCGAAACTGGGACTGAGTTGTTATTGGCGATTGGGTAACAAACCGAATTAACCCCCGAAGCGTTTTAGTGGGTGCGAAAATACAATGCCAGGGCATTGTCATTGCCTGGTCGAAGGCATCGTGAAATCTTTCACTTTCGATTTGGATTTGGATTTAGTTGTAAGTCCATCATAAATCATGCCCGAAAATGTATGATAATGTGGCACATCATTACGCTTGCCAGGTTGGATCAATTTGTCATGGGAAGTCGTCGTTGCTCCAGCTTAAAACCGCTCCAAAACCGAGATTAAATCTGACCTGTGCTCATCCTCCATCCATCCCAATCATCGCAATTGCTCAACCTCTTGACATTTGCAAAACGAAAGTAGCAGATAGTCTTCGGCAATCCATAATCCATAATTCGTAATCCGTAAAATCTATGGCAGACATTTTTCAATTGCAATCCCCAAAAACCCAATTCTGTTATTATCCAAAGCCGCCGAACTGATGGATGGTAGTGTCTGTGATCCTCAGGGTCATTTAGATTTAATAGATTTCTGTGGCCAGAGTCATTACGGCGGCCACCTTAACCACATGTGGAACAATGTCTGCCGGCAGTTAAACTGTTTTTTTCAGTATCCCCCTTTTTTTTATTAATGAGACCTCGTTGGGGGGCTTCAACTTCAGCTTCAGCTCCGTCGTTATTGAATAGAGTAATTTTTTACAATTATTTATCGAGCACTTCTGCTATTTACACAAAACCTAGTACTCCTCGTTATTATATTTATTTTTTTGTGGGGCTCTTTTCAATCCGGTTGCGGCTCACAAAACTTAAGAGCCAACTAATTCGACCTCAGGCCATTAACAATTTCACAAAATGTGCTGAAAAATGCATAATTTTCGGGGGCCATAATAAAAGATTATTTCATATATCTCAAATTTAAGAGGTGTTAATTTTTTCAACCAAAGAAACTAATCTGTTTCAATGCCGGATTCGCCGCCAAAGTCGCTGTTGCATTTTACTAAACCCGTATTTTGAGGTCGTCTCACACACGAAATGAAATTCCAAATACCAAATCTCGTCTCTACTCTTTCCACCTCCTCCTCCTCCTCCTCTTTTGATTGTTTTTCTCTATTTTTTTTCTTCATCTCAGCACCTTAAAACAAAGGCCCATGCCGAGAGCAGGTCCCAATCCTACACAGACCAGACCAGACCAAGTAATTTATTTCCTTCCTAGTTTTTGTCGCTCAAAGCCATTAAGGGAGTTTTAGCGAAAATTGGCAAAACAGTTGGCACCTTTCAGCGGCGGCTTCAGCGGCTTAGCGGTTGCTTCCCACAAATGCCGCGTCGCCACTCTGAAACTCCAATTACCCTGGCTCGGGAGCACTTTGAACTTTAATTTAGCTGATGGCTAGCCATGCTATTTGGTCTGCGCCTCCGCCCGCTGATCGGGCCCGTGGCGACTCCCCTGCAGCGACACCGTTGCGTATACGTAACGTATTAATTATGCCACCGACAAGAGAGAGAGAGAAGAAGAGGCCAGTTAATTAGCTAAAATTAATCAGAGACCACGAAATGGGCACAGACTGGTTGGCTTCATTCCGTAGAATGATTACAAAAATGAAAGTTGAGCTGAGAACCGAACTCAATTAGAATTAAAATGTGATTTGTCCAAAGAGCACTCACAGAGCAACATGTGGTTGCATGTGGGGGCTTAATAGGAAACCCATTTGTTTCGTTTTAACAAGAAATGAACATGCCATTTGTGCATTAAAAACGCCGCCCAACAAAAGTGTCAAGTACGTGGCAGTGGCAGTCAGTTGGTCAGTTCCATTCCCAGTCCCCTTTCCCCTCCCAGTGGACCTTTCGTTTTTTTAACGGCACTCGAGTACAGGAAGCTCAGCTCTCTTTGATTTAAATTTCCGCTTTTTCAAGTAATTGCGGCTTCAACTAGGGCAGCGAGTGTGCAGGGAGAGACTTGCTATAGACTTGTTTACTTAATTTACAGGCAACAATTAGGCAATAAAAATAAAAATACTTAAAATATGAGGTGTAAACTGCCTTGAAATTAGATTTAATAATCGGTTATAAAGTTGGGAAGGCAAAACCAATTATAAGATCGAAAATAAATGTGGGTTATACTTATTTATAAAATGAATTAATTTATTAAAATGCCATGCTTATTAAATTAATTTACATTTAATGGTATGCTTATTAAATTAATTTAAATTAATACACTTAATTAGGTAATAAAGACAACATTAACTTGTGAAAATGAAATACTCGTTTTTTATGGTTTCCAATTTCTTAATTTATCTTTTATATTTCAGTTTTAAAACCACTATTTAACATAATTTTAATATTTAATTTCAAAAGGCCAAAATATATTTGGTATTATTGTATAAAATTGATCAATTTTCCTTTGTTATTCATTTACATTTATTAAATTTATATTTTATATTTCAGTTTTAAAATCATGATTAAATTTTTTATATTACATTTAAAAAAGTCTAAATATATTTATATTATTTTAAAAATTTTTTAGTTCACTTTGTAAATCAAATAAAATATAAATATATATAGCTGCCTTATCAAAAATACAACCATTTTAAAAAGCCCGCCAACTACCTTGGCTGCTTTCCAACACTAAACCAACGTCACAAAGTCTGGCACTGTTGATCAGCTGACCTGCCACTTAGAAACAGAGTGGCCAGCTTAGTTATTCGCCAAATCAAGTCAGGACAAGTTCCTTGTGTGCCTTTGGTCACACTTGGAGAAGCAACAGCATTTCAACAAAAACGTTTTTCGCTTATTATTGTTGTTGCTGCTGCTGCTGCTATTGTTGTTGCTTCGGCCGAGCATAATGGGTGGCTAGGGACGGACGGATCGCGTTTAGAATTAATATTTCCCTCACCATTTTAGTCTAGTTTAGGCCACTCCACTAAGCGGCGGTGCGCGGCGCGAGGCTACAATAAGAATAAACTGGAACGACGACGCCGTATGTTTGTATTTTCGCCAGAGAAACACCGTGACAAATGAAGCAGCAGTAGCGCGAATCGACGGACGCACACAATCCGCGCGATTCGATCCCAGGCAGCAGCAGAGCCACGTCTGCGTCGACGAGAGTGACAGTGCTACCTCAGCAACCCAGACCACCTTCCCCCCACACATACCACCGCCAGGATGCTGCCTCGGTTCCGTTCCTTCTATGGCAAACTAATCATCTTCATCCTGGTCGCCCTCTGCTTTATCCTGTACAGCAAGGTGCAGCAGAACAGTCCGGCGGACGAAAACCCATCGCCGCCAGCCCGGGCGGCCGCCCTCCGGGGCCACGGACGCGACAGTTACCACGAGGATCATGATAGTGAGAATGAGATAGCCCGGCCGGCCACCCAGTCACCGTACGAGCTGAGCATCCAGTTTGATCTGCAGAAGCAGCAAGTGGGCCTGGGCGACAAGGGTGTGGCAGTGCATCTGACCGGCGCCGCCAAGGAGCGCGGCGATGCCATCTACAAGAAGATCGCCTTGAATGAGGAGCTCAGCGAGCAGCTGATGTACAATCGCACTGTGGGCGACCATCGGAATCCCTTGTGCGCGGCCCAGAAGTACGACGATGGATCCCTGCCCAGCGCCAGTGTGGTTATCATCTTTTTCAATGAACCCTACTCTGTATTGCTGAGGACAGTCCACAGCACGCTGAGTACCTGCAATGAGAAGGCCTTGAAGGAGATTATTCTGGTGGACGATGGCAGCGATAATCCGGAGCTGGGCGGCAAACTGGATTACTATGTGCGCACGCGAACGCCGCCGGGCAAGGTGACGGTGCTGCGGCTCAAAAATAGGTGAGTTGAGGTTGAGGGAATTCCCTTTGGGATAGAGGCTTTGAGAGATGGTGATGATGAGTGGCTACATGGCAAAGAGTAGATAGTTTTGAGTTAAAGAGATCTTCATTTTTGTGTTTTTCTGGTAGAGAAGATTGTTCATTTTGTGGCTTATTTATTTCTCTTATCTTTTTTCTTATAAAACATTTACTTATTTGATTAACTTTTCAAGTTAATTACACAATTTTTATGAGGAAATCCACAGAAGTAGACAGAAAATCTTGTTGACCTTTCGTATATGCAAATGTCTTGTGTGGAGCTGATAAGCTTTTAAACCAGAATTCCGTAGCTCTATGGCAGGCTAGAGAATACTCTAATTAGTTAGATATATCTTTTGATTTTAAATATAGAAAATAGCTTTAAAATCATTTACTTTCAATTAATATTCTATTTAAAAATACCCAAGTAACCCAGCCATAAAATACCCCAAAGTTACACCCCTTTTACTGCCACTAGGCTAGGAAAAGTTCAGCGGCAATTCAGCTAATCGAATTGCTGGCGGCCTGAACTCATTTGAATAACTTGTTTGCCATGTCAGAGAGACTCGAGTCGGAGACGGCGTGCGCGCATGGCTCATCTTCTTTTTGGCCAGAACCGACAAATGCTCAAATAACCAAAAACTTAAAATGTGGAGAAAACCAGTTCGTCAAGTTACCAAGTTATGTGTGTTGTGTGTGCGGCGAGCTTAAGTTTTTTGTTTGTAACTCTCAAAAGACAGTGGTTTCTGCGTGCATTACACTCGCCAGCAGACTCTGCCATGGATGTTGTATAGTGTTAATCGAAGGTCTTCGTCTGACCCAATAAATTTCAGTTTGCCTTTGTTTTGCCCTTCTCCTTCGCCTGGCTAAAGAAAGTTTTTTCGCTTCTTTACCTCTTTTTCTCGTTCGTTTCAGGTTGGGCCTGATTCGTGCCCGTTTGGCTGGAGCCCGTATAGCCACCGGCGATGTACTCATCTTCCTGGATGCCCACTGCGAGGGCAATATTGGCTGGTGTGAGCCCCTGCTGCAGCGAATCAAAGAGTCGCGCACAAGCGTACTGGTGCCCATCATCGATGTGATCGATGCCAGTGATTTCCAGTACAGCACCAATGGCTACAAGTCATTCCAGGTGGGCGGCTTTCAATGGAATGGCCACTTTGACTGGATTAATCTCCCGGAGCGGGAGAAGCAGCGTCAGCGTAGGGAGTGCAGGCAGGAGCGAGAGATCTGCCCAGCTTATAGTCCAACCATGGCTGGTGGCTTGTTTGCCATGGATAGGCGCTACTTCTGGGAGGTGGGCAGCTATGATGAGCAGATGGATGGCTGGGGTGGCGAGAATCTGGAGATGTCCTTCCGCATCTGGCAGTGTGGCGGCACCATTGAGACGATACCCTGCTCCCGAGTGGGTCACATCTTTAGAGACTTTCATCCTTACAAGTAAGTGGGAGATCGGAAGCTCTAAATCAGGGTTTACGATCACATAAAATATTTATTTGCTCGTAAATTATACGAACTCCGCTAAGGTGTTTATTTTGCTTGACTAATACACACCTCATTTAATTTGCTTGACAGATTTCCCAATGATCGCGACACACATGGCATCAATACGGCCCGCATGGCTCTGGTTTGGATGGACGAGTACATTAACATCTTCTTCCTGAACCGACCGGATCTTAAGTTCCATGCTGACATTGGCGATGTCACCCACCGAGTGATGCTGCGCAAGAAGCTCCGTTGCAAGAGCTTCGAGTGGTACCTGAAGAACATCTATCCGGAGAAGTTTGTGCCCAATCAGGAAGTCCAGGGTTGGGGCAAGGTGCGTGCCCTTAGTGCCAATCTCTGCCTGGATGATCTGCTGCAAAACAACGAGAAGCCCTATAATGCAGGGCTATATCCCTGCGGCAAGGTGCTCCAGAAATCGCAACTCTTCTCCTTCACCAACTCCCAGGTGCTGCGCAACGAGCTGAGCTGTGCCACAGTGCAGCATAGCGAGTCGCCACCGTACCGAGTGGTGATGGTGCCCTGCATGGAGAATGATGAGTTCAACGAGCAGTGGAAATACGAGGCGCAGCATCTAATACACAGCAATACGGGCATGTGCCTAGATCACAGGGGGCTCAAGAGCCTGGATGATGCCCAGGTGGCGCCATGCGATTCCCACAGCGAGTCCCAGCGATGGAGCTTGGAGCACTGAGCGGGCAGAGGGGGTATGGATTGGGGACCAAACCAACTGAGAGATACTGACTAACGACGACTGAACGCAACTGACTCGAATTCAAAATAGAGCAAAAAATTGTAAATACTTTAATCGAATGCTAGAATATATATATATACATATATATATTTTCTGTACACTAAGGAGAGACAACACGGACGGACGGGTAGCTAGTGCAAATGAAATGAAATCAAAAAATCGAATCAAACCAACAGCAAATCAAACGAGTCATTTTGAGGAGAACTACTAACTAACAATTAAAACCATGTGTGTTGTGTACGTACTACTTGGTGTGTATAGATATAAATATAGATAAAGAGATACATCCTATGTAAATGCTATAGTCGCCATGTGATCACCAACGATGATGATGATGTTGAGGTGTTGTTGGGCAGGAAGGTGTGTAACAATTGCATTCCGTTTTTGCCAGGAATTCAGACAGGGGCCTCCAGCAATAACCAACTATGTAAACAGTAAACTAAATACGTGTCGTAAGCATTTATCTACTAACATTACACATTTTGCCATTTGTTTTCATAATAAAAAATAATAAAACACTTCCGACTGGAAGATGCACATCTTCAAACAACGACCCACTAGCTTTCCCTGCCCCCCAGAAATGGAACCAGTTGACCATAGTTATATGGCAAGGTCGAGTTCGGGGCCAGAATAGCCATAACAAAGCTGTTGTTGGGCAAACACAGCAACAAGTCCCGTCTCCCAGCTGTGAAATTAAAGCCAACTCCATTGAAAAATATGCATTGCATGTTTGTATATTTGTATTTATAGATATATATAAGTACATATTTCATATTCTCTTTTGTTTTTTTATTGAAATTGTTGTTCAAATTTGCTTATTACGCGGGGTTTTTTTTCTCTGTGACGTGTTTGCTTTAAAATACTTAAATTGGAGTAAAACAATTGTAAATTACTAAAATGATCTTAATGGCTTCCGCCGCTGCTGACACCTAGATATTTTTGTATTTTTTGTATTCTGCAACTACAAAGTGAGAGAGGAGAGTGTGTGAACTCAACTGGTTTATAGCTACTCCTATATCTTACTTACAAAACGACCGAATCAAATGCATCAACAATGGATTACACAGGCCGACAAAATTTACAAAAATCGGAGAGCCAGGATTATACTTTTCCGTTAGTTTTTGATGAGCTGAACTTAAATTTGGTCTTAGGAAATGTTTAATTTATCAGGTTTTTGAGATATTCAAATTTAGAAATTAAAAAAATACGGGTTTTGAAAATAATTTATTTTTCAAAACGATCGTTAAGTTTTCAAAATCATTTTTTCAAATTTGACAAAAAAATCTTGTTGGATACCAAAATATTGTTTCTTGAATTATCGATATTTTTCCTTATATTAAAAAGTATATAATAAAACATCAAAGTATTCAAGAGACGAAGTTTTTACAAATATTTTTGCACTTTTAAGTTCAACTATTTTGAAAACCTGACAGATGGGAAATCTCCTAAGACCGAATTTAAGTTAAGCTTATTAAATACATTTGAAAAAGTAATATTCTAGTTCTTGGTTCCAAAAATCTGTCAACCTGTGTTAGCTTAGCAAATGTCTAACCTGTTTTTGTGTGTGTTTTTCTTTGATAAAAGCAGATCTAGCATATGGTTTAGTTGCTATTCTTGATTAACTTGTGGCTGCCTGAACCCTTGGTTAGTTACATTATTTATTTAACAGCTGATGGAGTGAGCTACAATTGTTGCTTTTTGTGTAATAACATTTATTCGTTGACAGTGCTAAAAGCTCTAAAAGAGTGCGCAAACTTACGAGTATTTCTGCTGTTCCAATCGCCTATATATATATTTATCCATATATATCCCATATAATATGTGTGTGCGCGTGGGCCTAGCATATTGAAATTATTTGATTTTTTACTTTCATTTTCCAGGGCTGATTGCGTGACAACTAACTGCTCTAGGAGATTGCACAAAAATATGATTTATTCTTCAATAACGTCAAGGTACTATTCAATTTGTCGGCTTTCGGTTACCAATACAGACAGCTCTACTATAACTATGGATAATCGATCTATTTTACAATTAAAGCCCAGGCTGCTGCGGCTACAATCTCGGGGGTTCTCAATGCTCAATCGAAGCTCTAGTCGAATGTCAGCTTTGCGCTCGTTAAATGCGTTAATTTGCGAGTGATTTAGCCGCTAATAATAATAATAATAACTCTCCAACTATGTACATTCATGTGATTTAATTAGATTGGAATATTGCACACACTTACCCCCAGAGGGTACTTTCTGCGCCGTAAATATATTTGAATAATTCGTGTTGTTCTGTTTGTGTTAAGGATTATCATTGGTAAATATTCAATTGATGAGTATTTTTGTATTCATGAATATCCATGCAAGTATATATATATATTTATCGTAGTTATCTTGATCTTGAATTTTTAATTTTGGACGTATTTTCAAGTATATTTCTGGTAGTTGCTTTTCGCTTTTACGCAAGTAGAAAAACAGTTCGAAAATATATACCTAATATATATATATATATATATAAGTTAGTGTATATTAATGCTTGTATACACTGGATGAATGGCTGTAGATCGTCCAGTTTCCGCTCAAACTGCTCTTTCTGTTGGATTTTAGTTTTAGTTACAGTTATCTTCTTTGGGTTTTACCTTTGCCAAGTGTAAATCGCTCTTATTGTTTGGTTTTAAATTGCAATTTATCTCAGACTCAGTTTTGGAGTGTCTTGGATGTTGGTTTTTGGTTTTGTTTGGTTTGGTTGGTTGGATGGATACGTTTACGGTTTTTACGTACAAACGTTCTTCGTTCAGCCACTCTCGCGATCCTCTGTTTCGTGTACGATTATTTATAGTATTCTTAACATAAAATTGAATTTTCTCAATGCAATTATTGCTTTCTCGCTTTTGGACTAACACCTGCTGGCTCCGGTGTTTGGTTTATGTTATTTATAACGCTTCACAAACATAGTCGCACAACCTTCTTCGACATTGATTAAATACAACTTGGAAATCCTAACACTTATATTGCACACATTAAGGACGGGTCAAGGGGGAAGGAAAGTGAATTATAAAATATAAAACATAAAACAAAATTAAAGATAAAATCAATTTTATTTATATACATACATATGCATATATAAAGGGGAAATTATAAATACATCACATCAAAATAATACAATTTACACATTAACGAAGCGTCTTGATCTGGGGACTAAGATCAAGGATATATGTATGTTTGCTCTCTCATTATATTACTAAACATTTTCGTATTGATCATAATTTGTATATAAATGCGCTAAACAGAATGTGAGAGAAACGAAATTATTGCAAGGTCTTAATCATAAATATATATACAAATGATTTATATAGGGTATATAGGAGTCGATAACAATTAAAAAATATAAGCTCACAAGTTGATATATCAAAAAACAATTGAACTAAACTAAAGGCAAAGAACCATTACAAAAATATATATGTATATATATCAATTAGTAAAGCGCTTCATTCAAAAATCGAAAAGCAATACACGACATTTAACTACGACGAACACAAAAACAATGGAATCTGATCAAGTGCGAGAACTTCAGTTTAGTTTCCCTTTCCTTTCATTTCGTTTAGTTTAAACTTTAGTTTAGTTTAGTTTAGCCAGAGATTAGTAATTAGTTCTGCTGTAGACACCGCGCCTTAGACTACTTGTAGAAGCGTGGGGTTAAGTGTACGGCATTTCATTTGCGGCTTGGTGTGAGAATAGTTTTAAGTTTAAGCTAGAATAGGGTTGGCATGTGGATTATGCTCCGCATTGTTCGTTGCTTGACGAGGCTACTGCTACTGTCATCCTTGGGTTTACGGACCTTAAAAGGCCGTCGAGCGTCGATTGGCATAGCACTTCTTGCCATGACTGTTCGCATCTGCAGCGCTGCTGGTTGCACGCAATCTGTGGCAGGTCGCCGGCTGGCCAACAGCACTACTGCTGGTGGCCACCGTTGATTGCCTGCAATTAGTCCAACGCTGCAGCTGATGCGAACACTTGGGGTACAATCATTTGCGCGCCGCCGCCACATTGAGCGATTCGCCGCGGCTCTTGGAGCGTGTCATCGAGCCAGTCATCGAGCTGCTCATCTCTTCAACAGAATAAATACAAAGTTAAGACGCTCTACACGCTTTTAATGGTTTTCCTCACTCACCTTTGCTGATGCTATTGCTCTTCTCGGCTGCCTTGTAGGCCCGCATCGCCTTGCCGCGCTTGTCCAGCATCAGCTTGTCGGAGCGCACAAACATGCCATGCTTGGGCTTGCACTGGAAATACTGTATGCCCTTCACGCTGCCATCGTTCTTGCCCGTTGGCGTATCCAGTTCCACGCCAATCCAAGCGCCGGGCTGGAACTCTGTGGTGCCCACAAAGCGTATGACGCCGCTGGTATTGTATGGACGTATCAGCACTGATTCGCCCACCACAATCCAGTCGGGCAGGACCAGCTCCAAGTCCTTGCTTTCGTCTGGAAAAGATTAGATTTAAATTAACATGTAAATTATATTAAAACCAAAAAACAATCCACTATTCATAGAGAAATACTTACCATCTACTTCTGTGCTGCTGGACATAATGCTAGAGTCCAGGTAAGCGGCTAAACCCTCCATTTTGGCCACCGAAGCCCGGTGATTAATGCGCGGCGCCTGACTTGTGCTTGTGTGGCTGTTGTTGTTGTTGTTACTGCTGATCGGTGGCTGTTGCGTGTTTGACTTCTTGCGACGCATCACCTTGCCAGCGGGTAATTCCTCCCGGACAATGCCATCGCCTTCAAGCATCTCCTCGGAGCTGTGACTGGTCTCGTCCGAGGATTTGTTGCCATTCTGATTGTCTGTTGTGGCAAGCTCTGGTTGTGATTCGAGCTGGGACTCTGTTTCCGTTAGCTCGGCTTGGCCAGAGGACAGTAAATCCTTCTCCTTGACCAAGTCAACGTTGTTGTTGTTATTGTTATTGTTGTTGTTATGCTTTGGCAACAGCTCAGGCTCATCCTCGTCGCTTTGTGCATTCTCCTTGGACTCGTTAAGCTCCAATGGATGCGTAAAGGTTTCTTGAAGCTTCTTGGCTTGAGGCTCTAAAGGTTGCTCTTGGGTCTTGGCCTTGGGCATGTCCTTGAGGAAGGGATTGACTCGTGCCTGTCGATTCGGTGGCGAATTCGAATTGATGCGATCGAAATCTAAAAGGGAAATTAATTGCAATTAATTAAATAATTCATAAAATAATTTAAATAAAGAGAATATAATAATATATCCTTACCTGGCGTCTCATCAATGCTCATGGAACGCATTGAGGCAATATCCTCATTGCTCAAATTGTTGCAGGACACCGCCTGAGAGCCATAGCCACTGCTGGTGGAGGAGCTCATGCTCAGCGTGGGCAATCCATTCAGATGCTTCATATTCGCATTGGCACTGGACGTGTAGCTCAAGTAGCTCGAATGATTCGAGTGGCTGCTAACATCCATGAACGAGTCCATGGTCTTGGAGGCCGTGAGGCGGGACCTTGTGGCCAGGCTCTTGTTCTGCTGCTCATACTCGGCGGCATACTCCGAGTCGCTGTAGCTGTCCTCGGGCTCCTCGTCCAGGGACCGATGTCCGCCCAAAGGTTCCTCGTGCAGCGTGGTCATCCTCATGCCCAGCAGCTTGCTGGTGGCCGGCGAAGCTTTAGGAAATATCAAAATAAACCAATTACTATTTGAATTTGTTTCTTTTTCAGATTGCTTTTAGTGCTTAAAGCTAGACAAACCACATACGTTTCGTTGGCGCGATTCTCAAAGTGTTCAGATTCAAATTGAGATTCAAAAATGTTGGACGCGCTGCATTCCACATTTGCGGGGGCGGGCGATTTGGGAAGATAATGATTATGCGTTATGTTTAGTTACAATGCAATTTACAGACTTCGGGCTTGAGGAATGATCAAAACTAGAGCCAAGGGATGCGACTAGCTCGCAGCCCCTTGGCAACACACTATGGCAACCAGGTAACAAGAAAGGTAACAAGTAATTCTAGGTCTAAATATAGTCACTACAAAAACGCGGCTCGTGCTTTAAGTCTCGTGCTTCTGTGTGCTTGGCTGCTGTGTGTGAATTGTGCACCGGATTGCAATGGTTATGGATGATTTCCAGATCAATGTCTCGAATTTGGTTGGATGAGCAAGGGCGAGGGCGATGGCGACAGCGAGAGATAGAGAGAGTCTTGGGTATGATTGACGACAGATTTACCAGCAAACAGAACTAACACAAAACTACATTTAAATACTTCTAAATGGGGGGGACACACGCGCCTCCCTTCTTACTTTGTAGAAGCCTCTTATGATACAAAGGGATGTATATATCGATATGGGTCGATAAAAATATCGTTTTGATAAAAGAACAATTTAAAATTATTAGCGAATATTTTATATTTTAATATTGGAATTAAAATTCTTTAAGATAAAGCTGGAAATAAAATCGATTGTATAATTGATTAATCGACTTTTTCAGATATGCAATACATCGATTTAAGTTTTTAGAATCGATTTAATCAAAAAAGTATTTTGAATCGATTTATTTCCAGCCCTAATATAAATATTATTGTATATTTTATATTTTGACATCAAATTTATACTTAAAACCTCTTTTTAATCAAATATAAAACAGATTATCGATTTATTGCGGTCCTAAATTATCGACTTCACATTAAATAACGATTAATTATCGACATATTGATATATTCTGGCATACCCAATGCTTTATAGGAGGCGAGTCGATTTGTCTGATTGGGTGAATAGTTGTGAGTTGGTAGTGTTACGATGAAGGGAATTGTGAGAGACAGACAAACTTAAACTCCAACTAACAATCAATGGAATAGCAATCAAGAATGCACTTTCGGATTTTTGATTTGATTTTTTTGTTGGGCATTTTTATTACCTGACAGCAGAGATAAAGAGCCTGTTGGCGGTGGAATTTCATTGAGATTACGTTAAGTTTGAAAGCACAGAAAAGAGTTTGGACAAATTGAGAAAACCATACAGTAAATACGAGAAGCTGTGTTGGGCTAATGGGTTCATGTATCTGTCGTGGATGCATGTCAATTTATATGATAAGCGTATGGAAGATGTGCATCATGACGCAGAATCGCTCGAGGATCGAGTTTATGCGGGCGATTTGTTGCTCTTGCTAATTGCTTGGTTGCTGCAGGTGTCGTTGTTGCATCGAAGCAAAGCAAACAAAGTTGGGGTTTTTGAACTAAGCAATGCGACAGAGAGATCACAGAGTTGGAGTGGCTTTTGGGTAAGATAACATTTGCTGACTCTGGGACACACATGAAGTATTTATAGTAAGCGGTAAGAAATTAAATATTTCGAAAAGGATTTATCTCGTTGCCATTAATTTAAGCATGAACTCAACTCAAGTACAACTACTGGTTACGAGTTACAAGGATATCTACTGATTTACTGATCGATCACAAAGATAAATCCCTTGCTCTAGAGCTTGGCTGCGACTAGATCACACGCAGTGTTTCGTATAAACTGAATAATTTTTGGTTCGGCTGCGCATAAGCATATGCAGAATTACTTAGTTAAATAGTGGATTCAAAAAACTCGGTTATATGGTTTATAGTTTCAACATATATAGTCTTGCTCAAAAGGTTAATGGTGAGTATATAAAAGAAACCGTTTTGGGATATACAAAATCTAAAGAAATACCCACCAATGCCAAAGGCTTTTCCAGGGGAATCATCGCTGCTACCTTTGCCTCCGAAGCTATGACGATTCCGGATGACTCCTCCAGCTCCGGCGGGACCTGCTGCATAAAAATACAAAATATTAGGATACCTAATATAGGAAATCTTTAGTGACTTAGTTTCTCTCACCTGGCGTAAACTTGTTGCCCAGCGCACTGTTATTGAGATCGGCAAAGGACTCGGATCGTCCCACATTCAGCAGCGACTCCATCGACGCATCGAAGCGCATAATCTGCGTAAGTTTATTTATGAGTTGCTTGCATCATAAATTGTGTACAACAAATGTTATTCAACAGGATGAAATAAAAATGATCGAATTAAATAAACAAAAAAAAAATAATTAACCAAAAATAAATGATGTTACAAAAAACATAAACAAAAACCAAAGAACGTGTACGAAAATGGCAAACTGAAGGGCGCACACAAAGGTTTATAAGATACATATATAGTTAGTAGAAGAGCTTGCAAATGTTATTAACTAATATTTGAGTAATTATTGTCACTCTTTTTCAATTTTGAAGTGTTTAAAAGAAAGAGAGAGATTTTAGAACTAGCTCTGGAAATAAATCGATTTTCAATATATCGTTTCTAAAAATAAATCGATTAAAATTGAAAATTTGAAAATGTATAATCACAGATTTGTAATTGTTTTTTTCTACACATTTATTCTATCGTTATTTGCCGTTTTTAACCTTTTGTTACGCATCATAAATATGAAGTTATAAAAAAGAATTACATAGAAAGTCGATTAATCAATTATAGAATCAACTGTTATTTGCAAGCTCTGTTTAATAAGTAGTAGTAGAATTAAGTGGAAACTAAAGAAAACTTTAACTACTATAGCTTAATGTACAAAGCTTTTCACAGGATACAAGGATACGGATTAAAGAACACAGTTTACAGTATAAAGAAAGAGGAAACAGAAAGAGTGGAGGAGTTACTCTAGTTACTTACACTCCCGGTATTGGTGGTGTCTTTGACCGCCTATGTGCGCAGTGAGAAGCGTTTTAGGTCAACACAGACACACATACACAGCATAAACATAAAGACAAGGATAATACCAATACACACACACACACACACACATAGAGAGAGAGAAATTTAAAATTTGCAGAAAGTGCGCGCCGAATTTTGTGGTTTTTGGTTAATTTTTTTAGTTTGTTTTTTGCAGTCGGTGGTCAAAACACAAATTTTGTTGGGGGGGTTAGTTTTTTTGTTGGTGAAAGCGCATAGAAAAAAGTGTGAAAAAGAGAAAGAATTTGCGTTTTAGTCAAATGTTCTTTGTTAATTTTGCTCAAGTGTGTGAGTAGTAGGTGAGTAGTAAGTGGAAGCACATAATTCAGCAGCAGCGGCGGCGGCGACCAAGTGTGAAAGCGCAGCGGCAGCAGCGGCTCAATGGGATGAACTGGGGAAAGGGGAAACCTCCAATGGCTCGTCCTTACCTGCGAGAAGTTCGGCACACTGACGGTCTTGCGCATGCTCAGCGGCTGGCCATGGGCCGTCTCCAGCTCCTTGACAGCCACATTCTGACGCAGGCGATCCAGGGTCAATATGCTTTCCACAGCCGACACGCCGCGAGTGTATTTCTCTGCAGGATTAGAAAGTAGCGGTTAGCAATGAAAGCAGGGAAGACTTCTAAGAACTCACCTATGTATGTCTCGCCATCACTTGCCGAACAATCATCTCCGCTGGCCGCCAGCTGGGCCAGCGATTCGCGATCCTCGAGCTCTTCAGAGGCCTTGGGAATGTTGGAAACCACCTCGTAGGTCACGCCGCTCTGCCATATGGCATTCTCGCCCCGCACCAGGCGGAACTTCTTCAAACGATCCGTTAAAGTCTGACCCTTCTTGATGTTGATGCTCAGACGCTTGCGCAGCACCAGATCCATGGGCGCAGGATGTGACAGGCGCACTGTGGTGCGCAGAATGAGATACACTCGCTCGTTGGCCTCGGTTACACGGTTCAAGGCCTGACTGTCGTGCATCGACGAGTCCCAGCTGGCCACGCTGCACACATCCTTGTCCAGGTGCTGCAGGATTTGCAGAGTGTAGAACTTGTGGCCATGCTCTTTGGACAGAATGGAGTTAATGCCGGCAATGGAGAGCTCATCGTTGGTATTTTGCGCGGACAAATCGTCGCCATTGAGGTTGAGGAAGAGCACGGGTACATGGGGCTCCATGCCAGATGGTGGCTCCCAGGAGGCAGGTGCTCCGGGTATGCCAGACCCTGGGGCGGGCACCAGCACTGCATTACGTTCCTCCGTCAGCGAGACCCACTGATGCACCAGGCTCAGCTCGCGTTCGCGCTCCTGCTCGTTCTTCTCCTCCTTCTTGATCAGCATTTGGATTTGTTGGTCCAGGTACTGACGCCGCCTGCCCAAAGCCTCACTCCACTTCTCCCGCAGTACTGTGAGGTCCTCTTCTTGGTAAGAATCCAGAGGTCTTTGCAGCCGGGAACGCACTGTCACACTGCCAATGGCCACGTTTACTATTGACTGGCAAATAATAGGCAGAGTGCCTGAATTCTGGACAGGCTTTACGCGTACATTGACCCGCCGCTGCTGACCCTGACGCAGCTGGTAGATGCCGCCGGTCAAGACTTCATTGCGATTGGTCACCTCCACGGGCGAATACTCTCCATTATCATTCAACTCGTGTATCTCCACCCAAAGCTCGATTTTGCGGGAGAGCTCCGCCCAGCGATCCACCAGGGAGCGGGCCTTGGCCTGCTGTTGCTCCACCTCCCAACCCTTGGAGCGGGAGAAGCCGGCGCTGCGATGACCCCATACTTCGATGGACAGAGCTCCCTCGATGCAGTGCTCCAGGAACTCCTCATTTATGGTCACTGTAAAGTCCTGTGTGTGCTCAAACTTGAAGACCATGTTCTGATCGTGGGCTGTGGACTCGGCATTGATCACCGGCACCACCATCTCCTGGTGGCCCCAGAAAGTGTACTGGCAGAACACGAAGTTAGAAAGGGAGAGGGGCAAGCCACTGGCGCACTTGATGGTCACGCGGCAGGTGATCTGATTGGATGAGGGATCCACAGGATCATCGTATTCGTCACGCGAATCCCCTGAGGACTCGGAGACTGACTCGCACATGCGATCCTGAGGCATTTGACCAGCAATGCGCTCGATCTCCACCTGCAGGCGGCCGGCCACCTCACCCTGCTGGCTTATGATGGGCGTGTGATAGTCCAGCTTGACGTCGTGGAAGAGAACCTCCAGGAATATGTTGGCCACACCAATGAGATTGTGATTCTCCTGGGACTCGTAGAAGGGATCCTGCGGTTTGCTACTGTCCTCGTCCTAAATAAACCATAAATTAGTTAGGTTTTAGCCTGAAGAGTAAAGGCTACATCATAGTCTAGTTATGTGCGTGGTGTTCATGTCTAGGTGGTGCTGGGGGTGTCTCTTAATTACCTTGTCATCGTACTCATCGTCTGAGAATGGCTCAACTAGGGGCTGTAGCCAGGGGTTAATATGGAATGCGTGTGTGAATCGAATACAATTATAAATGGTTAGTACACAGCCCAAGGGCAAACACATGAAAAAGGAAGAGGAATATCTCGACATACCAAGCCATTGAGTATACGATCCTTGTGATCCTGGTACATCTCACGCATATCTATCAGCTTGTTCTCCAGCTTTTCCATTGTCCAAATCTGACTGCCCGAATTGAGGCGCTTTACCAGTATAGCAGGTTCGCTCACAAAGGCCCCACGTCGCCTATTTGGACTCAGGTTAGCAGGAGGTATTTGTAAGGTCACCGAGAACTTGGTCTTCTTCTCCATTTCCTCAGCCAAGAAGTTGGCTTCTTGAACCAAGGAATTAGCACGCATAATGTCCGTTTTAAGCTGACCCAAACTCCGGCGGAACATCTCATCTCGCTCCTGTGCCCACTTCTCCACCCGCATCTGCGAAGTGGGCGTGTTTGGTGTCACCTTCCCCATTCTTAGAGGATCGTAGGGAGCATAGGGAGCATATGGTGTGCTGGGTGACAAGATATTGCGCAGCTGCTGGAACTGACGCTCGTACTCCTGCCTTTGCTTCTCCAAAGCCACCTGCTTATCTTCCTCATGCTGACGCTCCAACCGAGCAATGGCCGTCTGTATGGGGTCGTTGCTCAGCTCATTCTGCATAATCTCATCCCTTGCGAAATTGTAATCGATCAGCTGGGCTGGAGTCTGAGGCTCCGAGGCACACAGGCTGGTGTTGTTGCTCTTCGGCGAGTTGACGCGGAAGAAATGATGATTACCCCACAGGATACGATCGCCGTTTTGCAGAGGCGTCTTTTCCACGGCTGCTGAACCATTCACAAAGCAACGAGCACCCTGCACTGGCTCCATGAACAAGCCACTGTCCTCGATGGTTATCACACAATGCTCGGGCTGAATGCCCAGGCCAGAGAGTTGTATATCCGGCTGCTGGCCACTGATGCTGCGACCACCAATCAAAGTGCGTTCCTGGAATGGTAATTCGGGAAAGAGAGGTCATTAGGCTGTTTTGGATAGACATCCTTGCAGGACTCACCTTCAGGTAGTAGACCAGCAGCTCGTTGAGGGACGGATCTGCATTCAAATTGACCAAATAGTACTTGTTCTTCTCCACCTTGATGCCACTGGCCTGGACACTGATGCCCATCTTCTCGAGGGCCTGTTGTCGCTCATTTTGGATGCGCTCCGTCTTGACCAGCTTCTCCTCCCAGGTCTGCGAGATCTGCTTCATAAGGTTCTCGCTCTCGGCCAGCTTGTCCTGTACATCGCCCACCGGTGACCCAGTGGCATGCTTCAGCATACTCCTCAGCGTCTCCACCTCGTGTCGCAGCTCTCGAATGATGCGAGCATTGGGATCCTCGTTGACCACGGCATGGTTAACAATTCGCTTGGCCCGATCCGCATAGCGGAGAGTGGACAATGTCTCCTCATAATTATCCGCCGAGGGTGAGATGGTGGCCACCATAACGGTCCTGGAATTGCCGCCCAAGTTGTCCTTTAGCAGCCAGGTGAGAACAGAGTCGCGGTAGGGCACAAACTTGTCGTTGCCTCCCCGCTTGCCATTCGTTTGATCGGCCAGCTTGGATATGACCAGGCCCAGCGTGGTCAGAGATCTGTAAGTGGCATAAGATTAGCAAAGAACCTTAATGAGATTGACTCTCGCCCTTGGAAATGCAGGTCAACCCTGCAATGCGGGTGAATTCAAAGATCTAAAATTTTTTTTAATCTTCGAATCCAAAGGCATCACAAGTGACCTGCATAACCAATGGAAAAGCAATGCAAACACAAGATTGTTAACTAATTTTCACCCACTTGTTGATGTTGGATCCCTCCTTGAGACGATCGCCAACGGCTCCCGTTTTCACTGCCCGCTCGGAGCCCGCTAAATCGACCAGAGACATGCGGGAAACTTTCTCGCCACTAACGCCGGTGGCCTGATCCGTGAGTATCTGGGTAAGAACCACCGAGAAGACGGCATGGGAACGCGAAGACTCGGCATTCATATTTGTGGCAGCCACCGTACGCGATTTGTTGCCCTCCGTCATGAGGTTGTCGATGTCCTGATACGAAGTCACTGCCAACTGTGACAATCCATCCACATAGGGCCCCATCACATTGTGTTCGCGCACCTTGAGCGACTGCTTGTTGGGCTTGGGATCGAGGAGATCGTGTACCTTTTCATTGTAGATCTCCATGTAGGACACCTCCACCTTGTACATCAGCTCGGGCGTGGATTTGTTGGCTATCGCCGAGAAGAGCTTATCGCAGAGGCGCGGTATAATGCCCTTGCTCTCCTGGGAGCCCATCATCGTGTACGACTTGCCAGAGCCTTTGATGGAAAATTAACAAAATATGAATAATTATGGAGCATACAATGGTAGGGAAGATCATTTACCTGTCTGGCCGTAAGCGAATATGCATGCATTATAGCCCTGGAATGCATTATCCAGTATATCACGTCCCACGCAATCGAAAACTGTCTCCTGGGAGGCGAAGTTGTCGTCCTCGGGGTTTAAAGAGTAGAAGCAGTGATCGAATGCAAATGTCTTTGGTTGTTTTCTAAGAGTAAAAAAAAATATATATTTATTATTATTCTTTAATTATAGACCCTAAAGCGTGACTTATAAGTTTGTTTAGTAGGTTTTTTTCGATTAAATAACAAATAACACTTAAGTGGCAACTGTGTTACCTTTCGATTTTCTCCAATGGCGGTGGATTTTGCAGTATTGTCTGCTGTTTTTCCATATCCACAATACATTTTGTGCCCAACTCGATCTCTGTAAATAAAAAAGAAAATAAATAAATAACTTTTAGTTACGGAGGCCCTTTCCGGAATTTCATTTATTTTATGCATGTTATGTGCAAAAAAAAAACTGAGATAATTTCGCGTTATTCCGCGCTTGGGGTGATAACGAGTTCAAAGTAGCAAAAACAATTTAATATTATACGTTTGTTACAAATATATATTCAAGTATATGTATTGCATCAAGTTGGGGCTTTTCGTACATACTAGAAGTGCGAAAACGGACTCACAGCGAGAAGGGGCGATAAATGTGTGGATGGGCATGAGAATGGCCAATGCCAGTAGCATGTATGTATGTATGTATGTACAATCTCAATGGAGAGAACGAACCTTTCAAATAAATTGTAAACAAACGTAAAAAGGCCGAGGCACAAGTTGCCCAAGCAAGCTACTCTGACTCTGTCCATGTAATAAATATTTTAGCAGCAATAAAACAATGAGCGATAAGATACACCCTTTTTCAAGTCGAATACCAGTTGCCCTTGGCCATTATCGAGCTGAGATTTCTATAAGATCTGTAGTAAGTGAGACTTGCTGATAGGGGTTGATTAGATATTGGGGAAAAATGTGGTATTTAATTGATTCTAAAATAGAGTTCTTAAGAGTCAAAAAATAAAATTTTTGACAAGTCTAAAAGAAATTCAAGGAATTCAATTTGAAAGACTACGAAATCATTTAAATATAGGAAAATGGTTACAAGTAAAGAAAGAAAAATGGAACCTTTCCTAATATATAATATAATATAATATCTCTTATAACCCACTCATAATTCACTTTGAAATCGTGCCTTTTCTTCACATCTAAAATACTATAAATAAAACATTCTTAAATTTGCTTAAAATTCCCAATAATGTGTCATGAATGTTTTCAAATAAACTGCATTCAAAGCTTCATAAAAAACATCTCAAACAAGGTAACTTTGTCAGTCTTGTGATATCATTGTTATTTGCCCTGTATCCTGCCTTGTTTACTATATATATAGAAATACACAAAAAAAGGCCAGCTAATAAATCGTGGAAATATTTCAGTTCCGATGTCCTTCGCATACTCCATTCACTCAGAGCTCAGCAAGGAACATGTCCAAATGGCAGAGAAAAGCCAATGGGGCACAAAACATCCCAGGCAAAGGAGGAATACAGGGAAAGCGGAACGAGGAAAGGGAAACCGGGGGACAGGGCAACGTCAAAAGCCAAACCCAGACGGGCAGACACATTTGAGGCCCACACTCTCTTTCTCACACACAACCACACATGGCCGCCGGCGGCGTGTGTATCCATATCCTGGACGGGCCTGGCCTTTGGCACTTCCGTTCCGCTTTACATTACAGAGCCGAGAACGTGACATGACATGGAAATGAAAGCCACAAAAGGACCCAGTCCGGACAACCAGACCCTACCGAAAACACCATCTATATCTTGGCTGCCCCCGAATGTGACGAAGGCGTGCCATAAATTATTTGATGGTCTCATTTGTAGTTCTGGTCAGTTGATTTGATAGGCGACGACGACGACGACTCCATCTAACCTCAAACGGTTTTCTCTTTGCCATTGTCCAGCGCTGAAATTAACATACAAACAAACACACACAGTTACAGATATAGTCTGAAACTCTGGCAGTCCAAGTGAAAACAGGTTAAGCTTTTTTGGTAAGAGCTCTGACTTCATTTCGAGCCCGTTTGTCTGTCTTTGCGTTTGAAATTGCCTTTAGCTGTTTTGGCTTGGCTTTTCTGTTTTCATTTTACGCTCCAGTGCTGGCCAGCTCAACCTGAAGAGGTCACTAGTTACGGACATGGCCCAAATAGTAGGTTGCCCACGACGATTGACTAATGCCAGTCGTCTGCCACGGCTGTGTAACTTCCCATAACCTAAAGTAGGGAACGCTTATCAGAGTCTGATAACGAATCTGCAAATGCTTATCGCAGGCATTCTACGGGTGACTACGACTGACTACTCCCTTCCCACTCAGTCAGGGAAAACAGCAACGGATCATGCCAAACAGCAAACAAGTGAATAAACATGACAACATACAAGCGAGTAATACTCGTACAATCGAACTCCTATAAATAGATATGGCTACTAGCCTTAGGCGTAAGAATTAGTTGGAAAAAAATAGGGCAGGTGACAAATTATGATGGAGGAGCCTGCTTATAAAGTGTGTTTACAAGTCACGAAAGTTTCCGGAGTTTACCAGACTTGCTGGGAATTTAAAAGTAAACAGAAAAAGGAAATGAATTGCAAGAAATTACACATTCAAAATTATTTAAATTATGATTAATAATATGTAGAAATGTCAGTTAAGAACTTATCAGAAACCAAAAGGAAATATATAATATAATATGTTTGCTTTATCTTTTTAAGAAAGATTTTATTAGAAACAATACATTTAAAGCTAATTTTATAAGCCATAAAACCAAATCTAGTTAAATCTTAGGCGATATATCCTATTTCCTAAATATATGACAAAATAATATTTATTACTGCCTGAATTTCTTTGTATTTATTATCTTTAAAACACAAACAACTCTCCCCACTTTGTCTCGATCTCAAATCCTTCCCTATAAAAGTTTCTTTGTAACTGAGACCTGGCCCAGTAATTTATGTAAATATAAACAAATAACTATTGAGCAACATTTGCCATTCATTCAATCAATAAAACGAGAATCCGCGCGGACATTGCCCCACGCACATGTGCCAAACATAGCCCTCTAGTCGTGCTGCCTCATCCTTCCACTTCCGTTCTCCGCTCTCCGCGGGAGGTGAGTCATGGATAAGCAAAATGAATGATCAGTGTTGACATTGGAAATGCTGACGCCGCCATGTAGTTGTTTCTCTCTTGTTTTCTTTTTTTTTTTATTTTGCACTTGCAACACTTCACGGCTATAGTGGGAAACGCGAAATTAGCTGGAAACGACGAAAATCGTTTGTCAGTCGAGCTGGGAGACCATCACCATCCATCCGTAGGTAGTCGTCGTCGTCGTTGTCGCTGCAGTAGGTACATACATACACATACAAACATAATGCCATCGAAAAATCCGCTGGCGCAGCAATGGAAAAACGAAACCAAAATTCAAAGGAAGCGAGAAGAAGCCCATGTAAATTTTTGTTAGCCTAAAAAAACAGTCTCTGTGCTGCCGCCTGTGCTGTTTGCATTATTGATTGCAGGCGAAACTGCAAACTGCAGTACAGCCTGGGGAGGGTATTGTTCCCAGCAACAATGGTTTGGAAAAACTAGGAAAATGGGTCTACTCCAAGGTGACGTCTTATAATTTGCAGTTAATTTTTGTGGCAAAGGATTACCATCGGGGGAGGAGTAGTTTATCTGTGATGCAATTTGGATTGTTCGAGGGGTTTGTTTTTATTCTAGAAAGAACTAAGGTATTACTTAGGTAGAATGATCTTTAACAAGAAAGGAAGCTAACTTCGGCACGCCGAAGTTTGTATACCCTTGCAGATTGGTTTTCATATTTATATTATAAATTATAATGCCGAAAACAGACACTAAACGGAGTTTCATAACATTTTACCTATACTTAATATGTTTACAGTTTGACAGTTACAGTTATACATTCCCAGCTTTACATTTTCTCTACATCTACGGATCACTTATATGGCAGCTATATTATATAGTTCTCCGATTTTCATAATATTGTTACCAAAATTCTGAAATAATACTAAAAGCTCATGTCTCAAAGTAGATGAAAATACGTTGAAAAACAACGAAGTTATAATTTTTTCTATCGCTTTCCCTATCGTTCCTATGGCAGCTATAAGATATAGTCGTCCGATTTTCATTAAATTTATACCAAAATTTTGAAATAATACCAGAGGCTCATGTCTCAAAGTAGATGAAAATACGTTGAAAAAGAACGAAGTTATAATTTTTTCTATTACCTTCCCTATCGTTCCTATGGCAGCTATAAGATATAGTGGTCCGATTTTCATAAAATTTTTACCAAAATTCAAAAGTAATATATAATGGCCATGTCTTAAAAATTGTGCAAAAATGTTAAAAAACATCCAAGTTATAATTTTTTTTCTAAAAATTTATCGAACATTTGTATGACAGCTATATGATATAGTCGTCCGATCCGGCCCGTTCCGACATATATAGCAGTGAGAGTATATAGAAGACTATATGTAAAGTTTCATTCAGATAGCTTTAAAACTGAGGGACTAGTTTGCGTAGAAACGGACAGACGGACAGACGGACGGACAGACGGACAGACGGACGGACAGACGGACATGGCTAGATCGACTCGGCTGGTGATGCTGATCAATAATATATATACTTTATAGGGTCGGAAACGTCTCCTTCACTGCGTTGCAAACTTCTGACTGAAATTATAATACCCTGCAAGGGTATAAAAAGAGAAGTTGTAGTAAATCTAAACTTTAAACCTCTCTCTCAAAAATGATGAATGAGCCAAAGAAAAAAACAAAATCCGCACTCACCACGTCGATTGAAGGGTCGCACCCTGACGGCGACTTTGATCTTGTCGCTGGACATGGCGGAGGCTGTGGCAGCGGCGGTGGATGGATCAGATCGGGATCAGCACAGGATGCGGGCGTTGCTCAGGGGGAAAAGCGAGTGATTCATGCACCACTCGCGCGTGGCTCCTCCTTCAACTCCTCCTCCTCGTAGTCGTCGTCGTCTGTTATTCTGCTATTATTATTATGCTCGGCTGCCTCTAGTCGTCCTCGCGGGAATATTGTGTGCACGCAATCTGGAAGGCAGGTGGAGCAAGTCAGTCGTAAGCTGACTCACAAATATGGAGCGCCAAAAAGAATGAATATATATATTTGTGTACACTTATACACTTGTTCAATTAGCGCCACACACACACAGGCGCAGGTCTAACAGTAACACACGCGGATGGGCGGATGGGGTGGCAAGGGGGAGAGGGTGGATTTCCATTTCATTCTCGTCGACTTTTTGTCATTCACTTTGTTTTGCTTTTGCCTCTGCTTCTGCTTTGTTGTTACTGCACACACTCGCACTCGCATACAGACACACTGTGATATGTTTTATTGTCATGTGCGTTGGCATTCCGTTATTTACGCGACGCACACTCAAATATTTGCCCGAAATTAGCTAATTAAGATTATGATTCGAGTGTCCTGTCCGATTTTCACGGCCTGTGTGCTTAATAAATAAACATGTACATACAGGACCGTGCAATTCTTTTCGCACTTGCTCACTCACACACACACACATAGAGAGACTCTTAAAAATTCGCAGGTATGCACTATGCACAGGTAAACCTTTGATCCCCTCGCACAACACCCTTCCAAGCGTGTATATACTTATTTCGAGGCCCCCAAACTGAATTGGCAAAGACGAAGAAAACGCCAGGCTCCGCCGCCCGCGCGAAAAAAAAAGTCTCATACGCAGTGTGCGACTTCTCTTGAAGAATCGATTTTTATGGCTCCCCTTTTCTTCGCGGGGAGCTTCACTTTTTCGCGAGGGTTACCGTTAGCCATACACTTCTATAGTTGCATTTTTTTATTCTTTAACTCACACACCTTTTTGCTCCGTCGTAGCTTAAACTTTTTTTATCAACTAAATTTTAGGTCTTTCTATCATTTTTCGCGTTTTCGTTTTTCCAGCAATTTTACTAGTGATGGAAGTAGGGATGTGAAAACATCGATGTTACTTGGCTATCGCGCAACTATAGATAGTGTGACCGAACACAAACCACCAAACAGTGCTGTCAGTTTAGCTTATTTCAGGCTGGATTTGGCATAATTAAAAATGGGAGCTTATAAAAGTAGAAAATAGCTTAAATATATTAATAATTAATTTTTTATTTTATTAAATATGATAAAATTTTGTCCATGTTAGGTAGGCAAAACGAAGTCTTAAATAAGATAAAATATTAAATTAAAAATAAAATAAATTGTGTATATTTTAAAATAAAAATATTCTAAATATTAGTATTATTTAATGGCGAATAGAAGTATATGATTTTGATGAATTACTAGCTTATGCCATCAAGAAGACCTGAAAAGCATTATTTTCAATTTGGAAAATATTCAGCTATTTTTTTATTAGGTTTAAAGATTTATAGAAATTATAAATCAGAAAACCTACTTGAAAAGAGTTTTACCTATGTGTGAAGAGTGCAGCTATATGGTACACATTTGGTATTTTTTAGTGTCAAATTAAAAAACCGGCAGTTGTCAAAATATTTTGATTTTTCAAATTCCCAAGAAACTTAAATCAAAAAATTGTTGCAAACAAAATCATAAATTAACATTAACTGTAGAATTAAAAATAAATAATCAAGATGTTCCGTCAATTAAGGGTGAGCTTTTTACTATTTGCAAAACACCGTTGCATAAGCTTGCATGTATTGCATTTTTGCGCATTTCCTCACGATATCTATTTTTATTTTGGGATGGGTTCCTCAGATGAACTGGGATATTACGGCCTGGATATTTATGCCCTGGAGGCGGGCTGCATCGAATATTCAAGATCCCCAGCTGCCGCTGACCAGCACCTTGAACGATGTGATTGTGGACTACGAGGATCCTGATTACCTGCCCCTGCCTGAGTACCCGGCACGTCCCAATGAGCCGTTGAATATACGCAAGCAAAGGTGGGTTGTACTAAAAGTGAATTATATGGATTGTTACTAGATATATCCTCTACAGGCTTGTGTATCAGTCCCGCAAGCGAGGAATGCTGGAGAATGACCTGCTGCTCAGCACCTTTGCAGCCAAGCATCTGAAGGAATTTAGTGCTGAGCAGACGGCACTGTACGATCAGTTGATCAATGGGGTCACCAACGACTGGGACATCTATTACTGGGCCACCGATGTGAAACCCACGCCCAAGGAGTACGACACGGAGATCATGAAGCTATTGAAGGAGCACGTCAAGAATGACGAACGGATCTCTCGTCTGCGACAGCCAGATCTTAATACTTGAAGCGATATATATCTGTATAGAAATCCTTAAATAACCTTTTGTTGTGATTCTGAAAATTATCAGGATTTCCTAGTCATATTCTGCACTAAATTTAACCAGAAAATACACCTAAAAAGATAGAGAGTTAGCTTTAAATTCAAACATAATACTTTATACTTCTCAAAACTTAATTAACATCTCTCAAACACTTTATAAAGCGTAGGCAGATTGGTGAGTTCATAAATCTGATCCTTTAAGCGTGGAGATGGCAGAAGATACTTCTTAAAAGCTGGAAACAGTACATGCTCCATGGTCCATCTGGGATGGCCTGCCGCCGTCCTCCCACCATCCCGCCAATCCAGCTGAGCGTAAAAGCGAGCAGTTTCCCGGCAGAATGTCTCAAAACAACTGGCCTCCTGCTCCCAATCCACCTCAGTGGCCAGGCGCAGCAGGTACACAGGCAGGTGGGCCACACAGGGACGATGCTGGGATACCAAACTGGGCAGTGACTCGAGCTCTCCCTTCTCCGAAATGCGAAGACCAAAATACTCTCGCATAATGGGAGCCTTATTCTGCAGAATCTCCGCGGCACTGACCGCCAGCTCAGCCTTATCCCCATCCTCGGGCGTCCAGCCAGCAGCCTCGCTGTCCAGCGCTAGCATGAGCAGCTCCTTGAGCGAAAGTGAGGGCTTTATGCTGATCTCCTGGCAATTCTGGAACTCGTAGATGAGTCGCTGGTAGAAGAGCTCCTCGCTGAAGGCTCGCGTGTTGCAGAGATAAAGGTGAGTCTCATGCTGAAACAAGGCCCGCCGCTCGTCCACACAGCCGACATAGACCAGGTTCTTGAGGGTGCTTCTCAGCTGGACGCTGCACTGCCTCTCCACACGCTGCCTCATGTCCAGCACGCTGCTTAGTCGCACTTCTCGGGACTTTTTCGTCGCCGTCACGCGAAAACTCTCATCGGGCAGCGGAGGAGCCTCTTGGGAGGAGCCGGAGGACAGCCCAGAGTCACTTTTCACCAGAGGAGCGAGGAACTTGTCCAGCTTTTGTTCGCTGGCATCGGTGCGCACGAGTTCCTTGGGATAGATGCGCTGCGTCTTGTCTCCTGGCTGGGTTTCATCCAAGTCTGGGGCTCCTGGCAATCGCAGCTGCTTGTAAAAAGTTCTGGTGGAGTTGCTTCCTAAAAGACGGGCCTCCACCTGTTCCTTGAGCCGCTCAACGATCTCGTCTTGGTAGAGGAAGTGCACCTCATGCTTGGTGGGATGCACATTCACGTCGAGATTCTGGGGCGGCAGCGTGAGGCTCATGTACACAAAGGGATGATGGCCACGGGGCAGGTAGGTGGCATACACCGCGTCCACGGCGGTCTTGAGAGCTGAACGAGTAGAAGTTAAAGGATGTTCCCGTCAATGGTGATTATCTAGGCTCACCTGGCGACTCCACCAGTCGCTGGTTGATGAACAACAGCATCTGGCTCTTCTTGGCCGAATAGTTGACCTGTGTAAGCAGACACTCGGCCTGGAACTTGAACATCTCATCCCGATGGCTAAACTCCAGCAGCTCCTTGGCAATGGCTGCGCCATAGATAATACGTATATTCTCTGTCCGGGAACTGGCCACAGGAGTTCTTAGCGCAGGCTGTGCCTCCCCCTGCTTCCGGAGGGTGAAGCCCACGCGAGGATTGTGGACAGCGTACCTGGCCAGGACCTCGGATAGGCGCTGGAACTCCTCCGCCGGCGAACGCAATGCCTGCCGCCGCTGGGGCATATTATAGAACAGATCCTCGATGGAGATTATGGTGCCCTGATTGCCCGCACAGGGCTTCGGCTGTCCGTGTAGTTTGCCATCTGCATAAGTGGCCTTGTAGCCGCACTTCTCCTTTGCTGTCTTCGTCTGGATGCTTAAGTGGGCCACATGACTGATGCTGGCCAGGGCCTCGCCCCGAAAGCCAAAGGTGGCTATCTGGGCCAAGTCCTCGAAGCGTGCCAGCTTGGAGGTGGTGAAACGCTCGCAGACGATTTCCAGGTCTTCGCGTCGTATGCCCGTGCCATTGTCCTGGATCTGGAGAAGCTTCAGGCCGCCGTTTTTTACATTCACTTGGATGTGCGTCGATTGGGCGTCCAAACTGTTCTCGAGCAGCTCCTTCAGAGCGTTGGCAGGTCGTTGGATGATCTCTCCGGCGGCTATGCGGTTGACCACCACCTCGTCTAGCTTCCTGATGACGCCCGGCTCCAAATCCTCCGGCATGGCGGGAAATCTTTACCAGTGTTGCCAATTTAGCTATTCCTTCGCTAGCTCTGGCACAGAGCGAAATAAATTGAAAACTAGCGGCTAGCGGGAATTATAGCTATTTTCCAAATATAATTAACGTTATTTTAGCTGTTAACATCGTATTTTTTATGTTTTACGATTTTTATTAATTAAATTTTAAACAAAACTCAATCGATTATAACATCTATACGTTTATTAGTCTGTTTGTATACTAATTGGTGTTACATTTGTAAGGATTTTAACTACAAAACACGTATTTAACTATGTTATTGCAATTGATATTCAATTTTTAAATATTCTATTCAAATTTCAGGTAGTTTACTGTGCTTCAGGTAACATTTCTTTATGTTTCTTTGATTAGTAACGTCTATTGTCTCAATCGGTGTATTGCTTACATTGATATATATAAGTAAATATTGTTTATTATACATTATAACTTATTAACTTTAATAACCTGTTAATTATATTAAAGATGTAACTTTCTAATTGTTTATAAATTCAAATAAACTCAGTTAAGCTTCAGGTAACAATTTGATAAATTTCGTTTCATTGAGATTTCAGTTTTAACTTTTCAACAAACTATCAACTATTTTGATTTGCAAGAAAACACATTGGAAACTTATAGATTCCAAGCTCGCGCTAAGGAAAACTGCGTTATTTGTACAGCAAATGGATAAGGGGAATGCTTTGCCAGGATATTCGAATACTAGGAGAACCACTTGCACTTGAGGCAAATGAAAACGGAGATTCCCAGGATAAGGGTGGTGTACTTGAAGTAGTTGCGCACCTTCTTGCGCTTTCGCTCGGCCAGGATTTCGTTGTAGTCGATGAACAGGGGATTCTGGGCAGGACTAAACGAACCAAGCTGTAATTAATAGAAGATGTATAATTATAAGAATAATATTAAAATAAATTACAATCTCTTACATATTTCACAGTCTTGCTCATGTCGCTAAGGACACCACGATAGCCCTGGAGATTGCTTTGAAGCGTGGCCAACTGCGTGTCCGAGGGTTGTCCTAGTTTTCCTGCTTTTTGGTTCTTCAAAACGAACTTCAGAGAGGCCTGGATGATGACCAACTGCTGCAGATGATTGGCAGCTATCATGAGGATCTCATAGAAGCTAGAAAAGTGATTTATCAAGTAAGCTCCAATATAATCTTGGTTATTAAACCCAACTCACTTGTCTAGGCCATCCGTCTTGATGCGAGCTATGGACTTTTGGGACCAATGGTGAAGGTGGAAGCTACCAAAAGCATTCAAGATTCATTCATTATCAAAACCTTTAAAAAACAAAGCCTTAGCTCATACTCACTCCAGTATCCCCTTCATGATCTTGTTGCGATAAATGGGAAACTCAATGCCCACCTCACGTAGCAGTTGGTCATCCATGACAAGGAATTCGGCCAGCGAAGTCTTGGCAATGGCAAAGTTTTCCAGCGTTTTGCCTGCCTCGATCGAACGCAGGATGTAGTTGAGCTCCTGGAAGTACTCCGGACAGTCGCTCTTGAGGAATATCCGTGGAATGTGATCCCTCAGCGTGTTATAGGAAAGGTAGCTAGATGGCACCAGATAGGTAGATGGTGGTCGCGGCAGGATCTCCAGCAAATCATAGTAGCCATGGCACTCGGCCACTTGGGTGGGCGTGTATCCCTTGTTGTTCGCTATGGTGGCATTGACGCCCGCCTCAACCAGCAACTTGACCACCTCCACATGATTCCGCTCAATGGCATGGAAGATGGGCGTACAGCCCTGGTTGTCCACCGCATCGAAGCTGACATCCTTTATCAGAAGACGCACAACGCCTGCGTAGCCGTTCTGGCAGGCAAACATCAGGGGCGTCATCCCATATTTGTCGGACACATTGATCACGGCACCGTGGCGAAGCAGCAGGCGTACCAACTTCTCGGCCAGGTAGGGATCCCTTCGGTTGCAGTCGCAGGCCATCATCAGCGGCGTTACAGAGTCCACTTGACGATTGACATTTGCCCGGCGCTTCTCCACCAGCGGCTCGACTATGTCGTAGTGTCCCTCGCGGCAGGTGATCATCAGCAAGGTGGGCCCGCCCCTAACGGCCTGATCCACATTCCAGTTGAGTTTTCGCATCTCCTCCAGCAACGTTTTGCCGTCGCCCTCGATGGCCGCCTCGTACAGCTTCTGCTCGGGATCCACATAGGGAGCGGGTCGTGTGCGCTTTATCTGGAAAGCCAACAAAGGACGCAGTGAGACTTCTGGAAGAGCCTGCCCAAAGGAGCTCCTACCGGATCCGAGAAGTAGAAGCCATCATAGCTGCTGTCCGAATCCGAGTCCGCGGGGGGTCTATAGGCGCACTGGTTGCTCATCTTCTCTGGTTTATTTTATCAAAACTAAAACGGAATGTGCTAAAACATTGTTGTGGCCAAGGAAGAAGAAAAAATGCGCAGGAAACGTAAGGAAGGAAATGCCAGTGCTGGTAAACATCAAATCAGAAGTTATCGAAAGCTTTTGGCGTTATCGATTGGCTTTGATAGGTTATCGGCGGGCATTTTAAATATTATTAATTTATTTTTAACTTTTAATTCTCGCTGTAAAACAAATCATGCATAACCGAATTATTTACAGAAAGTAAATGCTTTATTTTACAAGTTTACGATTTAACATTGCATACAACTATTGTACATCTCTACTTTTTCTTGTCCTTTTTGGCGTAACGTGGTCCGCCGAAGCTCTTGCCCTTGTTGAACTTGTTCTTGCCCGCCTTGTTGGCCAGCTTCACGTTGCTGACCTTGCTCTTGGCTGACTTGTTCATGGGCTTACCCTTGCCCCCACCGCTGGCCTTCTTCTTCGCCGCAATCTTGGACATTTTCTGGTGTCGGTTGGCCTCCGACCTGAAATTACAGAGATTAATTTCCATTAAAAAGGCCAGAGATTCCTTTCCTACTCACCTTAAACGAAGTGCTCCACCGCGGCTGACATCGGTCAAATCATTATCGAACGCCGACTGGCCGCCACGTCGCTTGGGTTTGCTAGGTCCAGCATTGCCCCTGTGCGTCTCTGTGGCCGCTCCCAGCTTGCCGGGACGCTTGCGCAGCTTGGCCATCTTGGCCCGCACCAGGGACACCTTTTCGATCTCCTTCATCGCCCGTTCCTTGGCCAACTGCTCCGGCGTCTTCTTGCGGGGCTCCTCCTTCTTCTTCTTGTTGCGCTTGGCCTCAATCTCCTTGACCGAGGGCCCATCCTCGCCATCTCCACCCCACTCGGGTCGCTTACGTTTGGTGGCGGTCTTACCCTTGCCCTTGCCTCCGCCAGCAGGCTTCTCCTCGTCGCCGGTGGTTAGAGCCAGGCGCTCCTTCTCAGCCTCGCGCTGCTGTTTGGTCTGGAACCAGCCGCGTCGCTCGTTGGATTGTCCCAGCAACTTGCGTTCTGTTTTGGACAGCTGCTGCTCGGTTTTGGCCAGCTGCCGTTCCGCCTGCTCCTCATCCAGAATGTTTTCTGTGGGAAAAATCATGAAAATAATGGAAATGTATAAAGTTTCTGCTACTCACGTATCTCTGGCTCCAAGCTGGTCAGCTTGTTGCGATATTTTTCTATGATCTCTGGAGGAATAATACGATTCTTGATGGTACTCTCGGCGTTCTTAATGATGTCCTTGACGATCTTGCGCTCTTTTTCGCCGGCCAGGGAAACGGAGATACCAGCGCGTCCTGCTCGCGCTGTACGACCAACTCGATGAATATAGTGCTCCGTGGTGATGGGCATCACAAAGTTGATGACTGTCTTCACGCCCACAATGTCTAGACCACGAGCTGCCACATCAGTGGCGATTAGCACATCGATTTGCTCCTCCTTGAACTTCTTCAGCGACTCCAGACGCTGTTGCTGCGTGAGGTTTCCATGCAATTCTCCGGCACGGACACCCAGGAGACCCAACAGGATGTGCAAACGATGGGCTTGCTTCTTGGTCTGGACAAAGACCATACAGTGGTCGTGGAACGTGCGGCAAATCAAGCTGGCCAGAATGGGCTCACGATCGCCCTCTTTATCCTCGCGGATGCGTATGAATTCCTGGCGCAGATTGAAGGCTACCTGCTGGTTATTGTTCACGAAAACCTTGACCGGTTTGTCCAGTGAAACGGCAGCCAGATCCTTGACCTGTTCGCTCATGGTAGCGGAGAACAGCATGGTCTGGCGGGTTTTGCAGCAAGAGTTAATGATCTCCTTCATCTGCTCGGCAAAGTATTCGTCCAGCATGCGGTCAGCTTCGTCAAGGATGAGAACCTAAAGGGAATTCAAGGAAAATTATTAGAAAAAAGTATAGAGAAAGATTTCTTAAAGATGAAGGGTCATGGATCAGCTTGCATCTGCCGCGCAGTTGCAAGAACCAGGAGTGTCCTCTTGGCCCGCAAAAAGGGGCTCAGAGCGCAAGGAAAGAATCATCATAAAGATTTTAACCCAAACCAAGCCCAAAACTCAAACCCACCTCTATAGAATCCAAGGTAAAGCTGGGCGTGTTCTTTATATGATCTATAAGACGACCGGGCGTGGCTATAACTATATCCGGATTCTGGCGCAGCACTGACTCCTGAGCCTTGACATCCAGACCGCCAATGGCCAGGCCCACATCAATGCTGGTGAACTGGCACAGCTGCTTGGTCACCTGATAGACCTGGGCGCCCAATTCACGGGTGGGCACCAGCACCAGCACCCTGGTGATTGCTTTATTGTTCAGCGGACGATACAGCAAGCGCTCTAGTGTGGGCAGCATGTAGGCTGCCGTTTTGCCTGTACCCGTGGCGGCACAGCCACAGATGTCACGACCCAGCAAAGCCACCGGGATCGTGGAGGCCTGGATGGGCGTGGGATAGATGTAGCCCAAAACGCCGATGGCGCGCATCAAGGGACGCGATAGATTCATCTGGTAGAAGGAGGTTATCTGCTCATTGGCCTCTATGGTATCGTCAAACTGCATCTTCTCGCCCTCCTCCTCTTCGTCCTCTTCGCCCGCCTTCTTCTTCTTGTTCTTGGACAGCTTCTTTTCGCGCAGCCTTAAGTTATCGTGCTTCAGCTCGTCCTCGGAGAGATCAATTTCGCTGCCGTCGCTCTGCTCCGCGGCCACTGCCTCGGCGCCGCCTCTCTTTTGCAAACGGGCGGCGATCTTGTCGTCTGTCTTTGTGCGCGCCTTCCTTTTCACATACTTCATCAAGTCGTCCCAAGTGTCCTGGTTGTACTCCTTCACAGAGGACACGAACTCGAAGCCCTTCTCGAACTCGGTGACCTTTTTGTGTCTCAGTTTCGTGGGTTGATACTGTGGAGGAGCACCGGTGGTCAGTGGTAGTTCTTGTAGCAGACTGGAAACTGTAATTTCCTTACCTCCACTTCGGCATCGGAGTCCTCCGACAGGTTCTCCACTTCGGCATCGTCTTCGATGGTACCTATCAAGTCCAGGTTCTTCGTGGCGCCCATTTTTGCAGGCTAAAAACTAAATTACAATTCCAGCGCGTGTTTACAATTCGAAACACACGTGTGGCGTGCGAGGAGTTGGTGATGGGAGAAAAGTTATGGAAAACTATCGTTTAAAATTATTTTCATTTTTTGTTTTATAAACTGGAAATAAAACTGAAAAATTTATAACAAAACAGACAAGTTTATTGGCTATTTTTATGAATATTTGTTTTATATTTTACAAATTTTATTGCACAAAGCAATTTAACTTATTCAATACGATATTTAGGCAATCGATATCTATATATCGCCAGACATGCCGGCTGCTTACTAGTTGCTAGCTCCCATCTCTAGCCAGACTCAGCTGTTTGACCAATTTTGTTATGAAATTTTCTCAAGTTTCGCTCTGAAAATGCTGCGTTTACTGACAAAAACAAGACTTGTGAGGTAAACAATCATTAACTTGACTTTGTAAACAATCAAGGTTACTAATAAATAAAATCTACAGGCAATTGGTGCCAGCCACAGGCTCTACTTCGATTTCCCCCCGCTTCTATGCACAGACTGCGGGAACAGGCAGCCAAAAACCAGCAGAGGAGCCCATTAGCAATGAGCCCATCAAGTTCTTTGGCAGCCAGGCGGCCACTTGGCGTGCCAAGGATACGCGGAGCGGTGGTAGCGATGAGTCCCTGTGGTATCAGCCCTACGTGATCTCCGCCAGCTTGGGCGTCTTCCTCCTGTACTTCTGCTGGCTGCGCGAGGAGAGCGACATCGATCAGCGGCTGGAGGGCGATCTGTATGAGCATGTCAGCGGCCTGGAGGAGGTGCAGCTAACGGTTAACTACAAGTATAACAAGGAGCATGGATTGGACACCAAAGAGCAAGAGAAGAGGCTCGCCGAACTGGGCGTTGATCTGGGCCAGTTGAACGCCAAACTGGCAGCCCAGTAGTCATAGATTTGGTTTAATGTACTTTTTGTTTGGTTAAGTGATTAAAATGGAATGATTTTAGCTACTAAATTCGGAATAATATAATTTCTCTTGGAAATATTAATAGTTTTTAACGTATTTTCAAAGTGCCACCACTGACTAACGCCCGCCAGCTGTTTGTTATCGATAGCATCAGCTGATGACCTGCTTGCAGGTGTGCACACACTTAGAGTCCGATAAGAAACCTGCAGGAAAAGTCGAAAAAGTAAACTAAACCGTTCTGTTATTAACCAATATCTGTGCTTTCCATGCACACGTTCGCCGAAAGACTGCCGGCGCACCCCCCTAAATCAGAGAACTCAGCGGAACTGGAAAGAAAACCCCAAAATGGTGAGTAGAGACAAAGAAGCCATATCTCGCCTATGGGCCCCCGCCCATCATCACAAGCATACGCTTTCCGTTCGATTAGAGCTACGACGACGATGACTATCCGGCGGACACGTTTCCCAAGGACTTTGGCTACCGGGCGTACAACCAGGATGGCCTGGAACTGGAGCCCAATGCGACGGGCAGCAGTGAGACAAAGCCCCGCATTCTGCTGATGGGACTGCGCAGATCGGGCAAGAGCTCCATCCAGAAGGTGGTCTTCCACAAGATGTCGCCGAACGAGACGCTCTTCCTGGAGTCCACCAGCAAGATTGTGAAGGACGACATCAACAACTCCAGCTTCGTGCAGTTCCAGATCTGGGATTTCCCGGGCCAAATTGATTTTATTGAGCCAACCTTTGACTCGGACATGATCTTTGGCGGCTGTGGGGCTTTGGTCTTCGTCATAGATGCCAAGGATGACTACAACGAGGCGCTGACCAAGTTCAAGAATACAGTGATAAAGGCCTACAAGGTGAACCAGCGCATCAAGTTCGAGGTGTTTATACACAAGGTAATATCTACCCTTATCGGAGTATGTGATAACCACTGACCCACCATTTGGTCACATTCCCACGCAGGTTGACGGCATCAGCGACGATTCGAAAATGGAGTCGCAGCGGGATATACACCAGCGATCGTCGGATGACCTAAGCGAGGCGGGCCTCAATCAGATCCACCTAAGTTTTCATCTGACCTCCATTTATGATCACTCCATCTTTGAGGCCTTCTCCAAGGTGGTGCAAAAGCTCATTCCCCAGCTGCCCACGCTGGAGAACCTCTTAAATATCTTTATACCAGTAAGTATTTTTATAATATTTTATTTTCAAATTGAATAATAACCATTTCCTCAACAGAACTCGGGCATAGAGAAGGCCTTTCTGTTCGACGTGGTCTCCAAGATCTACATAGCCACGGACTCCTCGCCCGTTGACATGCAGACCTACGAGCTGTGCTGTGACATGATTGACGTGGTCATTGATCTGTCCAGCATATACAGGTAAGTTTTCTCATCATTTATTCTCATTTATCACCCGAAATTGATAATATATCCAAAGCTCTGAGGAAACCGCCTTCGACAGCGGCAGCTCTAGTCTCATCAAGCTGAACAACAACACGATACTCTATCTGCGGGAGGTGAACAAGTTTCTGGCTTTGGTCTGTATCCTTCGCGAGGAGAACTTCAACCGGCAGGGCGTCATCGACTACAATTTTATATGCTTCCGAGATGCCATCAGCGAGGTGTTTGAGCTGCGGCTGAAGCGGCAGAAGCAGCTGGAGAACAACGAGCAGGACGACGATGACCTGGTCGATGAACAGACCCTAATCCGCCATGGCCATGACGCAGCTGTGATGTCGCGGGCGCAGCCAATCGATTGAGGCGTGCCCGTTCCAATCCCCGCTCGGTGGTCCCATTATATTTTCTCTATGCTAACTTCTCTGTGGACCCGTTTATTCCGATTTGTACGTTTCTCTTCCGTTATATATCTGCTGTTACTTTTGTCTACTGATAATACGTTAAGGCGCTCCTCTTGCAGGACGGCGCGAGCAAATTGCCCAGCGGTTGAAATTAATGATAATACTACCAATAAATATGTCTATTTTTAAATACGAAATTGGAGGTTTATGAAATGGAAGTTGAGGTGAAGGCTACTCATAATGTAAAATAGAAAAGGACTATTGATTTTAAAATTTGTATCAGTTTAGTAAGGTTTAAATCTTAATTTTTTTGCTTTCAACCTGTTGATTTAATTAAAACAATAAATTATTCTTTTTATAAAGAATTGAATTTATTTAAAATTTCACATTTATGAGAATAATTTAATAAACTTAATATTAAATGATTTTAATTCAATATTGGCCACATTAAGCCACAATTCAGCCAGTGTTGCCACGCTTTGTGACTTTTTATAACAGTTTGAAAATGTTTAGGGTAACACTGCTTTCACTATCTCTGCGTAGAAATCGAATAGAATGCCTACATTTTAACTGTTCCTTTTATTTTATTTAGAATTAATAAACTTTTAAATACTTTAATTAATGAACTCGGTTATCTTAAGTCAATAGTAAAAAACTAAGCCAATTTATTGTTCCTGAAAGACCAATCAAGTCGATTAATCGACTAGTCGATAAAACAAACCCATCGATTGTCCAGTCAGCTGCTGCGCATCACATGACCGTCACAAGTTTTTTTTCTCACTGGAATAGGCGACGTCGTGCAAAGCAAAGCGAAAATTTTCTCCATTTTTCGTTTTTAGTTTCCGTTCACTTTTCGGTTGGTTTCTTTGTGTTTTCTTGCGTTCCCCTGAGTTGTTCATTTATGTGTTTTGGTTTTCCCCTTTTGTTTTCCATCCCCAAGTAGGCGATATGTTGTGGAAATCGCTGATTGCCTTGTGCGTCATTGGGGCAGCCTTGGCTGAGCAAACGCCCGTCTTTCTGTGGGGAGCCAACAGGTGGGTTGCATGACTACCAGATTCCACCGGTTGCACACGTAACGTGATTAAAAATCTTTTCCAAACAGTGTGGCGAAGCCTTCTCTAAAGACGGTGCCCCAGGCGGAGTTCGCTGAGCAGCTGGCGACACTGCTGGAGGATCACATGGTCGTGGCCTTCCAGGAAAATGGCGTAAGTGCTTTGTTTTTTACTCTGAAAACTTAAACATTAAATGGATAATTACAAACAAATACAGCTGAGCAACAAGGACTTCCTGTGCTCCAACTCCCAGTCGCAGTCCTGCTACGCCCAGTTGCAGGGCGTTAGCCCCAAGACGTACTACACCAGCGTGGAGAATCCCTCAGAGGCACTGCGCTCGGTGGCCGCCAGGCGCGAGCACAACAGCATCGATGCCAGCGGCAAGCTGTCCAGCCCGGCCAAGTGCTCCGCCGGCACGGCCCTGTTCGTGAGCTTCGAGGATGCGGCCGAGAGCCGCGAGCAGACTTTGGAGTCACATGGTGCGTTAAACATATATACAAACAATGTGACCCACATGCTATATAGTATATACTCTTCCTCGCGCAGACGCCGCCATCGCCGCTATCAGCAAGCAGTTTGAGTGCAAGGTGGCTTATCTGTACCTGGCCGCTCCCTCCACCGCTCCGGTGGTGCAGCGTCGCACCCGCCGTGACACGGCCGCCACAACTGGCGGCATCATGTGGCATGTCAGCAACCAGTTTCAGATCTTCTACACGGCGCTCTTCTACAACCAGAACCCCATCACCGTCACCGGCATCTCGGTCACCAACTCCACCACTCCAAGTACCAAGTTCTCCGTTAGGCTTGACACCTCCGATACCAGCAAGCCCATCACCTTCGATGTTCTTTATAATGGTGGATACTTTAGTCTGAGCAACGTGCAGTACGACGGCAACACCTTCCGTTCCAGCAACGTGAATGCGCCCACCACGTTCTCCTTCTCCTGCGGCAACCTTACCCTGGACTCCAATGCCGTAAACAACATGTACAACACGCTGAGCTTCTCGTCGCTGCAGGTGCAGGCTCCCTTCGACGGTAGCTACAAGGAGAACTTTGTGTTCGGCGATTCCTGGGACTGTGTGGGCTTCGTGACGCCCGGCATCCTGATGGGACTCTTTGTGATCCTCCTGCTGCTGGTCATTATGTTCATGGGCGTCTGCTGGATGATGGACATCAATACGATGGACCGCTTCGATGACCCGAAGGGCAAGACCATTACCATCAATGCTGGCGCCGAGTAAAAGGGCTTCCATTTGTTAGTTCTCACCTTTGTTTCCTCACTCGATATTCATTCCTTTATTCCCTCAGTCTGTCCACACGTACATATATATGTAAACGAAAAAATACTTACTTACCTTAACCGCATAACATAACATAACATACATATAACCGGGAAATTAGTCTTCACAATTTATATATTTATATTTGTGTCTGTAATTTTCGCCAGCAAAGATCAGTCTACGTTTCAGCATCAATTTAACGCGTTGCTGGTCCTTGTCGCCGAAAATTGGTCGGAGTTTTGCTTGCACCGACTTGGCATCCAGTATTTCATTTAGTATAGCTTCCAAAAAATGTCGTAAAAAAATCAAAAAGAACTACGCACAGTTACCAGTATGTGTGTGTGTGATGTGTGTACGCCCTGGGGCTGTAAATCTAATCTTTTGAATATATCTAAGTGTTTTATAGTTTCTTGTTTTGCGCAAATATGCGAGACTAATTTATGCCTCTGTATGATAGTTTGTCAGTTGTGCAACCCTCCTGTTCGCAGGCCCAACGAAAATAAAGTTTTTCAATTGTGTTACAAATGGAAAGAGTTTTTTGGTGGCAGGAAAACCAAGTTGGGATGCTCTGCTTGTGTTTTTTGGGGTGTACTAAAAAGGGAGATAGTGGTGAGAAATTATATTCAATGAAATTATAAGTAATATAATGATTCTTATGTATTTTTTATAGTTAAAAATTTGTAATAAGATATTATTTAATATATTACAAATATATAAGATCATTATATTCCTTAAAGTTTAATTTAATATATAGTAATATAGTTTCAAGTCTTATTATATATTCTAGTTTTTCTATTGCCTGTTTTACAATTAAATTGTAAAGAATATAAGGATTGTTATATACTTTTAATTTTTAAATATTTTAAAATTTTATTTGGGTTCATCTGCTTAATAGTTTACTACTATTCTAATG